TAGATGTGTCTCCGACGTTGAAGGGTCCTTTTCCGCGCGCAGGAAAGTGCAAGTCTTTCGATGCAGAGGTGATATACATCCCACTGCATTGAACTATCGGAGTTGTTCCGAAGGTTGTGTTTTTCCTTTTCCTTTTCCTTTTCCTGTGCGTGCGGGTGGATAAGTATTTGTCGCAGAACCGTGACTGGTGTTCACCATCGGCGGGGGAAATTTCCACACTGTCCTGTCTGTCTGTGTTGTTGCACTTGCAGAGAGAGAGTCGAGTGCTCGAGCATGCAAACAGAGTGATACCCCATGATCCACATTTCTTTTCGTTTTCAGGCAAATTCCTTCGGGAAAATTCCTTCAGATGCGGGGGTTTTGTCAATAGAGTTTTCTAGATTATATATATTTTTATATACTCTACAGCAAGTAAGCAAAGGAGGACTAGCAACAACATACCTGGAAACGATAACCGCGCGGGGTGGGGGGCTATGTATTTATTTTTATTTTATTTATTTTATTTTTGGACCCTCCCTCCTTCGATAGAGAACAGACCTGTCCTGATACATTGAACTTGATTGATCCCAGCGGGAGAGAGGTCTCTGCATGTCTCACTGTCCAAAAATGCGGAAAAATCGGCAATACTGACGTCGACAAGGTAGGGGGTTGCAGCCATCTGATGATCCCATTGTCTGTCTGAGTGAGGCAAGACAAGACACGACCAGCCAGCCAGCCAGGCAAGGGGGAAACGGGACGGGAGAGAGAAGGAAAAAGGGTCTCCAAGAAACCCAAGAAACCCAAGAAAACGATTCCCATCAAGATGGAATAGCCTCCCAAACAGCGGCTTACTTGGATTGGAAGGTGATAAGCAAGCTACACGCAGAGACAGGTTCGGTTGTTGTTGAAGCCAAGCGTTGCCAAGTAGAGATCTCCTTGGATCCGCTCGGCAGCTAAGCCTGTCCCAGTTACCGGTGTCTCAAGTGTCACGAACATACCAGGGACGCTCGCCCTTTGGCGTACGCAAGGGATCAAGTCAGGTCTGTCTTGTCTGAGTCTGGCGGCAAGGCCGAGTTACCCGGCAGCAGCAGCAGCAGCAGTGGATTCGAAACGAGAGAAGAAAGGGTGGGACTTTACTGGGACTGGGAATGCATGGGAGAGAGAGTGAGGGAGTTAAAGAGAGGGTGGATGCAGCAGCAGCAGTCACCAGCACAGTGTGGGTGGTGGAGGAGCTGGTATTACGTATGAGTTTGATCAATTGAATTTGCAGGTCATGTCGAGAAATGTCAGGCAGACTGCTTGCTGGTTGCTGGTGCTGGTGCTGGTAGAAAGTATTTATGCGCATGTACGGCACTCTAATCTGTTACCAAGTGTTGCCCTACTCTACTTACGCCCTACTCTTTCTACATACCAAGAGAATTCTGACAGCAGTGAGGTTTGGGATAAACTAGGCTCATGTAGGTGGGTATCATGAGATTAACGTTACAGAACACTAGTACAGGGCCCGTCCTAACTGACTGACTGACTGACACAGATAGGACCCCAGTACAGACCCTCCACCTATCACCACCACTACCACCACTATCTACCACCACAGCGGAAAGGAGAAGATTGCCGAGGGAACAGAGCACAAGCACAGGGAAAGGGTACTGAAGGAGAGGGAGGGGAGAAACATCATTCGGGTATAGCAGAATTGATCACCAAGACAGCCCGCGCCATACCTACGCGTCCAAGCCCCTCCTCACAGATCTTGGAGCTGACGAGGGCGAGGCTACTTTTCTAACTTCACCACCACCACTCAACTCTTTCCTTACATCTCTCCCCCCCCCGCTTCACGAACTACATCCTCGCTTCTGCTCTCCGTTTCACCCCATACCACGGGGAATTGCTATTCGCTTTTATCGATCACTGCCAGCTGTGTTGAGTCGTGAGTGCTCTGGGTAGCTAGCTTTCTTGTCACGGATCCAGACGACTTACTGGGCACAAGCCTCCATTCATTTGTGTGCGCCTCAATTTCGAGCACCCCACCACCACCTCATCATTCCCGACCGTTATTATAGCCTTCTTCTTTTTTCTTTCTCTTTCCTTTCCCGTGAACAAACACCACCCACATCAGTACTACTACTACCTTCTGTGCAGACAAACAATAGTGCCAGTATAATATTCCGTTATCTTTTATATACTGTGCTGTTGCCACAGATCGAAGTCTCAAATCATACCATCGTTTCTGTTTGCGCCCATCAAGGTTCCATTGTCCGTTCACCATTCTCCAACCATCATATTATCCATCCCCCAGCACCGTCGTCGCAACCATAGATACTTTCAAGCCCTGAAGTCGAGGCTCTCCGAGCCGCAAAAATAATTCCTGGTCATGTGTGAGTGCTACCCACCTGCCTGTTGCTTGTCTGACTGCCTGCTGCAATGATATGATATATATCACGGCCCTTTTATAGCAAAAAGAAAGCTGGGTTTCCTTGGCGCTAATAAAAGGGAACCACCTTCATGTGTAGCCGCGGATAGTTTCCACGCCTCCGTCCTCATCCTACCAAACCCGCAATCATCGAGTCCAGAGCACCTGGCCGAGATCCCCAGAGTCAATGTCCGTAATAGAGATAAAGCTTCCCTGTATGGGGGGCAGGACCTTTCCTTTGGAACCAACCATTGCTGATCTTATTGCTTTCCCCAGGGAAACCTCACGTTCGCGACCGACATTGCGACCGGCATCCTGACGCTGTACACCGGGGAAGCCGCGCGGGGCGACGAGGTTAGCGGCCTGCTCTACGTGCCCTCCGTCAACGAGACGACGTTGTGCCCCGACCTGTCCATGCTCCCGGCAAACGTCACGCACAAGGACGACCTGCCCAACGCAAACTATGACTTGATAGGCTTCGCGCCGTGGATCTCGGGCAACTGTAGCGAGCTGTTCCTGAAGGCGGCGCGCCAGGAGACGTCATCGGTGAAGGGCTTTGTGTTCTTCACAACCTCGGAGAATGATCCGATCCCGTCGAGGAGCGACCCCATGTGGGCGGGTGTCTCGTATAAGAACATTGACTTTCCGATATACGCAATCAGGGGCCATGATGGGTATCCGCTGATGGACAAGGTGGCGGAATACTCGGGAAACATGAGTGATGCGTGGGAAGCCCGGAACCTGGCCAATTACTACAATTCTAGCGATTACGCACGGGTCTACATGGAGGTCGATACTGGTAATTTGGCCCTTCTCAACTCCTTTCCACGCCAGCTTGCTGAATTATTAAACCTCTAGGCCAACGAATCCCACTCCCCGGGCTATGGCTATTCCTGCTGGTCGTCCTCGCAGTACTCGTCGTCATCGTCGGCCTAACCTCCCTCAGCATGCACTGGCTACAATACCAGCACCGCCAGCGCCTCCGCCGCCGCGTCGCCAGCGGCCAAGTCGACCTCGAAGCCCTCGGCATCAAACGCCTCTCCGTCCCCCGCAAGATCCTCGACCAATTTCCCCTCCGCATCTACGTCGCCGAAGCCCCCGCCCCCTCCACCGACCCCATCAGCCCGCTCCCACCCGTTCTCAAACCGCCCCCGCGGCGCTTCGCTGCCCCGGACCCACCCCTCCCGCCAACCCCCGTATTATCACGCCGCCCACCACAGTACAGACACCTCGACACAACCCTCCAGCGCGGATACTCACAGACACAGTGCCCAATCTGCCTCGAGGACTTTGCGAACCAGACGACGCTGGTGCGCGAGCTCCCGTGCTTGCACGTCTTCCATCCAGAGTGTATCGACCCCTTCCTGGAGACGCAGTCGTCGCTGTGCCCGCTGTGCAAGACGTCCACGCTGCCGCAGGGATATGTCCCGACGACGCTGACCAACGCAACGGTCCGCCGCGAACGGAACTTGAGGAGGATGCGTGCCCGGGTCGACACGGGCGGCGGGCGATGGTCACGGCTGTGGGGCCGCGGTGGTAACGATGCGGAGGCTCGGGCTTTGCCGCCGGTGGTTGAGATGCGGGAGAGTATTGCTGCGGCGCCGAGGAGGTCGACTGTGGTGGGTGGTGGTGGTGAGGGGGAAAGAAGCAGTTTGCAGCCGCTGACGCTGACGCCGCCGTCGCATGAGGATGAGGTGGCGGAGGTGAATGCGCGGCCGAAATGTATGTGCCCGAATACGTGCGGTGGCTTGTGCGTGAATTCTGGTTCATGATGAGTTGACTAGAAGTCTTCATTTTAGGGAAGCGAGCGTTTAGTGTGATATTTCCTGGCTTTCGATGAGATTTGATGAGGACCATCCGTGCAATGATTTTTGCTGATGATGCATTTGTTTCTTATGACTTCTTTTTTTTGCTTGCTATTTGCTTGTTATCTATGGTTTTCCCCTCTATCATTATCTGATTTTAAAGGAGCGGCTGTTTTTTCTTCGTTTTTGCTTTCATATTTGTTTTAACGTTTGGATCCTAGGTCTTTATTTTTTCCAGCACCTTATCCATCTTTTTCCACTCTTGCCGTTTCTCCAGATATTTCCAGAGAAACATATTCTCATTTATATTACCTTCGCTGTTATAATTCCACGCATCTAGGATACCTAACTATCGTTATGTCACGCCGTAGGTTCTGTCGCTTCTTGTATCATATATACTTGCTAGGGGGTTCTTCTATCACTTAGTCCAATTTTGGCCTTTTTTTGTTTTCCTGTTTATACCGCGCTTTGCTTTTTATATTTTTTTGCGTCCTTTTTGGGAGGAAGCGGGAGGGGGATGGGGGGAAGAAATAGCATCATGGGCGTTATTCTTATTTAATATTGGGATTTATTGATCTGTGTGATGGGGGCCGCCGGGGGGCTACTTGAACCTGAAGAACAAGAAAGAAGAATGGAAACAACATTATCTTGCTGGTTAGTTGTGTTAGTTAGTCAATGCCGTCAATCATAACTATAGCCAGTAGATAGCTGTGCATCAAACATCAAACCCGAAAGAAACCACTGAAAAGAAAGAAAAAAAGTATTTACAACAAATACCGTGATGTGCCATACCTAAAAACTAAAGCCTAACTCCTCAGCTGCTCAATCGCACTCTGCAGCGCCTGTCTCCGGCCCTCGACCCACGCCAGATTCAACACCTCAATCTTCCCGCCCAGAAACGTCGTATTCCCCGGCGTAAGCAGCAGCAGCCCCCTCGCCGCCGTGACATCCTTCAGCACCATCTAAACACACACCTCAATCAGCATCAGCACCCCCACTACACCCAAACACCACACAACCCACAAACCTTCGCGCCAATCGCCATATCGCTCTTCACGCCCTCCACCGCCTCCAACTCAACAGCATACACCCTCCTCCCCCCCGCATCCTCCACCAACACCTTACACGGCCCCGTCTTCCCCGCCCTCCCCACCACCCTCGGCGCCTCCCCGTCCTCCTCCGGCAGTACCCTTATTACCTCCCGCCCGCGTACCACCTCCCCGCGCGCCGCCATCTCAAGCCTATCCAGCTGCTCCACGCGGCTCAAGCCCACGTCCTCTACGGCCACAATCTGCACCGCGATCGGCCCCACCAGCACCTGCGCCTGTGTGTCCGTGTCGTGGATGCTGGGCGGGAAACATAGGTTTGCGTGCGGCTGTAACGACTCGGTGATGTCGGAGGCGAGAATGCGGAACTTGAGGGAGGCGAGGAGCGCGGCGCCGGTGGGGAGGCGCTGGGTGGTGAGGGTGTGGGAGAGCCATGTGGGGCGGAGGTGGAGGTTCAGGGACGTGCGGAAGTGGGAGAGGAGGGTGTCGATGTTGGGGGGTGGGGGCGGCATTGTATCTGGATATGATATGTGTTTGGTGGTGGGGGGAGGTGCGAGGAAGACGCGTGGAGTGGTGGGCGGTGGTGGGGTGTCACGTGGATGCGTGTGCTGGTTAGCTGGGGTTTGTGGCGCGGGTCTTGCTGGCTAGCTAGGCTTTATTGCTTTTGGCAGGGTTAGTAGCCTTTTCATAAGATATGTCTCCACGATATATACTCAGGTACAAGCAGTTATCTTCGGATACCAAGATCCCCCCAAACACTGGGCCCAAATAGTGTAGATTCTTTCAGACGGGAGAACATTCAGTACGCGCGGAGCTTATCCCACGACTGTATTCTAGTATGCCGCCCTGCTATATGTGTCGGACGGAAATATATCAACACCGCTAGACATTTGCACAGCCTCGCCCTTCGGACACCACTTGACTCTGCGCCGTGTATTCACTAACTGATAGCTCTTAATACCAATTGAGCCAGAGATTTATCACTAGATCCATTAGCACTTCGTGAGTTTTTGGCCGGCGCGTAATCATGAAACATCACTCGCAGTAACTCGCTATAGCTTTACTACCAAACGGTATATTGCCCGTAAAACTCCTGTATTAATACAGCTTGAGCCAAGTTAGACAACCCGGGAGTTAGTCCCCTTTTTCGATTTTTAGTTTTAATGTGATGTGTTTTTTATCTAGTCAGTGTCTGCAGCTTGATAGGCGTCATAAACTATCACTCGCAGCCCGTGCGCCGCACTGGCACAATCACTCGGAACCGCATGTTCTCCCATTCCCCACCCCCCATCCTAATCACCAATCCTTCAAACACAAAAGTCAGCGGGTACTAAAAGCACGGCTCCAAGAAAGGCTGCGTCCATTTCAAATTCCAGAAACGACCTCGTCATTCATAAGAAGCAAATTGTCCCGCGCAGCGGCGTCCTCTCGATAAGTCCTCGGAAATGATGCGGCCAAGAGCCATGGAACCGTTGCCAGATTGACAGCGTCATGGTATATCACTCGGTCGCCTACGCGCCTACCCGTAGACGAAAATCTAGAAGTATACCAAACCAAGCGAGTCTCCCTAGGGCGGAGAGCGGGTGAGCGGGTGAGCGGTGGTTAACGTTCAGAGTATCTTGGCGCGCGTTAGATCCACCAGTTAACAGGCCATGGACTGCCGGTTCATCAAATCCAGGGTGAAAGGTAGTGTGGGGTGGTTGGAACGACCGATGGTTATTGTATGACCAGTGGTTTTTATAGTCACAGTGAGAGGACAACTTGTTCTTTATCAGACAAAAGTACAGGCAGCTTAATACAACATTGACAACAAGGTATTCATTTACTCCTATCTCTGCCTACAATGGTTTGACTTTTCTTCTTTCGCTACTGCCACCTTTTTCAACCTCAAATAGCACCAGTCCTCAAAAACACATCCCAATAACAAAAGCACTACCTACAAACACTCCCCTACAGTCCCAACGCCGCCACACTCTTCGCATCCCCAAACTCAAAAGTATCAAACCCCAGCCCCAAGCCCTCCAGGTATGCCATATACTTCGGCATCCTACTCGCCAAGCCCATCCTAAAATACTGGTGATAGCCGACCCCGATTGCCTCAACAGGGCTCTTGCCATTATTATAGTCCGACCCTCTACTCGTCTCACTAACCACCGTCCACACCTCTCCGCTTCCAGGACGGACCACTCTTTCCTCCCAGGGCACGTCTTCGCCCCAGTTATACGTAGCCCAGTACTCCCACCCCGCAATCAAGCGTGTATTATTGTGTGTGAAGAAGTTAGTCTGCACACCTCTAATCTTGCCCTGGATGAGCGCAGTGAGGCCCATATAGCTCACGGCCCTCAGCGTCCCCATCGGGTGTCCCTGGTCCCTGCCCATCTCTGTCACCTGGCCATAGTAGTCCGGCTTCGCGCTGATCTGGATGGAGATGGCATAGTCCAGCGTGATATCCGGGTGGTCGCCCACCGTGGCCTGGTGCACCATGGTATTATACAGCTCTGCATCCTCCGCAAATACCGCGAGCGCCATGACCGCGGAGTTTCCGTATGCGCCCTGGTTCATGAAGAAGGCCGCGCCCGACAGGCCGTCGCTGTCGGTCCACGGCTGGGCGCGGATGCGCTCAAACATGGCGAGGTAGTTGGCGGTGTCTGTGGATGTCCAGCCGGAGGCTGGAGATGCGCGGAGGATCTCGGCGGCAGCCGTCATGTATGCCATGCCCTCACCGCCTTGGATTTGATCGTTGAGGTAATTGAGTGTTGTGGACCACGCACGGATAACGGTAAAGGACCTGTCGAGCCAGGTGCTGTTGCCCGTGGGCATACCAGCCCAAAGTCATAATGTAGGCGACCTTTCCGTCGGTCTGGAGAGGGATATTGTGGCCGTCGTCCCCGGCCCAGATGACCTCTGCGTAGGGCCCGCTCATGGACCATGTTGAGGATTTGAGGAAGTTGCACTTGGAAATTATACTGGTGAGGGCGTCGGTGAAAGGGGAGAGGCCGGCGGAGATCTGAGATTGGATGCGGTTGAGAGAGGTACATGAGTGGTAGATGCCAGGGTGAGTAAAGCCATTCGAGGTGGTTTGAGTGCAGGTTGGGAGCGCAGCACAGGAAGTGAGGGGATGGGCGAGGGTAGCACTGGCCAAGAGGAGCGTAGAAAGGAGGGGACGCAGGAAGACCATTGTGAATGGGATATGGAGCTGATGATTTAAAAACTGTTCCTGCGGGCTTTCTAAGAGATTATATAGAATCTTTTGTGGTTAGAATAGATCTATCTAGATCCATGAATGATCAACTCGAGCTATGAACTCTGCTCCTGTAATTTCTCAATTCCCTAGCAAGACTCAGCATCTGACAATTGAGAGTCTGACCTACGCTGGTATTTATCTTGTCGTGTTCATATGATTTAAGGTTTCCCTTCAGGGACTACTAGTACATGGTTCAGACAGATACACTGCCTGTAATTAAAGGCTAGAGTGTAACAATTATATTGCCTCGCTAGCCAGTTGAATAAATATTTGTGGGATTATCAAAGGGGTAATACTCTTTTGTGGGGAGTTCGCGATATTTCAAAGTCGGTGCTTCTTACCCCCGATGTGGCTGGAATTAATAATTAATAATCGATGTGTGGCACGTACTAAGTATACGGTGCATATTTTGTAGATCGCATCAGGTCTATGTGTGAGTATCACCAACTCCTATTTGAGTAGTTAATTTTGCGTATAGGTTAGGTTGCCCTTTTTAGGTATTGATATTATGAAGATACTCATATCATTAACAACCGGCGAATTCCTAGTCCGCAACCAGCAGGTGGGTACCACTGATTCTGATCATAGTAGTCTCACTTGTGTAAAGTGCGATTCAAGTAAAACACACCGTGCTGGGTACTTCATAACCCCTGAAACCCGGGCATGTCCTAAAGTCCAAGACACCAGGATAATGATCATCGCTTCATCCTGGGGGCAGTGTAATAAAGCTGACATCCCAACGGATTGAACCCCGCCAAAGTTACTTGCGGTTCTTTTCCTTCAAGTCTCTCGCGGACTCTAAATCGTCTAAATAGTAGTCAAACATGAAAGTCTTAGTACCAACTTGAATCCCCCGTATTCGGATGTAGCAGTTAATTCCCCAAAACTCAAATAATTGGTCCGCGCGCTCCGGATTTGCGGGATGATTATTCCACTTTATGTCCCATCCCATTTGATTACGTAGATCCTAAATGTACCACCGCGTCATATGCGGGGTACAATAATCAATGAAATATCTAGTCCGGAACAACCCCGACAACCACCCCAGACCCTGGGGAACGTAACACAGGTGGGGCTTGCGGGGTACCCAAATGTAGTGAACGGGTTACAGGATATAAGTAACCGTTTTTTTGCGTCAAAGTAAGTAGTTGTAATCGGGAAGGATAGATTATAGCCGAGTGATATACTGTGATCAGTGACCTCTGGTTGCAATTATAAGAACACTCACTCCGTTAAAAATCCAAGAACTCATATGTTGTTAGTCATACTTCCTATAGAGATTTCGTTAACTGCGGCGAGAGCCCAACGCAAATTGCCCTTGCCATATCGCGTCAAGGCCACAGAATAATAGAACAGTAAGCGCCAAGGCCCACATAAGTATATTGTAGTCCGTATCAGTGCCAAGACCTCAATCCTACAAAAGCCTACAATTCAACTACATGTACTAGAAAGCACACTTCCTCTTCATTCCCAGAAGTGAGCTGCAAAAAATCTAGTTCAATCGTTGGCAACTCTTATAGGCGGAATGGCAAGGCGTGAAATACGTTTTCGGAGATCATCCGTTAGCTCTTCGAAATGATTATTTCCTGGCTCCTGCTTTCTCGAGGTTCGTTCTTAACTTTCTTGTTTTCATAGATCTTTGGTTAGAAGATTTGCTGACTCGTAGGGCTCAGTTGTTGTAAACTCCGGGAGGGGGTTGAATAACATACAGGAGTCTCCATGCACAGTATCCTGATCACTCAGTCAAGCCTTGTACTAGTAGGATATTGAGACCTTGATCCTTGGAAGCTAAATAATAGCTAACTGACCTTTAGGTTCGCTGACCTCTTCTTCTTGGTCTTTCAAATCTTGATCCAGCGGATGGTTCTTGGTTCTTAGACTTCGGAAGCAAAGACATTCAATTGTCCTGTCATTCAGAGTACATGTACCAGCTCGAGACAACATAGGTATGGATTTATCTCACATGCACGGTCCTGTGGATGAATTGAGCTGATATAGCTTCTTTTGATGTATTTCGAGATGAAGGTATACTGGGGGGTTTCCTTATGCTCAAGTCATCTGAGGCTGCGACTGCGACTGCTTTGATCCATAGTTAGAAGAAGAATTGATTGCGTCGAGGGAAGAGAGTTGCGGGGAGAAGCCTTTCAAATCCAAGAAAACAGGACACACGATCTGTTAGCGACAAGTTTGAGAAGAGCCCCGGGCTTGTGAGCTACTACATGTAACTGCTAGCTTCGTGCCAAGACTGGTTTCTGTTAATATCAGCACAGGCTACACCCGGGAACGGAACTACATATAGAATAGCTATCATCTCTCACCACCCTTGTCCTGGCCACCCCTAATGAGCTTGGTGTTGGTACTGCCCATCACAAACTCCGGGGTTCAGGGCATATATTAACATACATGTAGCCAACACTATGAATCTTCTGAGCTCAGACTATGCAACCACATTGAGTCCCCGAAAAACTCGCACCCCAACAGTCTCCAACATTACAACATGGCTATCGTTCATTAGTATTCAGGTGCTCCCCCGTGAGTTTTGTTTCTTCTAAGCCAATTAATTATTAACATAACTACATACATAGAATGTTGCAGAATATAGGATATTTTACAGTGACAAGCCGATCGAAAGCGAATCAGTCTGGTCCAAGGCCAAAGAACGAGTGTTGCTCAACAGCGAGTTTGAATTGCCCCGTCCGATAAGTCGCTTTAGAGTCCACTTCAATGGGGCAACATTTTAGGCTTAGGGACACAAATTAGCAGGCCCTTAAGCAATTCGCGCAAACAATCTTTATATCGTCAGAGTTCGTGTTTCTCCATCTCTAGAACGGCCAAAGTCAAAGACGCGCTTATAAGGGAGAAATTACCTCAGTGGCTAAAAGTTAGTTGTTATCTCAAGGAAATAGTACGGAAACTTCTTTACTATATAACTTTTGCTTTTTAGTAGCATTGTTAACCTTGTGAATCACTTGTGTCCTACAGTCACAAAACATCACTCGTTTCTCATCTCCACCAAAACCCCAACAAATACATGACTGTTAACCCTACAGTTTGTGAACTTCTCGGTTCCATACATTCCAATTCTTTTTTGCTCCAAAAAGGTTTATACACTACAAAGGCTTCTGAAAGTACAACTGTTAAGAGCAACGTAAATGAGGACCTGAATGAACGAAATAAAGGGGGAAAAACAACCCGCCCGACCAACCGAAAGACCTCCTACCAGCCAATTTTTTGTAACGGAAAACTACCCAGCATCTACCACCCAAGAAGTAAAGGAAACAAGGAAACTCATAACTGTTACACTGATACATTGGTAGGAAACAAGAACATTTGGTTCGTTTATTCGGCAGTACTCTTTCTTCTCCTCTTGGTCTTTTTCTTCGGAGTCTCCTCAACAACAGCCTCCTCTTCGGCAGCCTTCTTCCTGCTTGAGGTTCGTTTCCTCTTCTCCTTCTCCTTTGTGGTAGGAGGGCTCGCTGCAACTGGCGCAGGGATGGGGGTCTTCTTGACGGAGGAAGCGCCATTAACAGCCTTCTTTCCACGTGGGGTAGCCTTGGCTCTGGATGGAGGGGGTGGGGGCGGGGTGGGGGATTTCGCTTCCTCCTCCTCCTCCTCCTCCTCCTCCTCCTCCTCCTCTTCTGCTTCCTCCTCAGGTTCGGCCTCGGAGAGCTCGGATTCTTCAGGCTCGGCAGCCTTTGTAGCCTCCGGTTCGGCTTCTGACTCAGCGTCAGATTCTTCAGCGGGTTCGGTGTGGTTTACCGCGGTGAAGCCAGATGCAGCAGTTGCAGCAGCAGCGGGGGCAATGGCTTCAGGGTGGGGCTCTTTGGAAGCCTTGTATTCAGCAAGTTCCTTGTCATAGACGACGCGGTTCTTCTGATACAAATCTTGCCAGGCCTATCAAAACTTGTTAATCAATTGTTCTGCATGTGCCACGCATTTGAGCAACCGACCTTTTTCTCATCCTCTGGCACTTCAGCCCAACGCCTGGTCAATTCGGCGATGACATCCTTGTGACTAGCGCCATCTCCAAGATCCCTTTTGACAGTCTCACGTCCCTGATTACAAAACAAGAGGTATGCGGTCATTGGCCTCTTGGGAAGGTCCGGGTCACGCTTTTCACGCTTGCGACGGGGACGCTTGAGAGGCCCTTCCGGTTCCTCAGTGGTCGCACGTACAGGGGGAGCAACGGATAGAGCTCGAGAGTATGTGGTGGTGAATTGATGTTCACCATTGGGAGCTCCAATGATGTGATCAAAGTACGCGAGCCCAGCACGCGAGGCTTCTTCGGCCGCGTTACGGAGCATAGTCATTGATGTGACAAACTGGAGATGAATTGAAAGATCCATTGTCAGCGTGATGGAACCAGAAAGAGTTTTTTTTTCTTTCCTTCTTCTTGTTCTTTTGATAAATTACAAAAAACTGCAGAGGGAAAATAAAAGGAAAGACACGATGAATAATGAAGTAAGAAAAGACAAAAGAAGAAGGAAGTGTCTACTATGGGTGTACGCGTTGGAGGGGGCCCCGAGCGCATTTTGGGGGGTGGGGGAGAAGGACGAGGATGATGGGATGGATGAATGCTTACCGCGTCGCGTTTGCGAACAAGGTCATCGTGTTCACTGTTGACAGCGACCGCCGGCGCAATGACGGCCACCTTGTCTTTTGCGGGTCCTCGCGCCATTGTTGGCAGCGATTGATTGACTGATAGTAAGGTGGGGTAAACGGTGATGTGAGAGATAAGATTACAATGGTAATCTTTTTTGGATGTTTAGTATATTAATATTTCACCTTTCTATCTCTTAGGTCGTTATGGTGGACGACTCGGAAAGAGAGAGATGGGTGAAAAAAGGATGGGTGTTGGGTTGTGTTGGATGTTGGGGAGGAAAAGGGAAGAAGAGACTTTTGTGGGGTGGGAGAGGGTGGGAAGAAGAGGAAGAAGAAAGAGGTTGGGGGGTTGTGTTGTGTGTGTGTGGAAAAGATTGGGGTGCCCGAGAAAGAAAGGACAGAAAAAGGATGGGGTGATGGCCAGCCTACTTTTGGGTTTTTTTTTGGTTGATGGATGGCCCCTCTCGACTGTTGTTGCTCCTCGTCTACCCGCGGCGAAAAATCGTTCGTTGCCTTTTCTTTGGTTCATGCCAACTGCAGGCCAAACCCATTGCCAGTTAGCAAGCAACCAAGCGACAAGGCAACACTGGCATAGAGAGCGGGTGCTGCCTGGTTACCATGCAACCGTGTCCAACAGTCCTTTCCCCTCCCCGCCAAAAGAACATAGACACTTCACCTCTTTCAGTTGAGACTACATGTGAGCCTGGCATAGGTGAGTTGTGTAGTTAGAAATACCCACCACCTGATCCTCCAACTAGGTGCATCTAAGCTAAATAGTTGAGTTTATTCGGTAACAACTCGTCTATAGATCTCTCTCTAGATCTCTGGATCTCTTTTTTTCTCTTCCCTCTTCACTTCAGATTCGCGGGAAGGACTCCCAAGTCCCGAGAATCAAGCCTGATCCTCGATACGGTGCAGGCATGCCCATTCACTACAGGGACATTTGTAACTTATCAATTTGTTGATCTTTGGCATGCTCCGAGAATAATAATTTTTTTTGTTTTACACTTGTTCACTGATAACACTCACATAGCCTCCTTTGTTCTGCCTTGACCTGTCTTATCGCCAGTGACACTTCTGGAGGCCTAGGGGAAATGAGGCGCGCGCGGCCGGTCAATGAGTCCCATGGCCATTGACTATGGTCAACCCGAACTTGTACATGCATGTACTCTTAAACAAAAGGTCCTTGAAAGCGAGAAATAACGACGTTATCCGAAAACCGAGATTTTTTTATTTTCTTCTTTCAATAAACAGGAAGCAAAGAAAAGGACGCAAGGAAATCCTGAATACCGCTCTTTTCATCATCGTGTATGGCGGGCCACATGTACGCATGCGACGCTTTCACGTCAACACCCCCCAAATTCACTATGAGGGCACTTATGCTTACCCCAACCAAAACTAGTATATGTTTGACGCAATATCAAATTGTAAAACCCAACAGAGTACGACAATAAAACAATTTCATATATAAATTAGACAACAATGATGCAATAAAAATAAGGAGTAACGGAGCATAGTTACATTCACCAATGAAACATAGTTACAGCTAGTCAAATGCTTCGCCTGAAACTTTGGAGCAGAATGTCTCAGGTACTTACAGGATTTCCTGCCATATTGTCACGCACTTCAGTTTATCACAAGGGCGGTTATATAATTATTTTCTTACGCAGATATGCTTCAGTTTTCGATAAGTGAACATGAATACATATCTACATGTGCAGCTCGTCTCCGAATACATAGAGTAAAACATTTACTACTGAGTAGGTTCCTTCTTTCTTTCTATAAAGTGAATCGCGGGATGGCTGAACTCAATCAAATTATTTTCGCACACCCGCCATAATCAAGCTTTCTAGTACTAACTACCAACTTGAAGGTCTTTAATGTCTTGATGGCAGTTCCTGTTGTAGCCAAAGCACGTCTTGGGATCCGTGCTAGCAGGCTTACATCTACGGTAATTTACCTACCCAAAGGATAGTCCGACTTCTTGAGCCGGATCATTCACCACCAGGATCGTGTGTAAATATAAAGAATAGATCTCTAGTTCAAACCCTTGTGAGCATCTAGGGCATATAGTTGTCCTCGGAATAAGCCGTGAACTCTTCTAAACTTTTACTGTATAGCTGCCAGCTGAGTGTAAGAGGCTTCGAATAGTGTGGTCCACGAGGCCGAGCGGCCTTGTGGCTTTGCTTCGAGACCATGACCTCGAGGCCGGACAATACCGAGAGCTTACAAGGCCAAGGAAGCTCGGAACCACCACTCTGATAGGCCTCGAGGTGCCTCGAGGCCGCCAAGATCGAGCATATCCTTAAATATAATGCAGACTCAGGTTGGTATCGCACTAGGTTTAGGTATCGATTCACTCTTATCACCAAAAGTTTCTGTACTGGCGGTCTCGAGATGCCTCGAGACACCTCGAGGCCACTTCTCTGAAACCTCGAGACCAGTAAAGGCCAATGTTAAGCAAAACCGAGCGGCCTCAGTACTACTCTCCGTTCTCGCCTCGAGCGGCCTCGTGGACCACACTAACTTCGAATCCCTCTCCTTCCATCAATAACTGTAGTAGCGGTGGTGCCGCTTGCAATTGATTCAATTCGAATTCATTGAACCATCTTCTGTCACTTTATTGGCATGTTTAAGACCGGTGACAGAAGTTGCTACGAGAACAGCAAGATTGCATTAGAATTTGACATCTCGAGAGCCGCTGTTGCGCATATAGAATGCCATGAAATGCTTAAGGCAGGATACGAATTTTCGCAACCAAAATTTACTTTAAAATCAAAACCTACCCCCTAAATCCTTCTTATAATTTTCAAAATGAGCACTATGAGCTCAGTGCATATAAATACTTGTAAGTATGGGATGAGATTAGAGCTCATTTTCTCCCCATAAGTCTCTACGAAACCCTATTAACAGACTTACATGAAATTTAATCTCCATGCGCGCATGAGTTCAAAGTCGCCATCAAAAGTATATTTTTCTGTTTAGGTTTTTACGTATCCTCCCTTAAGCTTCTTTAAAATTTTACACTTTGTGTTGTATTTACCCTACTCTACATGTCCGTAGTATATTAGGCATACATGTAATCATCCGCGGAAACGAATCCGTGATAAAACGGCCGAGTGAGTTTCCGTGACTCAACCTAATCCTCGTCCGGTAAAATTACTAATCAAATGCCTACAAGCTTCGTTGATATCAATTCGAAGATTGAAACCAAGCTACTCTAAGATACGAATTGGAAACCCGATCGATCGAAAGACTAAGCAATAGTAATGTTAAATAATATAGCCCTACCAAATGGGGATCCGGAACACAATGAAAGAGTGGCCTAGACAAGGATAACCCCTTACTTCCTTCCTTCCCATGTATCAGCCCAGCCCAGCCCAGCCCAGCCCTATACTCTCGTTTTTTCCCGCCCCTGCATATTGCATATGCAACTAAACGATTGGAACCTGATTCAAACCCGAGTGATAAAGATGTTGTTTTGTGGTTTGTGGTTTTCGTTGTTTGTCACTTTATAGCAGGGATTTCAGATATTTAGTCCGGTTGTACTATATCGGGTTTACTCGAAAGAAATTGCCATTGTGAAAGGACGGGTAGTAAGATCTTGATTAGATGATGTAAACAACGCCTCGGTACGGTATATCTTCCTAAATGATGGATAGTAGGTATCCAGAACTCTTTATTAGGGTGTGGAATGAAAATACCGCTTTTAGTACTCTAACGCATTCAGCTAGAATAGAACCCGTGTTCTGAATCCCACAGCAAAATGAGTTTGGCTCGTATGTTTCACATAGAAATCAGAATTTTCGTAATTCTTCGTTCTCAGCTGAACTTGACATGATCATAGCGCACATGCACATGCATTTACTACAGCGAACGTTAACGGTTAAGATTTCATATAGTTGCAACCCATGTTACATAAACACCCCTACAACCACGAATCTTCTTTTAAGGTTCCGAATACTTCTAGCACACTGGATTGATAACCATGTACATGAATATATACCTACATCTATATGTAATCAACACAATTGTACGTACAAACTCGTTCAACAGTCTCAGAAATGGCACATACACACGCACATAACACAATCTGTGTACAGTGAAACAAAATCATAGTAAGTCTTAGACACTAAATCATCAGCAGAAAAAGCTTGGCCAAGTCAATACAGAGATTCCGTGACTACATATACAGAGTAGATACATGTATTGAGTTCGCGAATAAAGCAAGATATTATATACCCGGTATCCGCTTCACAAATGATCACTCGGTACGAGCAGACTAGCAACCGGAGCGTTTAGCTTTGTCTTAACTCACTAGACCCAGGTGAGCCGTTTCAAAGTCAAACCTAAAATGCAAACAGCTTTTGACGAACCAGACCTCCACAGTAGCTATGAGCCGTGAGGCTCTAGAAGCTTAAATACATGTATCCACGTTCAGTAAACTTTGACAGGAGAATCATATGTAGTGTAAACGGCTAGTGTTGAGTCACGTGTGAGCGAGATGAAAAGGCGTGTATGGACAAGTGGCTAGAGATCAATGTGCCAGCAGATACAGATATAGTAATCCACAGGTAGAAAGACTCCATTGCCCTAGCTAGAAGTCTTCGATTTTATCCATTTTCTGATCAGGATCTCACTTATTATGGCAACCAGAAGGCTGAGACGTCTACATACACACTACATCATTATGCCTAGATATATGGTAGTTCAGAGCAGCTCATCGCTGGGAACAAGTTTCTTATCTTCACTGTATAGAGGGTTTTTGGGGGGGGGGGGGGGGGGCTATGTGGCTTATATTTGACCAAGAATTCCCATGTGAATAGTTTAACTACATCTCATCACTGACCTACGATTGTTATTAAGGTTGAATTTCTCAGCTCCGGGGTACCCGACTTGCAAAAACCACCAAAACCAATCAAAATACTATCGTCGAGCCTACCAATGGCATTTAGAAAAGCACTACATATATGTGGTTATTTAATTACGCGTACGAGTGTAGGTCACGGTTACACTTACAAGCATAAATGCTTAACTACACGAATCTCTCCCTTTATGACGAAAGAGCCTCCAAAGGCATGCTCACACGCGACGGGGTACTACCACAGGTGGTACTCTGGAAAGCCGGCGCACACGGTACGGTACTGCTACCAAAAATTGAACCGACCACCCGATCTGGTTAGATAATAGGGAACTACTGGGGTATTCCTGAAATAGAAACTTACATGTATTTACTCCAAGATACATCATTGACATCAGCATATAATTATCGTCGCCGACGTCCATATCACATAGATGACCGTGTTCCAAGTTACTTGATAGGCACACGCATGGAAATCTATCTCTTTATCCACCGGTTTGGAGGAAGATTGAGCATTTGGGTGCTTGGTTTTGACTCTCCAATGGATTGGTGCATTGCTCTGACAATTACCTACAAGCGCCCACACGTTTATAAAGCTATTCTGGGAACACATACTTTACACATGACGTTTATGAGAAATTTTTCAGATCAAGATTTCTTTTACGGTTATCATACGTGATAGGGGATGGACATTGAATAGATGGCATTCTGGTTGATGCCATAAATAGCAACCAAGTAAAACCCGCTTAAGTGCGAGTGTGGGAGTCAGAAGGCTTAATCAACATCTCGGACGAATTGGGTGTTGCGCAAGAAATGGTCGATCTACCTAGTGTAGGCGTGTGGATACAGCGTTTAGAGTCGTTTAGAGTAGGTACATAGCTCGCGCTCTGGCTAGGTACATGTACCTACCCAGCCTGCTGATCAATCCATATCTTTCACAGAATGGTACTGATGTCTAATGACATTTACCGGTACAGTACTCTCGAGTACCTATGTAGCTTTTTTTTTGTTCCTCTGCAGGTGGTTGCGCGGTCGCTGATTGGTGCCATATGTCTCCTCTTCACTGTAAAAAGCAACTGTTGGGTGAGGCTGAAAAATGAGTTGTATGCGGTGAGTGGTGACTGGATTAACAGTTATTTACTCAAGGGGCTAGATCAAGGCTTAGTAGCCGATAAAGTACTTTCTTGTACCACTCTACCAAAATACGACATCTGCATTTTTCAAGATTCAGCACACAGCACCTGAAATTCAATTCACTCTTAGTTGTCGCCAAGTGATTAGATCCTACCGGATTAGCAAAGTCGCTCTCGCTGAGCATGCCGATGCCGAACTCCCCCGGTAAAGCGAATTTCGGAAATTTCGCAAACTCAAACATCATCGGAGAGTCGAAGTTACATACGGGAGTTCAAAGGGAAGTGAGCAGGATGGGGGTTGGGATCTATACTAGTTACCTAATATGTTGGCCGTGGCTGTGAGACCAAGAATTCAGAAAGATTATTCTGCTTCCTCTCTCACTAAGTTGCTGCTGCTACAAGCCCATATTCTGCTTCACTGCCCTGCAGGCGACCATTCATCTCACAAGCGCGTGACAAAGATTTTATAAAGAATTGGGGTATCATTTAATTCCTCCACGCTACAGGCACTTACATGTTCAAACGGTTCGAGGTTCAAGATTGGATTTGTCAAACCCAATCGTCGGAATCCCATCGTCAGCATCTTATTCTGGAGAAGGAAGTTTGGAGATCCCCAACCACTCCTCATATTATGCATCCCACACCCGTCCGCAACCCAGCGCAGTGGTTTCACGGCATGAGTGGGGAGAGGAGTGGATGAGGGAAGGGACGGGATCGAGCTCTGGAGAGAGGGGTCCCGGCTTAGATAAAGTTGTTTCTAGCATCCACAGAGGCTCATGCAAAAGCAAAAAGTAAAAATCCGAAGCGTGATGGGAAAATTCCACGGTCCTGCCTCAGCCCTTTTGACCTTTTTCAGCTTGGGGTTTGGTTGGCTTGTGTTCTCCCTGGTTTCGGGCAGCGAATGAAACACAGCCTCCCCTTCGAGCTCCCATGCCCAAAGTGGCTCGATCGCAACTGCGATCCCGCCGCGGCAGTGTATTATTTTTGGGTGCTGGGTTGCAGGTTGCCAGGTCCCATCCCATCTCGGCGTTCCTGTCATTGGCCTATTCTGGGTGACGTTTGACCGCCTTAGCGAGACAAGAGGGAAGGAAGGATCCTCTGTGGTATTTTGTTTTATTTTATTTATCTTATTTATTTATTATTTATCTTATTTACTAAGTAGGGATGGTTGACAAATTTGTTTACGCTTTCGAGGTCCAGGTTTACTGTGCTGGGTAAGGTGTGGATGCCAATCTGTAACGGAAATCTAAACCCAGGGCATGGGTGGGGTGGACCGTGGAAGGATAGCTGGAAGGAAGGTTCCCTGGAAGATTGAAGAGATGAAGGGCAAGAAGTCAGGGTGGGTCTGTTGGCTAACTGTGTAGAGCGAGGTAGGTACGGTACAGTCGGTATCGAGCACAACAGAAGCATTTTCCTTTTTTGTTTGCTTTCTCTCGCGCCTAGCTTGTCATTTCCTTTTATCTCTCTCTTGCCCAGGTGTCTAACACTGACCTTACAGTCGTTACGCTATTGGTACAGTTACTCTTCCCTTGTCAGCCAAGTGTGCCTTTTCTCATTTCACACCCTCGTGCCTCTAAGCACTCCACTGCGTCCCCACGGCTCTTTTCTTAGTGTTGCGCAACATCGAAGTCTCGCTCTCCCATACTACAGGCTGCATAATCCCCCCCATCCCCCCCTTGCCCAGTTCTGTCTGTCTGTCGGTCCTTTGCTGCTCTGTCTTGTCTGCCGCCCATAGAATTGCTCCTCCACCATCATACATACTTGTACCTACCACACTACCGTTCTAGCACTGTACTGGCGGTAGCAGTATCATAAGCCCATCAGTTACAGCACCAACCCAAGTGACACCTACCTACCTGCTTCCTGCACTACCACTGCGCTACTGCTGCACTGCTCTTCACTACTCCTACAGCCGCAGCCTCGTTTCCTTGTGCCCGCCCAAAACCCTTCTTCCGACGCCCTCTCCGCTCGTTCAGCAGGCCTGTCAGACACATCTTCACCGTAACAAAACCACTCGCTTTTCCCCTACCCCCCTCCACCACACCCCCCCCCAATACATAGCCGACAGGATCACAACGCCACGATCCCTTCGTTCATCCACCATCACCACCCCCTCCTTTCCTTCTTGAACCCTTCAGCCCCCCCGTCCTTCGTTCGACTTTTTACAACCAACCCTCGTTTGCTTGCACCTTCCCACGGTTTACATTCGACAAACGCCTTTCCCTTACATCGCAAAAGGAGCGTGTGAGAGTGTGCAATTACCCCCACCGATCCGAGCCACGATCCGAAATATATCCAACAAAACCCCGACCGATATACTAAGAGGAAACAAAGAGAAGGAGGAAGGACGCCCAGAGAGATAGCAAGACAAGGAGAGAGTGGGAGACATAAAGGAAGAGCTTTTGTTAGTCACGACACCTAGTTTTAAAAAGATCCGCCCAACTATACGCGGAGTCTCTTAAATATCGCTTCTTCCCGGCTAGCAAGTTAACACCGTCAAGATTCCATTCGACAGTAGCAGAAATTCCCTCCTCGGAGGAGGTGCTCTTCCGCCGCCGCGAAGATCAGGTATGGTTTACAGACCTACTACGACTTGGTCATGGAGCTTTCTGCTCCTGGCTATCATCCAGTCTTGCGCTGTACTGGGACTTGAAGGGTACGTTTATCACTTTTCATCGTCGCACTTGAGGCTGAAGAAAATCGCGTCTGAGATGGGACCTTTTTATTTTTTTATTTTTTTATTTTTTTTTGTTTCGTGGCCAAACCTGGGACCTAGTTTGAATGAAAGCTGACTGGTGGGATCGGATAGATATGTGTTTGCAAAATTTCAAAATAACCTCAATGTAGATGTTATCAATTCAAAGACGCCAAATGCCTTCCAGGCAGCTCAGACACGCACGATCCCAACGTAAGTTGATTTTCGTCCATATATAATAGTCCCTTGACCTCTGTGACTAACCATGCTATTAAATCGCATTAGTTATCTTACTCTCTTCATTTTCGCTCACATGTTCCTGGTGATTCTGTGTTATGATGCGCTGCGCCTGAAGAACACCATTCAAGTTATCGGTATTTGCATATTCAACGGTGCTATGCTTGTTTACGCAGCTATTCAGATGGATCAGATCAAGGACGCAAACACCGCCTTGAGGGAGCTAGGCGTCACTACAGAAATGGTAGAAAAGGGAGGCGATCCTAACGTCAAGGGCGCCTTGGAAACAAATATTTGGCCGTATATTCAGCCGTCTTTAATTGCCATCCCGTGTATCATCGCCTTGTCGACAATCTTGATGTGCGTAGTTTGCTGGAAACTTTACGATGAGTTTGCATGGACCATCTATAAGCATATCAGTGCCGATCTAAGAATGAGAAAGAGATATCTCACTTTCCAGGTATGTCGCTGTATCAACTGGTGCAATTCTATGATGGTAACTGACAATATTGCATGGATTATAGATTTTCATTGCTTTGCTCAAATTCGATTTCTTCTTCTTTGTAGGATTTACAGTCCAATTTATCGTCATTGTCGCCTCAACCACCAGCTATGTCACGAAACAGATTAAGGGTACCAATAAGGATTACGAATTCTACGTCACCATTGTCGTGCTCCCGCTCACAATAGCCTTCTTGATTCTCGCGGCATGGTGTACAAGGAGGGAAAAGAAGCTTGCGATGGGTGGTGTAGTTGTCATATTTTTCGCGGCGCTTGCATACTTTATCTTCAAATTGGTCAGGATGTACCAATCTCCATATGACGACAGCTACAAACCCGCGCGACGAAGTTTAACAACTTTTGGTGAGTTTGAATTATCAGAGACTCTGTTGCGAGGGTATATGTGCTAACCAATCATAGCCGTGATAACAATTATACTCATCATCCTCACCATTGCCAATGCAATAGCATGCATGATCAATTTCGACAAGGGTCTAAAACCTCACATTACACGACGAAAGATGTCCGATGAGGAGGAGAAGCACAGCATGACAGAGATGAGCAACCACGCTACTCATACCATGCCCTCACGGATGACAATCGACTAAATACAACCGAAGAATGCAAACGCTCAAATCAGACTGCCCGTGTGTTGCTCGTTCATAAGCTGTATTTTTTTTCCATGCAACATCTATTGGGGAAACAACATTCCTTCGAAAAGAAATAGTAGTGCATTCAAATAATTCTAGCATGGGAAGGCTGCTTATTATTAAGAAGCGATCGGCAAATGTATAATTCTTTCTACGTCACTTTTTATTTTCTTCAACTGTGGCAAAATTGGCGGCTCTTTGTGTTCTCTTGTCTCATGTTCAATGCTGTAGTACAAAATTAGGTGTATTTGAGCGGGAGAAGGACGAAGGGGCCCGAAAGGTGTTATTTCTTTTATATCTTTATTTTCTTGTGTTATTTTGATATCAATTTCCTGGGGTTTTCTAACATTCATCATCTTTTTTCCGCATGATTAATTCTACACGGTGTTCAAGTTCCTTCTGTGTGTGTTGCTTTTTTGTCGATTTTTCCCTTACGTGTTCTATTCTTTTTTTTCTTTGCTCGCTTCAGGGATACCCCCGGATTGAATCTGAGAAGGCTGGCTGGTTTTTTCTTGTTGGAAGGCCCGGCTGGCCTGGTTCATGCTTGTTATCTGAACGGATGGTCACGAACGATGTTGAGGAAGAAAAAATACCTTTTGTTCTTTCTTTCCCTCTCCTTTTTTTTTTTAACGAACGAAGGATATCAGGCAGGGGTAAGGTCGACGTCTCTGCTCCTTTTTTGATGGGGATCGACGCCAGCCCGTCTGGAACCTTGTTGTTTCTTTTCATCGGAAAGATCGAACGGGGAGAATTTTTTGATCACTCTTGCGCGAATTGATCACGTCTACTTTTTGCATGCCTCGTCCGCGCTGGTGTTGCATATTGCTTTGTGCAGGATGGAGGGAAAAGAAGGTAAATACGCCTTTGTTTCTCCCTTTCTCGTTGCACACATTCTATGGGGGGAATGGGCTTGTTCTGGTGCACTGGTTGGGGGGGATGGGAGATGGGGGGAAACTGGTATGGATTATCGGGGGAGGGGAGGGGATTGAACGAGTTTCTTTGTGTCTATTTTCCCTTTTTTATCTTTTTTTCCTTCTCTGTTTTATTTTACTATCCAACTACTCTTGAGCTCTTTTGCGATTGAGAAACCATTTAGTTTTATCAAACTACCTCGCTCTCTTCTATATCTCCTTATGTCTCTGTCTGCCTGCCACCTTTTGATACCACTTTTGCGAAAAGTCTACTACCGTTCTGGAGTGTGGTGACTTGTTAACTGTTTGTTTCTTCATCACCGCCGTGATACTAGATTTCATGGCGGACAACACTTAATGTTAGGGTCCAACTCCTACATACGCTCTTTATGCATGCTCTCTTTCCTTAAATGTATCTTTCTTCTTCTTCCACGGGCTGTTTATAGTATTAGCTCATTCTTGTATGATAGAGTGTTTAATCTCTCTGCTATCTCTCTCTGGGTTCTGGAAACCCCAAAAGAAAAAAAGAAAAAGCTATTCCTATTTGCAGCGGTTTTTTTTTTATGGTTGATGATAGAAATGGAAATCTTGTGTTTGTTTTGACCTCTCCGGTTCGTTTCCAAGGCCGGCGCGTGGGGGCCGCCAAAATTGAAAAGTTTGTTGGATAGCTTGGATCGATCATCTACCACCACCAACCCCTTAAGATTTTTTTCCGACGTTGACGGAGTTAAAGTGTAAAAGAACGCGGGAGTTCTAAGTTCCTGGCCCGACCCGGACCCCGATAATAATATTACCAATGCGTCCTAAGGAAGATGACGCATACCCCCCCTCGGCTTACGTGCCCTTTACGAGCAGCTACAGACCTCCCCAGTGCTACAGAACTGTAAAGAACCTTTTTTTGTGTGGCTTCTACCGCCACTGATCTGAATTAATTAACGTTTTAGAAATACATGTAAGGAGTAAGAGTCTCGGGTCTGAGGCGTAGTTACATTAGTATATTTATGCTTTAGGGTTTGTAAGGGATCGCATGTGGGCGTCATGCGGGCAAGTGGTGGCGGTTGGCGGTTAAGCTGCCTGGAGTTCTGAGTAGGAGTTAAGTATCATGGTCGGTCACTCGGGGGGTGTTGCTCCCTTGGGCTGACTGTGGCAGCCCTCAACTACATACAATGTAATCAGTCAGCCTATCTCTGCGCACGTTCATGTAGAGTCGAGCAAAGAAGAGAAGGTCTATGTAGTTAGTGCTGTACCTGCGTGTATGTACGCGTACCAAGGAGAGGAGCATATGCGGCGAATCTCCTTCAAAGGTTAATCTCGTGTGCACGAATACGTACGCACAGGACGCTAGCTGTTATCGCTAAACGGCGGTAAGGCATAATGGTCGTGTGTCGATCGATGTTGAGACAGTCAATGGTAACGACAGCCTTAAGGGCTTAGTTGCGGATGTTGTGCAGGTACCTGTAGATATCATCAGGCTTTCTCGGATTTCGGCTCGCTAATTGCGCAAGGCCCACAGATAGGACGGGTACGCCTGTACAAGACGGGAAGGTACAGATGAATACATGTACTTCACAGAAGGAGTAGTACTGTAGAAGACAGTTGTTAGAAGTGTCAAATACCCATTGAGCTGGGGAGTCTGGAAACAAGGAACGGTGATGACAACTAGAACAGTGATACTTCACCATTACTCTGACCAACGCTCATAAGGCTCTCAATTTATCAACACGTATACGTCCACCGCAAATGATCTAAAAAGGACGCCGGAGTAGAGACCGTTTGCTCAGTGAAAATAAAATGCTGCCTCGCCGGGTACAGTTCTCTTGGACTTGATATTTGGACGCCTCACCCAATAATCCCCTGCATCGCATTGTGTCGAGATATTAACCTCTTTGAGGCTTTCTTGGCTGATCATGGCGATCTTGTATCTGGAAGGCTGTTATCGTCTGTCTATCTTCACCCACTGACTCTGTCGACGTCGTGATAATTAAGGAAATATTTGGTTTGTTGCGATTGATTAGACTGTGGATATCCGATTGAATCTGAGATGGGAGATGTACTGACTACCTGTAGAAGTGTGAAGCTTGAGGAGCTAGGAGCTTTGTAAACGTTCTCTGGGAGATTGGACTGTATTTATCTCCTAAGGATATAACTTCCATCAACTCGATCCCATAAACACCGTCCTATATATATGCAGCCCATGAAGCCGGATGAATGAAACGCAATCAGGAAGCATATATTCGTGTAGCCATGGCAGTCATAGGGAAGGTTGATCAAGTGAGGGGAGAAATCGGTGTGGAGTGTTTATCCCGCACCAAGAGCCAATATGAGGCCAACACGCGGCTAGACCCAAACAACTTTTCAAACCCCTAGCCCTACAAAACGTATACTATTACTATACTGCCCCCCCGTGTTTGAAAAATTAGAGGTAAAGCTGTTAAGGAAACATATTATATACGTTAAGTCAGTTAACAGCTTTCTAGCTTGATATTTAACCCGGGAGGCCTAGGAAAGCCGCTCTTAACGGCCAGGATGAGCGGGGTGATTTTATAACGGTTCTACAGAAATATTCGAGTTGGAAATCAAACCTAAAGCAATAAAGCCAACTGTCTTAAAGCCAGTTTGGAAGAACAGAGTTTTAGCAACTGTAGCCCAGCAAAATGTCTTTATAGCTGACGGGAATTGCAATTTGGTCAGTTATGATTTAGTAAATTGAGTAACCGCAGTTCAATTCAGATGGTCTATACCCGTCTACACACTGTATCTAAAAATGAATTTCACAGAGATTCTCACCAAATATTGATGTTGGAATTGCCGCCGCTCCGTTTCGCCCAAAATTCCTCCAAGATCAAAGTCAGGAATATATTTATACTAATGATCAGGAGAAACTAGTGACCCCCTAGGGCAAGTTATAGAATACATGTAGCTATATAAAATAGATTAGTAAATATAACTGCCGTCCGTCCAGCGGTAAAACATAGAAGACGGCCAGGAGGCAGGAAAGTACTATAGGATGATAGTCTTATTGGAGATTTTAGATGATGACAGGGCCGTGTGGGCGAATCGATAGCTATAGAAAGAGCTTCGAATTAACGCAGTAGCGGATGGCGCCCTTGGTCTTTATTGTCTTGCTCTACAACATTTGTAATCCTAGCGCATGCCGGATGGACGGTACTTAGTAGTGCTTTCATTCCCAACCTTCCGGGCCGCCGGATTGATCGATTGGGGGAGAAAATACTGTTATTAGTCTGTGTGTATAGGTATTGATTAGCGGACGGCCGTAGCTAGCCTCTATTTATAAGGAAATTGGAAGATGATGCTAGCTCTATATACCATGTGCGAGCCCATATAAAACACGACCAAGCAACCAAAGTATCATCCCAAGAAAAAAATCCAGCAGCAAAAACTGCAGCGAATTATGGGGTAAGGGCCCCTCCTTGCCCGGCCTGGGATTCGAACCCAGGCCGTTGCAGCTGTGACGGCAGCTAATGGAGATGGAATGAAGTTTTATCCCTTAAGCTAAGCCAAACAACGCATGCCAGTATTGTCCGGATTTCTCTTATAACCCCGTCCCACAGAAGGGGGCTCGACGTGATCAATCTAATCTAATCCTCATCTTTAGTGCAGGGACCTGTCAATTAGTGATGCAGTAGGTATTTAATTCAAAATAAAGTCTGACTGCAGAAGCTATGCTACGTATACGGTGTCGATCCTACGTTTGACATGCCCTCAATCACTGTAGTTTATGGGTGACACTACTCTTCATGGCCATTTGTCCGCCCTCACGAGAGATCGAGAGGCCTTGCAGCTCGCATCTGATGTGAGTGGGCCGGTCGAAAGAGCATCATCGGGTCTTCGAAGCTACCGCCAGTAGGCGAAAGTTCTGGGGCTCGAATTTGGTTTTTGCCTGTAGCAGTTCTAGCGGTATTCTTTCTTCTCTCCTGGCCTTTGTATGAGGGGGCGAGAAAGTCTTTTGTGTAGGTTTTTTCATGTATAAAACTTAGAGACACAGAAGAAGCTTCTTTTGTGCCCGCCTGTGTTTTGTTTCTTCGTCTTTTTCTGTACATGGCTTACTCGTTTTTTTTCTATTCTCTTCGTCTTCTACACCCCCAATTTGGCTTCCACCTCACTCTGCACATTACCTTCCCGTCCCACTCGAGTCCTGAGCCTGCGCTTTCCCTCCCTCCAACCTTTTTTCTTTACCCCGCTAAACGAGTGATAACGCATGAACCGAAAGTTACCCGACAGCCATATATTACCACCCACGAAACTGCGCCAATATATGACTCCACAATCCACAAAAATCGGGTCCAGCACACAGAAAGTGCCTCCTTCCAGTCGACTCCAGTCCCGGGGTTCCAACATGTTAACAGCCGATTGTTCATGCCACCTACCCTCGCGATCGATATCTCGTCCAGCCTCCGACTCTCGGCCGGCCGAACATCGACGCGACCCATATCAAGGAACCTTGAATTCAGATCATCCGTACATGACTTTGTCACGGGGGAGAAGTTTGGGTTAAGATTCTTTCGTTGATGTACCCGTTTCTTACCCGTGTCTCTACTTTATGAGAAGGTATATTGTACCCCAAGCATTTACGTATCAATAGCTTGTGCTCAGTGAGAATTAGCAGGGACAACCCAGGTCGTGGAATGCACCACCTGGTTCTGGGATTTGAGTTATAAGTTGGAATAAGACTCCCCCGGGGGGGGGGGGGGGAGGCGTGCTCTATGATCATTCGGTTCATTTAAGGAGGATGTGGGAATAGGTCTGCACTGCTATGTTCCTTTTGTGATGTTGATATGATTATTTACCCGCCAGTGTCTTCTTTGCAGGATATACATATTCCCGTGTTTTTAATCTTGGCACGGCAATATTTCTATTGGAGCGTAGGCTGTACTATGTGGGAATGGAGTCAGGCACAGGAGGAATATCAAGGCAAAAGTTGCGGTTTCTTCATCTAGTTAAGGAAGGCTAGTGGGCGCTTGAGGATGGCGATTAAGGCGATGAGCCTTCTGGGGTTTAATCAGATACAGCTCCTACTCTGGCGATCTAGTTAGGTTGCCGCTGACAGAGACCGTTCTTGCGTCATAGTGTCGACTCGCATCGTTCGTGCTCTGAAAACCTTTAAGGGGGTATTAAGCCGCAAAAGAAAACAATTTCCTGAAGAACGCGGCCACGACCACAGGAGTGCCCAACAGCACTACTCTATCGCCCAAGAGAGGTCATCTGTTTGCGATGATATATCTGTATATGGAGGCCAAAGTTCGCACGGGAGAAGCTGGTGGAAGCAAGCTAGGGTGCCGCGGAAACTACGAGTATGAAAAAAGAGGTCTATATAGGCAAAGTGATAAGCCGGTGTTTGGCCCTTTCTATCACAGAGCTGGCATGGTGGTTGCTTGTTCGTGCATCGGTTTTGCGGGAGGTATTTTGATTCTTGTGCCACCGATCATTGACATGGCACAAACACGGGCTTGGTTATCAACGGGAAGAGCTGTATTATGCACTGCCTCTATTGAGCTGGATCTGGAAATGGAGCGAAAGCAAAGGCGCACAGCATTGTCTCTTCTTTTATTCAAGAAGGCCGACGAGCTTGAAGTTGACCATGGGTTGCCCTGAGCCGGTCGGTGGGTTGTTATGGGATAATCTATGGAGGAGATTTGCGGAGTTATAGCTCTAGAGGCGTTCAGTGGCGAGATACGAATACAGATGGCTCGATCAAAAGATCGGGGATATGAAGCTCCTGGAACATGCCAAAAAAAAGCCCCCGCAGAACACAGACGCGGCCACATGGAAGTCTATGGTGCTCTCAACGCGAGAAGAAATTCGTTCGCAATGTCCACATCGATGCTATAAGGAATATCTCACAAGGTGGTAACTGGAGGATACCACAATCTTGAAGACGTAGGCTACATATCTACACTACCTGCCTACCAGTAAAAGAAGCTGAATATGGGAATGCTTAGGATCGGGTTGTTTGTATGAAAGAATGGATCTTTCTATACAAATCATTTCTGCCTTGAGTACTCGGATGTTCTGCTTCTTTTGCTAGTAAGCATGTATGAATATCCTCGACGCCTTTTATTTGAGCCCCAACGACGGTAATAAGATTACCGCTTCCTCTTACTAGCATAGCTGAAAAAAAAAAGTTAAGGCCAGGCGAATTCGGTATAGTGTACCGGCCTTCTTCTCACAACCGTGAACGGACCGGGGATATTGGGATGCGTATGAATCTCCTCGCCTACGAGAGCTCGGCCATTTGCAGTATTCCGTCGAGCCATAATACCTGCTAGTTACCCCGCCAAGAAAAACGATAAAACCGGAATTCTGATCATTTCCCGTTGCTGTTTACAGCTCACACAACCAAGTTAAAAAGAAAAATAAACCTGGTTCAGTCGCCACAAAGCCTTTAGAGCGCTGACAGGAAGAGGGGTGCCTATATGAGGCTGTGAGGTTTGGGGGGGGGGGGGGGGGTTTATCGAGGAAGGAACACTCACTATACCACCTGCTAGAACCAATTGACTTCTTTTACACTCGTACTCTAGATCGACCATAACCAATGACCGCGTTAACGCTATTCCCCCGCGTGCGAACTCTGGAAAGACATTCTTCCTGATTATGAAGAGCCTAGAGGTGATAAGTCGGCTCCTACACAAAAGCTGGCAGACCTACAGCTGTAAAATGCCGATTACATACAACTAAACGGATACACATTTCGAGCTCCTGCTTCTCTTTAGTTGCGCAACTGGTGAGGATCACTGCGTCGATGAACAACTGAGGGGAGTGCCTCAGTGCACTGTGTCCGAGGGTATTGCGGGGGCGGATTTTTAACGAGGAGCTGTCTCGGACAGTGAAGATACCTAGAGTGACGGCGCGGTATTTGCTTTCCTGGCTTGCTTGGGGGAATGGAGGTCGTGTTGGGTTGGCGTCTCGCGGGAGGTGGATATACTGGTTTATGGGATTGGCGGCGGTCTTTTGCAATCTTGTGTCAACTAGGCCACAGTGAGTGCTCCTGCACCGCTCACTGGGCTCCGACAATGGATAGCAGAGTTCTGCTTGTTTCTGGCTTCCTAGATTTTGCTTGTATAATATGTAGTCACGGCCGGGCCATTCTACCAAGAAGCTTCTGGGGGTATCAGAAGGGGAGCTAAAGAGACTTTATCAGGCAAGGAAAAGTCACCTACGGTTGGCAATCTGTTGAGTAGAAATAAAAGTGTGAGTGGGCCAGGTTGGTAGTTTTCTCACTCGAAAATGACCGCCCCATAGCCAAGCCAGACTCGACTACATCCTGCCCATACTTGTACTGGGGTATCGGTGCGGAGTATATCCTGTCAGACTACGCTTCCTCCCTCCCAATATCCCCCGAGACTTGCGGCAATGCATCGGTGTCTAGTATAGTTGTGCTCTCCATCAATTTTAACTACCACTCTATCGCCGAGTTAGTGAAAACTTATCTACTTCCAAAAGAAACCACACGTAGTCTCGAAGATGTAAACAATGTATACTATTCTTAAGCCGAAGCCCCGGGCCGAAGAAAGGGGGATTCAGGACCAACAACCATCGCACACCATACCACCATTTCCCGAATACTAGATACTAGTGTACCACTCAATTCCCACCCAGACTGACTGTACACGCCTACCCCCGCAGCCGGCAGCAGCCGAGATTGCAGTCTCATAGACACCGGGCGAAGATGACGTTCGTAGTGCAGGTATAGCAAAAACACATCCTCCCCTCATCCGCGCCGGCGGGAAGAGCATTGTGGACTAAGTGCTACACCAACTGCATCCGCTACAAGACTTCTGTACAACGGTGAGGCGGGTTGGTTGCTACTGTATCGTAAAGGAAGAGTTGGCGGGTCAAGGAGTGCATCGGAGCCTAAGGATGTAATCTGTAGCTCGTGAGCTCTGGTGCTATCGGGTTGAAGATGCGGAGAACGCTGTATATATGCGAAGGGGTCACCCGGATATATAATGGTGTTATCCACAAATGGGGACGAGTGATGGATGGGGACAGATAAACCCATGCATCGCGGGTAAGTGAAGTGAGCAAGTACCAAACCATCCCCCAGGCTGTGACCAGCAGCCCCCGCTCGATCCCACGGCGCCGCCTCCATTCATCTCAGCACCTCATTTCCTGGGGGCCGGCGTACGTTGAGAAGCTGGTTGGCGGTATCATGCTTTGTAGACTAGTCATGTCGTAAACTACGGATTGGCGCGGCGGGTGCGGCGGGCGAGTGAGTGGACTGTGATGAGGGGTTACATGTAGTTGGATGGATGTGTATGTGAGATTGCGTGTACTGAGATTTCGGGTGAGTGTGGGATGTTGATCGATGAGGGTCTGCCATGTTGTCTGCATGGGCCATGGGATTTAATATTTGCTGTGTGTGATGGCCTCTCGCGGGCTGCACTGATGGCGGGAGTGCTAGAGGGGGGGCTGTAGAATATCTGGTTGTGGAGTTTATGGAAGTGTTGGCGGGCATGCGGAAGTTGTAGATACATGTAGTAGTGGTCATTGCAAAGGCTGGTACATCGCCAAGATGCGAAAAAAACTGGGGATTCAATCATTTCCATTACGGTCATACCGGTGTTCTGCATACAATTTGATTATTACAAAACTTCATGCATGCCAAAATAGACGGGAATAAAAAGATACCAATATATTATTTCTACCTATCTATCTACCTCACTAACTACCATTACCCCCCCACTAGCTCACCGATTCACAATGACCACATCCAACCCCTCCAGCAGCCCCAACACCTCCCTCTCGCCCATCCCCAACTCCGTACAAATCTCATCCACACAATGCCCCCCATCCACCCACCTCCACAGCGCACCCGCCCTCTTCTCCCCATCCACCAGCACGGGCCAGCGATGACTGCGATACAAAAACCCCTTCACAACCCCAAACGACACAAACCTCCTCACATCCACCCCGCCCAACCTACCCGCATTCTCCACACACCACTTCCGCAGCACCACGCCCTGACTCAAGCTCGTATACATCTCCAGCAGCCTCGGAAACGGCACCCTATTGCCGCTTGTGCTGACATAGGCCGCACACTCCTCCTGGGCCGCGACATCGGCGACGAGGCTGCTGATCTCGGCGGTGCACGCGTAGATGGCGCCGAACTGGAAGACGTCGACCATGACGAGGCAGCCGTAGTACAGCAGGTGGTCGACGCACTTGCGCGTCAGCGTGTAGTCGCTGTCGGAGAGGTCCGCGATGCGCTTGACGCTGTTGATGCCGTCGATGTAGGGCACGATGCGCTGCATCGTCAGGTCCCAGTTGACGTCCATGAGCTGGTCCAGCTGCACGGTGAGCAGGGGCACGTGGTAGGGGCGCACGGGCGGCGGCGGCGCGTATGTGGGGAAGAGCTTGAGGTTGAGGGTGTTGCTTTCGTCTAGGAGGGAGGGTGCGTCAGCGCCTGTCTTGCTCCTTCATAAGGGGGGGGGGGGGGGGGGGGGAGAGATACTGATGGGGATCATGCACTCCGAATAGTTATTCAGGTCCTCCATGACCTGCTCAATGAGCGCATACACGCCCGCCCTCGTCACCTCATTACTCAGGAACCCGCTCTGCTCCTCCAGCGCCTTAAACAGCTTCGCAACCTTCCGCACCACGCTCTTATACGTGCTGTACTCGACCTCCGCGTCCACCACGATCGCAAAATTGAAGATGAACTCGTTCCGTGCGTACTTGCGGTCCGGCAGACACACGGGGTACCCCAGGATGCGGTAGGCCCCCGTGCAGACGGTCACGAGCCGGTCGCACAGCTCCTGCTTGGGGATGATGTGCGGGCTGATGGTGTCGAAGTCGAACAGCGGCGGGGCGTGCGTGGGTGCGGTGGTGGGCGTGGGCGTGGGCGTGGGCGTGGTGGTGGTGGGCGTGGTGGTGGTGGTGGTGGTGGGCGTGATGGACCCGTCGGGCACTTGGTAGACGACCTGTGGGCCCTTGCCGGGGTGGAAGTGCGAGTAGAAGATGGACTTGATCATGATGGCGTGCGTGTGCGTGTGCGTGTGCGCGTGCGTGGAGGGGTGCATTGCGGTGTGTGGCGGGTGGGCGCGGGTGGGCGTCGTGCTGGTGCTGGTGCCGGTGCTGGTGCTGGTGCTAGGGCGGGTGGGGCATGGCGTGTGCACCGGGCGCCCGGCGTTGGCAACGGTCTCTGTCTGTACCTTTCTTTCCCCACACTGCCGATCCCTCTCTCCCCACACCCAACCTCAACCCAACCCCCACACTCTCCAACAACAACAACCACAACAACCAACAGCACCAATGTCATCCCCCACCGCCGCCCCCTCCTCCCCCACCCCCACGCCCACGCCCACACCGGACCTCTCCCGCCCCGCCGACCCCCTCGCCGCAGGCCTCAAGTCCCTCCTCGACCCCACAATCAAGCAGACGACCGAGAAGCTGCTGCAGGTGCACCAGTCGCAGCTGGAGCTCAACGCGGAGCTCACAAGGCTGGTTATGCGTGAGTGCCCTCTCTACCTCCTTAGGTGTGGTGCGACGGGCTGGGTTGCTGATGCGGAGGAGCAATAGAGCTGAAGCACTATCTGGATACGACGGACCCGCCGGCGCTGAAGCCGACGGTGGTGAAGCTTGCGGCGGTGGGGAAGCGGCTGGCGGTGGTGAATAGTGTGTTCCACTCCCTTCTGAGCTGTGCGGTGCGGTGCGGTGCGGTGCGGTGCGGTGCTGACGGGGGTGACAGATTCGCTGCAGACGATACAAGGAAGGGTCAATAAGCTGTATGTACAGATGAGCAAGCAGCGGATGCCGCATTCGCAGTAGCGGTAGTAGATATATCACGGCGCGATTGGGCTGGAGGGGAGGGCGGCGGTAATGTTTAATATGAGATGAATTGAACGTATTTCATTTACGGGCAGATCGAGTTGGTTTTGTGGGGGTGGTATCATTGGCGTGATGTCCAGAAATTGGTGCGTGGATCATTGGCTCTATGGTATTTTTACGGCTGGTGAAGTGGGGTCTGGGGCTATGTGCGGTCTACGAGGGTTCTACTGCAGTGCGGGTATGGATTCAGGAGATGGATTTGGGCTGGATGTTTCGAGCCGCCAAATCTCTGGGACCATACGCCCATCACTCGATCCAATTGCGCTTCCTTCATACTTATAATATGCCGTCTCTCTAAAAACCCGCCCAACGACCATTGGTCTTTAACAACTAATTGATCGCTTCAAAAACCTCGGACCAAAAAAAAAAAAAAAAAAAAAAAAGAGGACCCTAGGATATCAATCGTTTTGAGCGTTGTGGAGTAGGAAATTAGCCATTGGCATTCTAGCCCAATTTACTACACCCCAAATATTGCACACAGATCACGGCTTGTAGTGCCAGATGCTTTAGTGTAAAAGGTATCTATGATATAGACCATAATCCAGGCCTCCCGCTAAAATTCGATCATTACACGTAGCTTGATCACTCCCGGAAATCTGAAAGGAAGGAGGAAACAGAGCTAGCCATACTACGTTGGTTGCGAATATAAGCCAAATCAAATTTCAACTCCTGATGCAATCAATTGACGTAGACGTAGTATTTGTGCGTCTTGTCGTAGGAATTATCGTCAAAAAAAACCCAAGGCCAGTCGTTGGAGCTAGATTTCTCTATTTTTTAGATTAATTATTTCTCCCCGGGGAAGGATGGGTTAGGATAAGTTAGATCAACCTCCTAGCCAATATCTTCGGAGGACTCTTGTAGAGCTCAAGCAACCCGTATATACCCTTGAATCGTACGCCCTCCTCTGAACACCATATCGCCAAAGCTAGCCAGGTAGTAAAAACACTCTATCACACGCTCCCCTAACATCGAAGAACCCGGATACTCATCTACCTAACTCGACCTCTTGCCTGTATTCAACCCAGACAAAAACATCGCCTTACCACAAACGTTGTCTTACTATAAATGCCGCCTCATCACACCAGAAAAGAACAGAGAAGGAGAGTCCACGTCTCAAAGGATAACTCCGGCAGTGTCCTTGTGCTACATCTTTAGTTCCGTGAGGAGCTAGATATGCTCACCGCAAAACTGCAGAACTTCCACTGATCTAAACCTACGGAATTGAGGACGTCCTCAAAAGGCAGGTAATAATCGGATATAGTTTGGTATATACAGTATTTTTTTGCTTGCTCAGACCAGCATCTGTGCAATTGGAGTTTATATGATAAAGCATACAGCTTAGCCGGTGAGCCCAGAGAGGTCCTCGCCGCAGAACTACATAATTGTAGCTTTAGAATCCGGTCTGTTGACGCATAAGTCCTAGACTGCTTCCTTCATGAATTTTGATCAAAGGAGCCAATTGTTGCTGAAGTATCTTCGTCAGGCTAGGTCTCATCAGGTATTATTTTTACGCTTTATTAACATGAATATCTCTGGCCTGTCGCTTACATCTCCAAGAAAAGCGCTCGCTGGAAGAATGCAACTATGAAAATCTATGGAGAAGAACTTTTTAGCAATCATTCTACTGACCTATAGCTATAGATACGGAATTTCGAATGTAAATTTAAACATGAATTTGGGGATGCTTACTAGGTATATCTTGACCGCTCTGATTATGTCCATTAGAAAAATTGATATAGATCAACATGTGTAGCTTAAGCATGGTATAAAGTTGACCGAGAATCTCAATTCTAGATAATCTAGTCGTTGCTAGAGAAAGTGCAGACCATTATGTTCGGTTGGTCTAGAATGTGCAGGCATCTACATACCGCGTCTGTCACTGAACCCCCTTGATTCCATCCTCCATCTTCATCTTAGGAATCTTAGTGTGGTCCGCGAGGACGCTCGAGGCGAGGCTTGGGGGTGTCCTCGAGGTACCTTGTCCTCGTTGACCTCTGTCCTTGTCTGTCCCCGAGGTACCTCGAGGACGATAAAGAAATAACCCGGTAAACCAAAAAAGTGATATTTCTCAAAATAAAAGGTATGCTTTATTCAAGGCCTCATCCGATTAGGGCATATTGAGTGTGTATTATAGCCAAGAATTGTCCTTGGAAGTCCTCGAGGCAAGGACAGATATTGTCCTTTTGGACCACTGTCCTTGCGTGTAATCGAGGACATGTCCTCGAGGCAAGGACACAAAGACGCTCGTCCTCGTGGACCACACTGCTTAGGATCCTGTGATGTCCAAACGGCAGAAAACCAGCTCTCTGCTCCCCAAAGCGTGGGAAAGTCTCTACCCCTGGATACAGTGAACTCCTCCATCATCGTTATACCATCGCCGTTGTAAGGGGGCTTCCGAGGTCTCGTGGCTCAAGTCGGAGGATGTATGGTGCGTGATGGTAAATGCCATTACTCTTTTTTGTGAATTGGTGGTGTAATATAGGATTGAGAGGGTCATTGTAGGTTCGCTCTATAGTGGTGAAACTTTTATATTTTATAGAGCGGGGTGATTGTAGCTAGCGGGTTGAGTGTGAGAAGTCGGGAAAGGAGGACTTTGTGGTTGTGCGAGCAGACGCTACATGTATATACATACATATATAAGCCGGAACTACATGTAGGGTTTCAATCACAAGGCCGGAGTTCGTACTATACTAGAAGCTAAACTACATTGTAGCTGAGATGTTACTGTCGGATCGGAGAGGTGGTCAGTAAACAGACGTCTAAGGACACTAGTAGACTTTAAAGTTCAACAACTCCGCCCAAGACCATCAATGCCCCGCACATCGCCCTTCTCTCCCGTCGTATTCAGTATCGAGGAGCTAGGTTTACAATTATAAGACCGCTTCAGAGACCTGTTACTGAAGGGAAGAATTTACATCATTATCAATGCATGATGCGGGTCGACAGGTAAGTTCTGCGTTACCACGAATCAAGATTCGGAGACTAACCATACTACAAGACGAAGCCCAGCGTCTTTCATATGTAAAGATCTAAAGGAAAAAGAGATCCGCTACAATTCCACCCAACCATCTTCTTACGCTCGAAATCCCTATCATTAGATATACGCCGACTGTCTCACACCGCAGGGGCCTCCACTGCATATATGCAGATTCTGCCGGCAGTTTTGCGATTTGGGTCTATGCTGCATGAAAGGGTATCATGCAGAATGTCGTCAGTCGGGGTACGTGCGGTCTTCGGGGATTTACGCTTTAAAGGTCTAAGTCTGTGCATTCTGGAACTGCTTGTCCGGCTTCTATGAAGCTTTCCAAAGGGGTTCCGGATGCCGATGATTTCGCACCTACCACCAAGTAATTACTTATGCGGTGGTGACATGTTATTGGAGATGTACTCTGACGGAATTTCTTTTTGGCCGTTGAGAATCGTTTCCCTACAGGTTGAGAGAATGATTGGTACCGCTCTATTGGCCTCAACTTAAGAAATCTAGGTATATGTTGGCTGGGAATGAATATGAGAACGCCTCAGTCTACGGGGAAGAGGTGTTCACTATCGATATCAATTTAACGGATGCGGGTGGGAAACGTTGCATCCTAATCTAGCTATTCCACAAACTATCCTTCCCACCCCATACTTTAGAACCAATAGGTTTTTTGTTCAATACTGATAGTATTTAATCTATAGTGATCTAGCCGTTGTCTCCCCGAGCTACCTAGGACCTAGGAAAGAGTTTGAAAAGCTTCAAGGCAAGCTTGTGATTCTCGACAATTCAAGCAAGTAACACATCGGCTTCTGTACAGCTATATCTCGAACTCCATGCGGTTAACCACACGAGAACTCCCAAGCGCGCAAATCGGAGTTGGCCGTCAATATTTCGACGCTGTATCCCCCGTCCGGAGATTTTTTTTAGGAAGGGGGATTAATGTTTATACTTTACATACGTAATTTTCCGATGCTCAGGCGAGATGCGGTTCCCTCGGTAGCTTCCTTATTGAAGATCTACCTTCCGTCTACTGATCCAAGCAGGTTAGTAAATTAAGAGGGTGACGAACGAAGATTAGTTGATTCCGTAATGGGATAGATTGTGGCGCACTGTAACCAATAACGGTTGGTATGCAGTTTATTTGAACCTCCCCCGTGCTCATGAGCGTGTGTTATTGGTCAAGAGTTAAATAAGAACTGCCACTTTAATACTAGCAAATCAAGCCTATCAACGGAGTGGCGTATGATAGAGAAAATCCGCCAAAGCAGGTACCACTGACGCCGTTCTGCAACTTAACTCTCATACCGGCGAATCATCACCCAGCCGCCGCACCACCTAAAACAAGATTAGATCGATGCTCACAGACAGGACTTTTGACCGATATGTTCAAATTTGCATTCTTCCTCCTCCTTGGAATGGAAAGGGCTGGTGGTTAGGGATCGGCAGTACAGTGCCAAGAACTGAAATCCTAACAAGGAAGTTCACAACGGTTTTGATGCACACTTTGGGATATCAAGACCGTGGTCTGCAGTGGGTGTTATCTCAAGCATTACCCTCGAAAACAAAACCTTCGGCCTGCACTGATCCGCGATCTTATATGTACGGTTCTTATCCCGCTGATCAGGTGCGTGAACACAAAAGTATATACTGACTACACTACCACGGCCAATTTTCGCATTAGCTAATTAAGAAATATGTCTATCAGTCGCAGTACTATCTCTAGAGACAAATGCGCACGAGCTGTTACTAGATCAGAATTCCTAATGTTTGGGCAAAAGCTCTAGCAGTAGTGTGCACAGTCAGTAACGCAGAACAAAACACTTTGGCTTGAGATTTAAACAACTATTAATGTATCAAAAAGATCCCAATACATGCACCCTCATAGAGGTGTCTTCATGGTCAGGTTTTTAGATACCGAATAGATCCCACTAGCTACATGTAGGCCGGATTAACTATGTAGTTGAGTTAGGGTCAAGCCCGAGCAGATCGCCCCGCAAGCCCCACTATACAGAATAGGACCTTCTGCCTAGGGTGATGAATATGGTCTTGGAATGCGTACCTGAAAGAGCAGGGCAGGGGAATATTCGCCCCGCCACTTGACCCTCAGAGCCATGGGTAGCTATCGCTGCCTGGTACGGTACATTTTGATCGGCTGTATGCAGAAGTTATCTCAAATATACCCCTCTGGGTCACATGGGGGGACAATTTGTAAAATAGAGATGGCTTTTTTAATTACAAAGTTTAACACCTTCCGGAAAGCAATGGGGGCTATGAAGATACACGCAAAGATGCGGGGGTTGGAGCGAGGGGGGTTACATTCACAAAAAGATTGGGGTCGGGATTCACATTTTTAACGCAAAGTACGGGCTCATGCTGCAGTAATGGAGGAGCGTATATAAAATCCTTCACACCCGCATAATAGTAACGCACTCCTTATCCCTTGCAGTAGAACCCACATACTACGTTAATATTCATAATGAGGTCTACTCGATTATCGACGTCAATTGCGCTCTTTTCTGCTGCTGTAGTCTTTGTCTCTGCTCAGACACGAAGCACTTATAATAATATTGCAATAACTGCAGGAAGCCCTGGAGAGGAGTCAGGCGGACAGTTCATCAAGGGGAGGTACATTGTTGAGTTTGTCAAAGATGGATTTTTTTCGATGTCTGCAGAAGATGTAAGCTCCGACCTCCTTGCATCGAAATTTGAAATTGAGAATAAGATAGCTGATGATATATTTTGTAGCCCGTGGAAGAGTTTTATAAGTCTCTCTCAGATAACCAGATTGAGGCAAAACCTGCAGTAAATATCACTTCTTCGATCTTCACCGGAACATCCTTCGATACAGACAATTCGACAAAACCGGAAGATATTCGGGCATTGCCGCAAGTAGCGAATATTTGGCGTGTAAGGAGAGTGCCAAAGCCCACTCCACAAATCCATAATGTCGGTACTGCAGCTACCGAAGGAGCCGAGAAGTGGACTAGCCATGGTAATTCCCGAGATCTTTACTTATGCATGGACATAGCTCTAACTATATATAGCAAATACCGGTGTCTTGAAGCTTCATGAGCAGGGATTCTTGGGCGAAGGTGTCATAGTAGCAGTCGTAAGTAGCCCCATCAGTTCTATTCTAGTTGTGCAGATCACTGACAGTCGGCAGGTTGATACTGGTATTGACTATCACCATCCTTCACTTGGGGGGGGAATTGGCTCTGGCTATAAGGTTTCGGGCGGCACCGATATCGTCGGCGATACATATGAGGGCCTGGATTTCCACCCCGATTCGGATCCGTATGATTGTGTCGGACATGGGACTCATGTTGCCGGCATCATTGCCGGAGAGGATAAGGACTTTATTGGTGTTGCCCCCAAAGCTACACTCAGAGCATACAAGGTCTTTGGATGTGAATACTCATCAACCGGAGACGATGCATTGATTTTAGCTTTCGTCACCGCCTATGAAGATGGAGCTGATGTTATCAATGCATCAATTGGCGGACCTGGTGGGTGGCCGGAAGATGCATGGGCAGCAGCCTCTTCCAGAATTGCGGATCAGGGTGTCTTCATTTCTATCTCTGCTGGAAACAGTGGAGAAGAAGGTATCTGGTATCCATCATCCGGAGATGTTGGACACTCGGTTACTGCAGTTGCCTCTATAACAAATGAGCAATATCTTACATTCCTTACTACCGTTCAAGGTGTCGGTAACAATACAAGAGATGTTGGTTACTTGGATAAATCGGCCCAAGGATTTGCCTTCAAGGGAAGGGTCCCCATTTATATCCTTTCACAAGATAAGAACGTTGCCAACGATGGATGTCGCCCTCTTCCGGAAAGCACTCCAGACCTCTCTGGATACCTGGTTCTGGTCCGCCGTGGAGGTTGCACGTTCGGAACCAAACAGAACAATGTTGCAAATTTCGGCGCCCAGTACGTCTGGTTTTACAACACCCGTAACACCCCAGTTGTCTACCCTGATATTGCATCTAGCGTTACCAAGGGCTACGCTATGATAACTGCTGAAGATGGGGAGTGGATCATTGATCAGTTTGTTGCCGGGACAAATGCTACCGTTATATTCCCCGAATACCCAGAGAAGAGTGGTGTGAACAATACAGCAACGGGTGGAAAGCTCTCTGCTTTCACTTCATGGGGACCTTCCTTTGAAGCTCAGATGAAGCCTGAAATTGCTGCTCCAGGTGGATACATCTATTCCACATACCCGATCGAACAGGGAGGATATGCAATTCTCTCCGGAACCTCCATGGCTTCTCCATATATCGCAGGTGTTGCGGCACTCTATATGGCTGCCCACGGTGGCCGTGCTAAGATGGGCGGAGAGGGTGTTGCTGAGCTCAAGAGGAAGATCATTACCAGCGGAACACTGATAAACTGGTCCGACGGTGTTACAACAGACTGGTCCAAGCTTGCTCCCGTTGCTCAACAAGGTGCTGGATATGTGAATGCTGAAAAGGTGCTTACATATGCCACCAGTATCTATCCTGCAAAGCTCGAACTCAACGATACTGCGTATTTGAAGCCTGCACACTATATTAACATCAAGAACTCTGGCACCGTGGAAGTTGAATACTTCATTACCCACGAAACCGCAGCAACCATCAATTCCTTCGAGCCTGGCATAATCACCCCCCAGCCCTTCCCGGGCACCTTCATAAACGAAACTGCGACTGCCAACTTCACTCGCACATCTATCAGCGTCCGTCCTGGGACCACAAACTCCTTCAAAGTAACATTCACACCCCCTGATGTTGCCGCGACCCTCCTCCCCGTCTATTCAGGCAAGATCATCATCACCGGCTCTAATGGAGAAGTTCTAAGTATTCCCTACATGGGAATTGCGGGCAAACTTTACGACGTCAAATCGTGGGATGTTGCAGATGGATGGCCTCTCATATTCAACGACGGTTCTAATGCGCCTAGTATATCTGGCCCCTCAAACTTCACCTTGAATGGCACCGATGTCCCCGGCGTAGCGTTTCAGAACCACTTTGGCTCTGCAGAGATTCGATGGGATGTTGTCGAGACGGACTGGGCCCCACATGAATGGCGCTATCCTCCTGTTCCAGGCAGTAACAAGTTTGTTGGCTCGATCGTTACTCGCCGGGAAGCTGAAGAATTTCCACTCTATTACCAGCCTCGCCACGGACCCTATGAGCCTGGCTTTTACAGCTATTACACTTGGGGTGGTGATCTGGCCGATGGGACAAAAATCGAGCCTGGGAAGTACAGGTTCTTGTTCCAAACACTTAAAGTGACTGGTCTGAAGGCGAGGAATTCGGATTGGCAGAGGAAGTTGTCGGATGTGATTACGATTCGGCCAATTTCGAACTCGACAGAGCTGGCCTGATCGTATTCCACAATTAATGTGTAATATTGCTGTTTGATTTCTTTTCGTGTTTTTGTAAATTCTTGAGGGGAGCCTGTAATGGTTAATGGTATGGGGGGTTATTGTACAAATGGAGTCACATGAGGGGAGAGGGGTTTTTTTGCTCGAATTTGGTCGGTATAATTTGTGTTTACTTACAATATAAATGAACACTTGTCCCATGAAACTTTCAACCACACAGTTCGATTATTGAAGGCCCGTTCCTGTTGGCAAGAGAAAGAGCCCCCCCTTGGTTACAGCAGTTTGTATTTATACATACATGCATACAAGAATGATCGGAAAACTTCCTCATAGCTTTACAAAGGAATAGGGCAAGACACTAAATTTTACTTAACTTGATTAAATCACTAAGACATCTAGGAACTTGAGCAGTTATTAGTTGACGAGGACATTCACTGGTTTGGTATTGAATCAGGGTATCTCGTTAATTTAACAGAAACTATTAGACTATGCCTTCACGTTTTTTTTTTGCACATCTAGATTTCCCCATGGTGGATTGCTTAGTATCCGCCGCTTCCTCCGTATCCGCCACCGCCGTAGCCACCCTGGTTACCGCCATAGCCTAAGAGAATAGTTAGTAGATGAAAGAGTGTTGGAGATATCATAATGCTAGAATTCTTACCTCCACCACCGCCCTGGTTGTTGCCATACCCGCCACCACCGCCACGGTTGTTGTATCCTCCACCGCCACCACCACCTCCTCCACGGCGGTCTTCGGCGACGACGACGCTGATTCTACGGCCGTCAAAGCTATGCCCATAGTTAGTAGACAGTACTAATATATAGTAGATTGAGTGAAAGCTTACTCGGCGTCGTTCATGGCGTTGATGGCCGCGTTGGCGTCATCTTCGTTGGTGTACTTGACGAAGCCAAACCCACGGGACCTGCCAGTCTCACGGTCCTTGACGACAACCTGAGAAGTGGGAACAAAAAAATTAGATTTTTTTTCTTTTCATTTTCTTTTCATTTTTTTTTCATTTTTCCACTTTTTTTTTTTTTACAGCAAACTGTGTTTACGGCGAGGAATGGAGAGACAAACGGCTTCTTCAACGACGCCAAACTCCTCGAACTTGGTTCTGAGGCTGTGGTCGTCGGTGTTCCACGACAAAGATCTGTGGATAGCAAAAAATAGGTTTAGCGAGCGATTCGAGCATCAATTTGAGGGGAAGTAGAGGATGGGGATGAGAATGAGAAGCATGTAGATGAGGCTGAAGCATGGAGGATGGAAGAGACAACTAACCTGATGAAAAGTTTCGACATTACTGAGATTGCGATTTAAAACCGAAAATACTGGACAGAAAATTTAACACGCCGCTGGCAATTATTGAAAGAGGGACAAAGACAAGACAAGACAGGACAGGACAAGACAAGACAATGAACGGGGAGAAAGTACGTAGCGAAAAGAGTGGATGATTGTTGTTGTGACTGCTGGGTTTTCTCAGAAAGAAAGTGAGAGGAAGGAAGGTTTGATGAGAAAGAGAGGGAAGAGGGGAGTGGGAGAGAGTAGGAAGAAAATTGGGTAGAAATAGCGGGGTAAAAGTATGGGCAGAGGCGGCGGCGAAAGTGCGTCACAAAAAATGGCTCGCTCCTGCCTGCCAACGTCCACCACCTCCTTCTTCAAAGCCCTAACTACTGAGGGAGCTATCTATTTGAAATCCCTAGGGGATTTTTGCGTGATGATCTACCAGAAGCTTTTTACGGTCTTACGCATAGATATGCATACAGATTACCTACTCCTCCAAGGTATCTCTGTGCTGGTTTACACTGATTTTCCTGGTTTGCATGCGGTTGTGCGGTATGGGGTACTAGGGGAGACATGCGCCAAGAAGGGGAGGTGCTAGTTGCTAGCCTCACAGCACACGACGCGCAACGCATTTTTGGAGACCTTCGCTACCCCCACACCCACATGTGTGAGGGATTCCCAAAATCCTTGGCAGAGAAATTGTATGAAAAAAAAACAGTTACCCGGATTTAGACGAGCTTAGCTTTGTGGGTTGCCTAAATTATAAACGTTGAACCAGCCCCACGACAGGTAGTCGAGCTCGAGCATGGATTCTCATAAAGTCACCACAGATATATACCCGGTGCGGCATTGCAGAATCTCTTTGTGATGCGAGGAGATTTCGCACGTTTGACTGGATTCTAGTACAGTGCTATGCAAATCAAAGGTAAATCTCTATAATAACAGGCTTTTATAGATCTCCCCTCTAGATCGACAGAAATAATATTGCATCATTGCGGATCCCCGAGAAAAACAGGTGATTGAATTCGAATCGACATCTGCTTGCCCCGCACTAAAGTCACATTTAGGAGTTCTGATAGATAAATGTCGATCACTCACCTCAAAGAGAAAAGAGCATCGACACGACGGGAAACCTGCATCCAGCTATCGATTACCCTTTCCTATTCTGGATTTGGAGTTTGTAACAAAAATGACTCGGACTAGGGTCATGTGATAGCGAAACCCACGCTACTTCAATCAAAAATGAATCACGAAGTATCACTCGACAATTTATCTCAGGTTATTCAGCTGAGCAATGTCTCTCTCGAGCGCTTGATGATATAACAAAGGGTCACAAGTGTAAATGAAGATACATGTAGTAGCACCAAAAGGCACAAGCCTTAAAACCAAATAGATTACATGTGTATATAGAATTACCCTCAAAATACATGTAACTAAAAGCGTTTAAGCTCGATCCACATGTAATCCAGATCGGTTATTGTTTATAATATATACATCCATGTATATGACCCCCTACCAGATTCCAGGGTTACCCTCGCTTCTGTTTGGTATCGGTACTTGGAGGTCTTTCATAAATTCAAAATATTGCAGCAGTGACTACTGGAGATTCTTCTTCTGAAGAATCAGCTAAAGATGAGCTGCCTGGCGTGGAAGTGGATTCCTCTTTTCCCGCTTCCTCCTCTATTTGGGTTAATACTTCACTCTTCTGCTCTTCTTTCCCTTTACCGTTCGACCCCTCTTTCCCTCTCTCTCTCCTTCTTCTACCCTCTATGTCTTTGTCTTCGCCTCGATCTCTCCTCGTCTCCGTTTCCGCCTCCGTTTCAGCTTTCACGGCTTCATCCACTTCCCTTCCCTTATCACTCTCCTTCTCCCTTTCTCCGTCGGTTTCCTCCTCCTCCTCAGTCTCATCTTTCCCCCCTTCCCCCTCAGTTTCCCCCCCCTCGGCCTCCTTCTCCGTACCCTCTTCGGTCTCCTCCACCCCCGCCCCCTCCTCTCCCTCCTCTCCCTCCGTTTCACCCTCTTTAGTCTCCTCCACTCTTTTCCCTTCTTCTATTTCCTTCCTTCTTTCTCCAACATCTCCTCCTCCCCTTCTCTCTCCCAGTTTTACTTTCGCCCCGTCCTTCCCATACTTTCTAGTGATGCCGTTCCGCGCTAACAATCTATATGTACTTTCTGTTACCTCCTGTTTCATAGCTCTACCAAGCGCCCTTATTTCTTCTTCCGTGAGCCCAATTCTTGGTTTTTTCGGTGATACCAGTACCGCATCTTCTTGGACTTCCCCTTCTAATCTCCTCTTTGATGATTCTGCAGCTTTTTGTTGAATAGATGCAGCTGTGATGGTCCTGACTGCTCTCCACCTCCGGTTTGGGGCTTGTGACTGGGTCTCCTGTTTTTCCACCCTCGTATCTATCACATGCTGCGAATTGCCGACTATTTCAGCAAAGATATGGGTTTTTTCTGCTTTAGTAGGAGTTATTTTAGCCTGTCTCGCAGCCTTGTCCTTGGCTGCATTGGCTGCACCGATTTCTGCGTCATGTACGTCTGACTATATTATGTTAGTGAGGTCTTGCAAGACTGAAATTGGGAAAGAAACCATAGCAAATGTTTGGAAGATATATCTAGAAAGTGAGATGTTGAACTCAGTCGCAGATTTTATGGCGAGTAGATATATATTCCCCTCTATACCCGTTATTTTTTTTTGGTTATCCCGGATTTGGATGCATTCATGGGTATTTAAGTCCCAGCCAGTAAACATATAGATACTTTCCACCATACTTTCAATTCCCCTTTTATCCGGTTGTGTCGAATGTCAAGGACTTCTAGGCTCAATTAGACAATGGAAGACCGGCAGCGGCTGCAGATCATGGAAGAAAGCTATTGTAAAAATAAAAAAAAAGACGTCAGAGCAAGCCATAAGACGTTTAACAGCTCTATTCGAGGATAAAGAAACAATTTAGGTTCATCGGCTATCTTTTACAAACCCAGTTGAATAAAGAGACGGAATGCAGCGCAGCTGGGGAACAAAAAAAAATATTATCCGCCCCGTTCATGGAATAAAGCACAGAAACGGAGCTACTCTAAATAGGTTTACTTTTGTGTCTATATGGCGGCAACCTGTTCAAAGTCACCCCACCGTTGGGGGTAGAATACAATGGTGGTATAAAGCACTGGAATTCAGCGGCACCTATATATTACATACATGTATGCAAGGTCTTGGATTCCAACATTATCATGTGCTCGATCCTTGCATGTATTCGCGTCATCACAGATCACATATGACATGAATTTGGTTTACTATCAGTAGCATTGAATTTACCTCCGAGGTAATGTACAATTTCAAGGGATTGATTACTTCATTAATTATAATTGCATGTACGTACTTATACCACTGGTAGTAAAACGACTTGACACGCGTGCGACTAGAAGAGGCTAGTTTTTTCAATGTGCTATAGTGGTCTACCTTATTCAGCCGCTCTGAGAATAGTATATGAATAACCGGTACGTTGAGGCTCATGAGGCTACAAAACCTGTCCTATCGATCATTTCTCATAATCAAACAAGGGATAGCGAACGTAGGATTTAGCCCCCACTCTTGACCAAAGTTTAGTCCGCCCAGCCTTACTTAGACTACATGTACTACACGGGCTCTAGACACGTCATCGTTGAACCAAACAAAGACTAGGCTCAGTAGGGTAAGGTGAGAAATATTACGATGCACAAAATGAGATGGGGGATTACCCAAGTTCAATTATTTGATTCGTGGCTTCAATTATCTATCTGCAGTGGTGTAACCAAGGTGACTTATTCCTTCTGATCATTGGCACTTTGTCGAAACAATCATTGGTCTCCTCAAGGATGGCTTTATTAGGGCTTGTGGCCCGCCAGATATACATATCCGAATCCCAAAGCACTGTTTTAAATTTATGCTTGAACAGATCTAGACCCTTATAATTATCAAGCAAGACATAGGCCCGTTCGAAAACCAGCCAGGTCACATGTGAGTACATAACTTTACTTAATTCAGTGTTCCTCACTTCAACGCACAGATCTTCTAGCTAAAACTCCGCTTTCTACAAGATGTCTTTCGTAGTAAGTGATCTTCTCCATGCATGCAACGCACCGCAAGAAGCCAATGCTTATATATTCAGGCTATTGGTTCTGTAGAGTATTGGTTCCTGTTTATGTTGCGGGGCGACTTCGGCATACTTCCAGGTTGGTAGAACACCTTCCTGAAATAGAAAATAAGGTCCATCGAGAAGTCAACAAAATCAAGGTCCGCAGGTCTGTAGGAGTAGGTTCGGTAAAACCATTGCTGCTACCAGGGTTACGGCACTTAAGGCATCCTACCCACATCCTACAACATTCACTGGTAAAGCTTAAAGGGACCTGCAGCTGGCTGCAGATGTGAAGAGGGCTGTCAGATGGAAAACTCGAGCTAGGAGTATTCTAGGGCAGGGGCTGAGGTGCGTATTTTTTGGGGTTAGGTTTCTTGTTGTGAGATGATATGTAATCATCTACTATAAGTAAGTATGTATGTATATATAAAGAAGTAATCTCCGTTCAAATGATGACTTATGAATCAGCGCCCAGAGCTCACCACAACGTCGCGAGTGATAGTCTGTGAAAACGGCAAAGCCCAAACTGGTTAGTTGTGACCGCAGTGTCCCCTTAATTCCGCTAATAATAGATCTGGTCAAATGACTTTTGACTCAACAAGCATAATCAAAAGAAAACGAAAGCTTCTATTGATATGAACAGCATATGCCTCCCATTTTGTCTGGACAAAGTAAACCAGGCATCATAATAGTATGCCCTTCACAAGTTCCAAACGCCTCGCAAAAGAAGAAAGAAAAGATAAATTCGTGCGCCTCCAAATAAAATAAAAAAATATTCCTCCAAAAGACGGAATTATAAGAAAGAGTGAACGGAGGGGTACATGACAAAAGGAATCAAGGTTTGGTCCGAATGCTGAAATGGGCGCCCCAACCCTTCTATGCAAAATCTATGCGCTGTAATCATCGGAATAATCCTCATACTCGCTCTCAAGATCCCCCCCATCACTCGGTTCCCTCCCCGAGCCTCCCCACTGATCCCGATCATGCATCATTTTCTCATGTTTGCTACCGAACCATGTTGCGACTTTGTCGATCTCAACCTCGCTCAAGTCCGCTTTCTCAAACGCACGAAAGAGTCGTCGATGAGCGGCGTAACGTCCCAGTCTCATCCGTACGTGCCGGCTCGTATAGTCCCATCCAGGATACAGAGTTTCCAGATCCCCCTCGTCCGGCACAAAGCCATACCAGGAGATGATCTCGCAGCGTATCTCGGGGACTATGCACCGTGCAATAAAGTCGTCGAAATCACGTGGATCCTTCGAGGTTGGGTTTGGGAAGAGAAGTGTGTAGAGAACGATAGAGGTTGGTTTCTTTTGCATGGTTGCGGGTAAATGGGAGGAGGGGCAGGAGGAGGAGGAGGAGTAGGAGGAACCGGTTGGGGCTCTTTGGTTGTACTGATATGGGGAAATGACTAGCTAACAACCTATTGTGTATATAGTTGCTGCGTAGTTGTTGAACAAGGGGAAAGTTCTCGAGTAACAGTTGTCAGCGAGATCTTCTGGAGGGGTACTATTCAACTCGGGAGGTGGTACTTGATCGGCAAACGAGGGCCGAATGGAAACACAACGCGAAGCCAGCCACCGAGAAGATAGAAGTCAATTCTGCAGTAGAAATAGGAACAAGGAAAGGAAGCGGGGGAAAGGAGGGGGGTTATCAGGATCAAGAGTGCGGGGGGCGCAGAGGAGAAGTTTTAAGTAAGGAGAGTGTAATACTGCAAACGAGAGTTAGAGGGGTTGAACACGGGCTTCCAAGACCAAAACAAAACAACGAGATGAAGCCGCTGCGCCGAAGGAACTGCCAAGCTAATCCGGGATACCGGCCCATTTTGAACCCTGCAGTCTGCCACTGATATTGTTACATATCTGTGAAAGGCAGCGATCAGATGTTTCGGCATTGCGTTGAATTGATTCGTACCTTTTGGACATGTCTTCACATTGCATACCGGTATTTACCGTAACTTCTCTCTCTCAAGAAATCAAGCCTAAAACCTAAAGTATCGTGTGATCAATTGAGTGATGAGAGATCCCGGTCGGCAGGTAGTTGGCTTACTCTACTTTTCAGGCTTTGGGAAGAAGGAAGAGGGAGAAGGGGGGGGGGGGGGGTGCGTGGTTGTAACACAGGGCCTCAGACTGAAGCACGCAGGATGGCATCTGATCTTTCTTTTCCCACCGTTCAAAATGTCAATGAGCAAACCTGGCCTGGTTTGAAACTGTTGGCTGTATGTGACCGTTATGAGGAATTGAGATACACATATCTATGCGTATGTAGTTCTTGTGCTGTGGTTTATAATTTATGCACAGAGCCGGGAGTTTATCGCCCAGTTTGACACTCCCTACCACATCCCGTTCCTGTTCGCAAATAAAATTGGCGGAAATTCCGGTAAGGATTCCGACTCGTATCGTACACAATCAAAATTGCTCTGGTAGTGGTATGCGAAATACAAATTTTGCGAAGGTGGTTTTGCGTTGCATCAAACCCGGGGCTTTGGAAAGTGGGAACCGTGGCCAAGACCACACCATAAATACGGACCTGCATCTTCCCCGACCCACCTCGGTTCGCCAATCTACATGTCGATCGACAGCAGGGAGAAGCTCAGACATTGCCCGTTGAAATAGGGAGAAGCAAAGATAAGATTATTGACAGAATGGTAAGCGAGCTATAATCCCCCCGAAGTTTCATAAGAGCCATTGCTTATTTGGGATACAGTCGACATTCATGGGAATTGTAGATGGTAACCCATCTCATAGACTTGTTTTAGCTTAGCATAAAGTTACTAACAACTGTTCTACCAGAGTTCCCGGATATACGAAGTACACAGGCCCCCTTGATGTATTCTATGCGGCGAACCTAACACATGCACTGCAGTTGATTATTTTCGCCAAAGCAAAGAAGTCAACGCCAGAGCTCCACTTGCATGTTTTTTAACTCATATACACAGGTACACGTGGCATATTCCACGTTTACTATTGAGTTGATACTGACGCTTCGATTACAGTGACCATATCCAAGGCCTTGAAAACTTCTATGGCGGCCCATTTATCCACTGTTCAGCAGCGACCAAGGAGCTACTCCTACGCTTAGAACGCAGAGCTCATAGATGGAACCTAGCAAAGGGAGTTTTGGAGAGCCGCAGATGCCAATATATGGAGAAAAAGAATAAACTGGTATGTTACTGCCAAAGCTGGAGGGTCAGAGGGCAAATGTTGACATGGTTGGAGGACAGAAAGTAATACCTATGGAGACGCCAACGGTGATAGAATTGGATAGTGAGAGGAGTATACGTGTCACAATGTTTGACGTGAGTGACGCATGGAAATAAGGGAATAAGTGAGATGACTAATTCCCCTCCAGGCAAATCACTGCCCAGGCGCTGTGATGTTTCTCATTGAAGGTGATGGCAAGGCCGTTCTCTACACGGGTGATGTTAGAGGTAAGCGCGGTGTCTACTCAAGGGATGATAAAAAAAAACCCAACTAATTAAAAATCAGCTGAGCCATGGTGGGTCGATTACCTGGCCAGGCACCCATTGCTTATCCCGTACACCACGGGAATAAAACGTCTTGATAAGATCTATTTAGACACGACATTCATAGGTCAAAAGATAAAGAGCCAAGTATTTGCTCCCAAGGTATGCTGCCAAATGTACCCCCCCCCCCCCCCCCCAAAAGAGTCGTGGAATCTAAATAGAGACTAGCGTGAAGGGATTCGGGAGCTTATAGAAACAATTGGAAAGTACCCAGCAGACACAATATTTCATTTCAATACATGGACTTTCGGGTACGAAGATGTATGGGTTGCTCTTGCTGCTGCCTTCAATACTCAGGTAACTTTCACACCCACAAGAATCGAAAACGCCATTAACTTTGTCACCGCTAGATCCATTTAAGTAAATATCACTTCCGATTATTCTCGTTTATTAGTGCTACTGAAGTTTATCCCTCAGGACCCTACCTTAGGGGTTATAAATTTGGGAATACGAACGTTAAAGGGTGTCTTACAACAAATCCGGAAGTCCGATTCCACTCTTGTGAAAGGAAATCCGGATGTGTGGGACTTGAAGGAAAGAAGAATGTAGTGTGGATTACACCCGTAATTGTGAAAATTGGGGACATTGATGTCCATGAAGCTGGCTCTGGAGATTGTAAGCCCTCATAGATCAAGCCCTCCTATACGTTTACTAATATTAGGCAGTGGAAAACCAGGATGACCTAGAGCTGTATGAAGACCAATTACAACTGCTTCTCGATGCTCTAGGGAAGAACATAGATCCCAGCGTAAAAAGCCTTCTACAAAGTGCGAGGAGTACTCGAAAACAAGTACTACCATTGACTCTAAATGAAGGAGAGGAAGGTGATGACATAGCTCTTGAAGAATTGTTGATCAAGCTCTCTCAATCGGCTCTAGGCAAGGGAATCTCTAAACCTGGCTTTATCCCAGATGCTGAGATCTCCACCTCTGATGGAAAATCTCTCCCAAACAAAATAACGTTCCCCTATTCTAGGCACTCGTCATACTCTGAATTACGAGGCTTAGTAGCTTTATTTAGACCTCGTGATATTTACCCTTGTGTGGTAGATACACAGTCATGGGATGAAAGCAAAACAATGGAGAATCTTTTTGGCGATCTTTGCGAAGGAGAAGTGTTTACGCATGATGAAATGATGAAAAAAATTCTCAACGAGGAACGTCGAATCCAAGAAGAGCTAGAGGATGAAAGGAGTAGGCGTGAGCTCCAAAGTCAGGAAAATCTCGATAGGGTAGAAACAGAAGGCTCCATTGATTCACAGCTCCTCAAAGAACACCTCGAAAGAGATGTCTTAGTATATCAAGATAATGACCCGAGTTCATCTCCACCTCTGCCGAGAACACCATCTTCGAGAAAGCGGCGAGTAAATGAAAACAACGACACCACCCCCAAAGCCAGAAAGATTACAAACCCAAAAAGAGTTCGCACCACCTCATCCCCCACCTTACCCCCAATAATTTCTCCTAGACAACAGAGACAGATATCCAACCTGGCGCTCATTGAGGCCGTCCGTCTGGCAGGCTCTTCAACCGCTAGTAGCACCCCTCAAACTTCGCCGGCTAGCGCAAAAATGGAGGAACGCCAAGGGAGAGCTGTGAAAAGGTTTAAGTTGAATCAAGGCAAATCAGAGATCTCAGCAGTAGACCAGCCGGGAAAAATAGAACAGGCCAGCCAAAATAAGGAGTTTATGATACCCGGTCTTGACTCACGGCGGGGAAGTATCAACGAGGAAGAGGTCATTGAGGCCATGGAGGCAGCACTTGAAATTGATGGAAGAACATGGTGGGATGCGGGATTGACTTGCACAAATGAATGGAAGTATGAGGAGGAAATTGAGTTATAGAGTGTTTTTATCTGAAGCGTGTTTGAGAGATAATTTTATCTCCTAATATATAAAAGGTCAGGACGAAAAGAAATTTCGCAAATGGCGGGTGATGATTGGCCCTGCACTCAGGCTCCCTACATAGAACGAATATAAGGGTGTACTGGAATATAATATGCCGGAACAGCCCTTCAATAAAATGATTGTTCTGTTTACTCCGCCCGGGAAAGTACTTCCAAAGGCAAAAAGGCTCCAGGCCAGAGTAGCAGGGAAAAGAGAAACGTAAGGCGTTATTTCATTCACCAACCTGGTTTGAATCGATAGTATAAATTGAGATTGGGCATCATGAAATGATTCCGGTTGGTAACAAACGGGAAAACCTCTAGTATGGAATAAACGACTGAAGCTACTTTGTAATTATCATCAGTAGCTCAAAACAGATAGACAAAAGGCCGTTGACTTGTTAGGCTGTACCCCGCTCATGTGCTTCAGCCAATATGACAATTTCTAAATAATATCCGGATATCCCGGTTTCTATATATATCAATTGTTGGTTTACTCGTTATAAATGCTGTATATGTGTACTCCCCTCTTGCCAGAGTGCTATTTGATTGTAGCCCCGGCCACTTTAATAATATATATATAATGATAACATTGAATACATTCACTCGATGTGTCCACGAGCTACATGTATGCTTATACCCATCTCTCATCCCGCCACATTGCTAAAGAATTCGGCGGGGGTTCCACGAGCAAATACATGTTACGTATACTGAATAATACCAAGTGGTCATTCACATATATCCAAGCTGAAATGAGTTACTATTTCAGACTCACATAGTACAACTTGCATAAAGCTCGATAGAGAAAGGTGGCTACCAGACGATAAGCACTGCTATAAATTAAGAAGTTTCGTCCTATACTCTCGATCATTCTCATGATCAATACTCTTTTGATAATATTTCCATCGATAGCAAAAAAATCGAATACGATCTCCTCCCATTTATCAAGGCCTTTTCCATCAAGCAACTATTCTTCTCTCTGTGCGCAGCTCTCTTCAAGCCATTAACAATGACAAGCGCCCTAGAACTGGTAAGGCAAGATGTCGAAATCATGCATCGTCCAGAATTCGAGAACAAGGTGGTCATCTCCGGTCAACCGCTTGTTGGTGGCCAGCATGATATAGACGACACCGCTCTCGGCTTCACCGCACCCTACGATCACAGGGACATTGGGTTCACCAGACGAGTCCAAACCGCGATGGCGGTAGATGGTGTAGATTCGATAATGGACGCGTGCAAACCTTCCGTGACGCGCTCAGCGACGTATCGACCGCCGAACTATTCAACGCACTCGATATCCTGCTGGTCCAGTTTAAAGAGGACATAGAAAGACGTGAAAGTGAGGAAGAAAGGGAAAGGAACATAACGTTGAAGCTGAAGAGAGCTTATAAAGCGGGAAACAAACTTCGTGCAATCCACGAAGCAGGGGATCTCAACCCGGAAAGAACGGTTGGTAACAATCGAAAGAAAACGAAGAGGACTGTAAAGAGGATTACTTCTGAGATTCGACAGGTGACAGAGGAGCTGTTTGCAGTATATACTAAAAAGGAAGAAGCGTAGTTTCGCGGAGGACTCTGTTCGTTCTTATTATTGACTTGGGGAACTCCAAGTGAGCTTTACGTCATGTCCTGAGCGCTTGTATCTGTACTTTTGTTCATGGTGACCTCTTTAGGGTATATAAATGGGGCGCAGCAGTCTTTTTTCTTTTGTCTCAAACAGAAATCAGAATTAGAGGCCTTGATGTTAATCGATTAGCTAGCTTTCTAATGAATGCCTTTACCTACGACGGATTTGCGATAAGATCATACCAGAATTCTGTGGGTCAAGTAGGCTACATAAGCACGGATGTATCTTAAGCAGGTGAATTAAGATTCTTGTTTCGTCCTAATTTAACTATTATTATTCCAGTGGAACGCTGTCATGGGTTGGAAATGTAGGCCCCTTCTCCCGGGCTGTTCAGATAGTGCAGCAGGTTATATGTTATGATGGGTTTATGAGGGTGGAGATACGGCCTCGGATTCATCGTTATTGGTTGAGTCGGGAGCCGAGTGAGGGACTGTGTTCCCTTTCTAGAGGTAGGCTGTTTGGTTGTTGTGGATTGTGGTCTCTGTAATGGGTAGATTTGTGAGTTTTAGTAGTGCCGGGCGGGATTGGTGCGGTTGGGCTCTGGGGGTTTATGCGGTGGTGTGGGTTTTTGATGACACGCATTCTAATTGTTAAGATATACCTGGATTGAATCACTATCAGAAGCATTGCACGTTATTAGTCGTCACAGAAGGATCAGAACTATAGAAATTGGTAGCCAATTTTCTCATTAACCACCTACCATGTCCACACCAGCAACATTTTAAAAACAGCGAAGAAAGTAAAAAAAAAGAGAGAGAGAGAGAAAAAGAGAAAACGAGAAAACCCCATCCACCCCCGGCCTACCTCCTCCTCCCCCCACTACCAAACCCCAACCCCAACCTCCCCTTCGTCCTCCTCTTACTAGTATTCGCGCCTCCTCCTCCCGCCGCCTCGCCAAACCCCGCCTCATCCAGATCCATCTCATCCTCCTCCCACTCGCCCCCCTCCGCCATGCCCCTCTTCCCCTTCCCGCCCTTCTCGCCCTCGCCGCCGCGCCCCTGCTCCTTTGTCGCCGCCAGCACGCGCTCATACTCCTCGCGCTCGCGCCTACTCCTCACCGCGTCGTCGCGGATCGCGGCCATCTGCGCCTCCAGGTCGCCCAGCACCTCCTCGCACACGCGGCCCCAGCTCTGCAGCGTGCGCATCATGGCCGGGATCTCGGCGGGCGCGACGTCGCGGCCGGCGGTGCTAGACACCTCGACGAGGGCGGATTGGGTGTCGAGTTTGGCGCTGAGGAGGGAGGCGTAGATGGAGGAGATGACGAGGTCTTCGAGGGAGCGGGTGCTGGGCAGGTCGAGCGTGCGCAGGAGGGAGGCGTAGGTGAGGTGGGAGGGCCCCTGGGAGGCGAGCGTGATGAGGGAGAGTTGGCGGAGCTTGTGGAGTTGGGCGGGGTTGAGGGGGGGGAGGGCGGTGGCGTTGGCTTGGGGGGGGGTGTGTGTTAGTTTCCTCTCTCTCTACTTCTTCTACTCTCTCAGGCTGGATGGGACGGGGGATGGGGGGTGGAGGGGCAGAGGCAGACGGGCAGGAGAGAGGGGGAGAGGGTACCTTTGTAGTCGCTGTAACTCCCATACGCAAAGATCTTGAGCAGGTCCAGATACTTTGCGCCATCGGCATTTCCGGCCAGCGCCTGGATGTTTGGCATCTCGAGGAGCTCCGAGAACACGAACACGCCGGGGGCCTGGGTGGCCTGCGTCACGAGGTCGGCGGCGGCGCGGCCCGTCGCGGATTTGGCGAGCGCGAGGTAGGGCTGGAGGGCGAGGATGTAGGATTGTTCGGCCATTGTGTTTGTGTTTGGTGGTTGTGGTGGGGGAGGGGGGAGGGGGAAGGGGGGAGCTGTGATTTTGGTGTAGAGCTAGGTGGGAAGCTTGGTGGGTTGGTGGGTTGGTGGGTGGTGGGTGGTGGGGTCGCGGGCCTTGGCGGTGAGTGATTGTTTGTGAGCCGTGGTGGGGTGCATAAGGGGATTGTCTGCTCTCACCCTGGCACCGACAGACAATGCCGTTGTGAGGGATGCGTGCGTGGGGTGGGCGAGTGAGTGAGTGATGGGCTGTGAGCGAGGGGCGGTTTGTAATAACTTGCTCGTTCGGTGCGGTTTATTACTCCTTGCTGCCGTGTGACCCCCCCTGCCCTGCTGTATGGAAAGTAGCCCTTCTGTCTACAAGGGCTGCTACATTCCGACGAGGAAGGTGAGGAAGAAGAGGAAGGAAGGAATAACCTTCCGTACCGCCCGAGAAGCTTCACCACACGTGCACACATATGCTGAATTTTTCAAAACCACGGTTTCAAAGCCCAAACCCTTCATTGCAAAACAGGTCCGGCACCGAACCCTACTGTTTCCAAACCCTTCCCGAGTACTGCCCTGGTAGTGTTTCCGTACTTTAGACATCGCCTCGATAAAACTCCCCGTCGGCTGTCAAACCGGGGGGGTATTGTAGTCTTGCACTTTCGAGGGGGCGTGCGTGAGAGAGAAGAAAAAGAAGAAACGTGGAGAGCGGGCGTCTAGATCTCTGTTCACTTTCCTGGACCTGCAGGGCACACCCTTCCCTACGTTTCCCTTCCACACCCTATATTACATTACATTACATTACTGTATTCTATTCCATCCATCCAACCCAATCCACCCGCCCAACCCTCCCTGCATCTCAAATCGATCCCAATGCCGAAAAAAACATAATCAATAATAAATTCACCTTGTTCCTTCCTTCCCTCCTACTCTTCAAAAAGAAGTCGTCTGATATATTACGAACCCGGGACTCGACTCCCGGACTCATTCCTTTTGCTTTTCTTTTCTTTTTGCGACTGTGCACTGTACTGGTTCCGGAACCCCCCCTTGACTTGACTCTCGATTATTGTACCTAACCTACACTACACTTCAGGCTATTTTTACACCGCGCCCCGTACCTTTTTTCCACCCCTTCCTTCGCTCGCGCCCCGGTTGCAGCTAGTGAGAAAACAGTACTCTACCAACACCCTAAAAACTACCGGGCCGGCCGGTGTAGGGACTTCTACATACTAGTACCGCCGCCGTCGTCGTCGTCGTCGTCGTCGTCGCTTGTTCTACATACCTACCTTACCAATACCTACCTACCTGCCTACCTGCCCAACCTCGCTTGTCGACGAGAGTAGTACGACGCTCGCCCGCGATAATAATCACCTCTCCACTCATTCATTCCCCTGCCGACCTGCCGACCTGCCGACCTACCGACCCAGCTGGCGCCTCGCTGTGCGACGCCTACCTACCGACCTACTCTACGTTTTTAATTATCTGGCCCTTACCCCCCCCCCCCCCCCCCCGCGCCCTTCAGTTCGGTTTCTTCAGCTCGCTCGCCCACCACGATACCTACCTACCTACCTAACCGCCCACCGCCATACCAGCAGCAGCACACTCGTTCGAGAGCTAGGAGACAGACAGACACATAGGAGGATATAGAAGAGGACACCAGGAGCATGGCGCGAGAAAGGGATGACGCGGACCGCCCGCTGATGGATCTGGACGTGGAGGAGAAGGCACCGCGGATGGTGCAGACGACGGTCGCGGTGGAGGGCATGACCTGCGGGGCTTGTACGAGCGCTATCGAAGGTATGTGTTATCCGGAGGGCGGAGGAATGGGGAGGGGGGAAGAGACTGACAGGGAGCAGGCGGGTTCAAGAACCGCGATGGCGTAACGTCGTTCACGGTCTCGCTGATCACGGAGCGAGCTGTCGCTGTGCATGATGCCGACAAGATCTCAGCCGAGAAGATCGCGGAGATGTAAGTTTCTTTTTTTCTCTCTTTTTTTTTTTTACTTTCTACCCCCCCTCTCTGCCCCGCCTCTTGGTGTGCGTAGATTAGTGGTAGCTGGTCTGACAGGAGGGTTAGAATCGATGACCGAGGATTCGACGCCCGCCTTGTCTCGTCGGATCCGGTGGGAGGCGCTGCACAGCGGAGACAGAAGAATAAGAAGGGGAAGAAGGAGCAGCAGGAGAGCGGACTGGTGCAGACGACGGTCGCGGTGGAGGGGATGACCTGCGGCGCGTGTACGAGCGCCATCGAGGGCGGGTTCAAGAATGTCGCGGGGGTGCAGAGCTTTACCGTTAGCTTGATCACCGAGAGGGCCGTGGCCGTCCATGATCCTGGGGTGCTGAGCGCCGAGAAGGTTGCGGAAATGTGGGTTGTTGTTGATCTTTGCTGGCTGTAGTTGTGGGTAGCTGACGCTAGTGTTGCTGCTAGTATTGAGGACCGTGGCTTCGACGCACGACTGATCTCATCGGAGGCGGTCGGGGGTGCAGCGGCAGCTGGAGGGATGAAGGAACAAGCGACAAACATGGCGACGACAACGATTGCGGTCGAGGGAATGACGTGCGGCGCCTGTACGAGCTCTGTCGAAGGTGGGTTCAAGAACGTTGCTGGAATTGTGAGCTTCACGGTTAGTTTGGTGATGGAGAGGGCTGTGGCGGTTCACGATCCGAGTGTCATCTCGCCGGAAAAGGTCGCTGAGATGTAAGTCTAGAGCTTCAGCAGTAGATGGTGGTAGTTGTGTAGTTAGTGATGGCTAATGGGTTATGTGGGCGCGTGCAGAATTGAGGACTGTGGTTTCGGGGCTAAAATCATTTCCACCGCCATGAGCGGCGACGACTCGGAGAAGAATGCGAAAATCGATACGGTGATCTTCAAGATCTTTGGTCTCAACTCCGGCGAGGATGCTGTTGCTCTCGAGAATGCGCTGAGTGCGCACCAGGGCGTCTGCGACGCTGCGGTAACGTTCGAGAACTCGAGGGCCAAGATTGAGTACTTTACGTCTCTCACCGGCGTGCGGAACCTCGTAGAAATCGTGGAATCGCATAACCTGAATGCGCTCATGGCGGACATGGAGGACAACAACGCCCAGCTCGAGTCGCTCGCTAAAACTAAGGAAATCACGGAATGGCGCAAGGCGTTCCAGTTTTCGGTGGGGTTCGCGGTCCCCGTGTTCTTCATCAGCATGATCATTCCCATGTGGTTCAAGGGTGTCAATCAGTATTTGGGAGCATATGAGCTTCCCATTCCAGGACTGTTTGTAGGGGATTTGGTTTGTCTGGTCTTGACGGTACCGGTGCAGTTTGGTGTTGGTGCAAGGTTCTATAGGTCTGCGTTCAAGAGCTTAAGGCACGGCAGTGCTACAATGGACGTCCTCGTAGTTCTCGGTACCTCCGCCGCCTTCTTCTTCTCGATTCTAGCCATGGTCATGAGCATCCTATGCCCACCTCACAGCAAGCCCAGCACCGTCTTCGACACCTCAACCATGCTTATCACCTTCATCACCCTCGGCCGCTACCTCGAGAACCGCGCAAAGGGCCAGACGTCAAAGGCGCTCAGCAGACTCATGTCGCTCGCCCCGTCAATGGCAACAATCTACGTCAACCCCGAAAAGGCCGGCATCCAAAGCGACGCCTCAAACGACAACACCAACACCGCCGAGGAGCGCACCATCCCAACGGAGCTCATCCAGGTCGGCGACATTGTCATCGTGCGCCCCGGCGAGAAGATCCCCGCGGACGGCAGCGTCGTCACGGGTGAATCCTACGTCGACGAATCCATGGTCACCGGCGAGGCAATGCCGATCCTGAAACGCAAGGGCGAGATGCTGATCGGTGGGACGGTCAACGGTGCTGGGCGTCTGGACTTTAGAGTCACCAGGGCAGGGCGCGACACGCAGCTGGCGCAGATTGTGAAGCTGGTACAGGAGGCACAGACGTCGAGGGCGCCGATCCAGCGCATGGCGGACATTGTCGCGGGCTATTTCGTCCCGAGTGTTATCTGCCTGGGCCTTGTTACTTTTATCGGATGGATGGTGCTCGCGCATGTGCTCAAAAACCCCCCGGCGATCTTCAAGCAGGCGGCGAGTGGTGGGACGTTCATGGTGTGCCTGAAGCTCTGTATCTCGGTCATTGTCTTTGCCTGTCCTTGCGCGCTTGGTCTTTCCACGCCCACTGCGGTCATGGTCGGTACTGGTGTCGGTGCAGAACAGGGTATTCTTGTCAAGGGCGGTGCCGCACTCGAGACCGCAACCCGCATCACTCAGGTCGTATTAGACAAGACCGGGACTCTGACCGTCGGGCACATGACCGCCACGCTCAGCAAGCGTGCTGGATCGTGGGGCAGCTCTCGCCGCGAAACTGAGCTCTGGTGGCTGCTTGTCGGCATCACCGAGGCTGGCTCCGAGCACCCCGTTGGTCGTGCCATCACTTCTGCTGCACGGGAAGCTCTCGGCCTTGGTCCTGAAGGCGTTCTTGACGGGTCCGTCGGCGAGTTCAAGGCCGTTGTTGGCCGCGGTGTAGAGGCAATGGTCAAGCCCGCGAGCGAGCGGACAAACTACAAGGTCCTGATCGGAAACACAAAGTACCTCGAAGAGAACAACGTCGTCGTCCCCGTCGAAGCCGAGCGTCAAGCCAAGGGTCTCGGCGCCAGCCAGGTCGACGAGGACGGCAAGGTGAAGGGCAGGACCTATGTATTTGTGTCCATCGACGGCGAGTACTCGGGTCTTATCGCGCTGAGTGACGAGGTGAAGAAGGACGCCAGATATGCCGTTGACGCACTGCGGAGGCTGGGTGTCAAGATCGCTATGGTAGGTTTTTGTATTTGTCGATATGCGCGGGTTTGAGCGGGATTTTGTGAGCTAATATTTGCGAAGGTTACTGGCGACCAGATGGTGACGGCCCTGCAGGTTGCAAAAGAGGTTGGGATCGACGCAGACATGGTCTGGGCCGGCGTCTCACCAGACGAGAAGCAGGACATCGTCAAGAAGATGAAAATGCAAGGCGAAATCGTGGCCATGGTTAGTTCCCTCCCCCTCTCCATTCCCAATCACAGCCTATCACTCGGTATACTAACCTCTCTCACCTCAGGTCGGCGACGGAATCAACGACTCCCCCGCTCTAGCAACCGCAAACGTCGGCATCGCCATGGCGTCAGGCACCGACGTCGCCATGGAGGCCGCCGACATCGTGCTCATGCGCCCGCAGTCGCTCCTCGACATCCCCGCGGCCCTGCACCTCGCACGCACAATCTTCAACCGCATCAAGCTCAACCTCGTGTGGGCGTGCTGCTACAACCTCATTGGGCTCCCGTTCGCCATGGGCTTCTTCCTGCCCGTGGGGCTGCACCTGCACCCGATGGCGGCGGGGGCGGCCATGGCGGCGAGTAGTGTGAGTGTTGTGGGGTCCAGCTTGCTGCTGAGGCTGTGGAAAAGGCCGAGGTGGATGACGGTTGAGGGGATGGAGGCGGAGGAGAAGAGGGCGGCGGGGAGGGTGAAGGGGGAGAGGGGGTGGTGGAGGTGGGGGTGGTGGAGGTCGGCGCAGAGGGGGTATGTGCCGTTGGCGGATTTGGGGGATGTGTAGTGGTGCTGGTGGGTTCTGGTGTGTATAGTTGTGGGTTGGGTTGGTTATCTTTTTATTTTCTTGGGTTACTTACTTACTTGGTTGGATATCCGGGGTTTTTTTTTACCTTCTTTACCTTTTTTTGTTTTTTTTGCGTTCCTTTGCGTGCTGTGATCTCCGTTCCCTCCTTGGTGTGCTTCTTTCCCTTTTTTTCTTTAGCTGTGCTGTGCTGTGTTGTGGATGATCATGTAGACGAATCGGGGGTGGAGGGGACAGCGGTATATATTGGGCTGGTTTACTATATGTATGTAGCGGTACTTAGAGGTAGCGGTAGCGGTAGTGGTAGTGGTAGTGGTTTCTGGCTAGATATCAGGGCTTTAGCAGTTAGTTAGTTGGCGGGGTGGGGTCTAATTAATCCATTGGATGTGCTTTCTCTGGGCCCGGTCTTACCGTGAGTGTTTTCTGTCTTCTGGTCCTCATGCATCTATTTCGCCAGCTAGAGGGGGGGATGGATTAGCTGCGGCGTGTAGAGGTAGGTTTGGGCACACCGAAATGAAGAATCCACAGCTGGTCTGAACGCCCAGGACCGGATGCTGTACATCATTTTGGGCGGAGGTACGACTGCTATCATTTCCACTGCGCGCGGTTGGGACACGGTCAGGTATAGTTGGGGCAAGTCACTACGATCAGTTACCCGCTGCTAGTGTACTGTACACAGTGGCTACATATCTCTTCTCTTAGTTTTATTATATACCTACCATTGTACTTGCTGCGAGAATAAGTTTCCGCCACCACTTTTGTGTTGCAACCGCATTTTCACGTACAAATTGGGCGGAAACTTGTTCTCGCCGCAAGTAGTAAGCACACACAATGCTCTATAGACCCTGCCTTACCAAAGGGGGCTCAGGGAGATGCGCTCAAAGCTAACACTGTCACGCAAACAGACATGAGTGGTTAACACACCAAAAACTCAGCACGTAGGTTTAGAGCTGTGAGGAGATCTTGGGTTCGATCGAATCCCAATCGGGGAATATCAATTCTTTTTTTTTCTATCTTCTACCTCTCTCGCCCCCCACCCCCCCCCCCCCCCCCCCAAAGCAGGCTGTCATTCCTTCTAAGACTCGTATAGCCCGAGTACAGATACCCCGGCCCTTACTCTGCGCCAGCAGGCCTTCCCATCAGCTCCGAGACTACCTCATCTTAGCCATGAAATTGATACCTAAGAGCGCCAAGTGTGGGGTTAAGGTTCTTGAAGGTTTTTACACGGCATATTCTTTTATATCATAGTAGATATATGGCCACGTGCACCGGTACCCCTGCATGAACTCACGAACTCTCGCATACAGCGATTAAACCCGGATCCCATCATAGGCCTAGCTAGAACCGTGAAATTCGCAACTACTAATTATGGGGTACAAAAAGAAACCTCCGTGGAATTAATTAATGAGTACTATTGATGCTATTAGGATTTTAGGTCGATCATTAATGTGGTTGTGGTTGGGGGTTTTTTATAGCACCGATGGGTGGGGTGGGTACGTGTAATACGTAGAGTAGATCGAGGGTACAGTACGTATCTTTTTTTCCCAGCGGCGGAACCAACTCTAGTACGTACATGTAGCTAGGGAAACAATTCGGCATTAGCATTGTGGTTGAACATATATTGACAGGAGCATGCATATCAAGATTAAGAGTCCAAGACCAGCTGAAACCTCCATATATCCCACAGGCACTTGGGATTCGACTCCAATATAAACCAGCCGATGACCATCACAGCAAATTTGGCAGGAACACAAAATACCACTGACTATAAGTATGAGTACTACCCCACCCCATTCGGCGGGACTACAGAAGTCACTAGTAGGCTTGGCTCACAGACGCTCACTCGGCCATAACACGCATACCAAACTTTATGTCCCCTCTGAAACGTCGCGCGAGTTCACGCAACAGCTCCCTGTGGGTATTGCCAATTTCCCGTTAATCGGCGAACTTAATGTAACGTTTCATTTGCTCCGTTGAGATGTAGTAGCACTGGCTACATGTAATTTACACACGCACACACAGATACACATACACATTCATCATGTTCATATCATTCACACATTTACATATAGCCACACTCCCTTGCCTTCCAGCCCCCATTCCATACCTTACGTACACCGAAATGAAAGGAAAAAAAAAAACTCATCTGATGATGGAGACACATCACGGGAAGGAGAGGCGAAAAAAAAAATATTGCATGGGCGGGCATGGGATTACATGCTCTTTCTTTCATACATAGAAACACATATTCATGTCTCGGATCAAAAAAAAAAAAAAAAAAAAAAAAGTGGAAAATAAACATCAATAACAAAAAGGGTTACTGAAACTAGAATATAGGAGGGGGAATAGAGATATGGAGAAGGGATGGGGAAGAAGGTTACTATACTAGGGTAGACAGATACTAACTACTACAGATCATAAAAATGAGGACCATGACAAAGAAAGAAAAGAAACTCCAATTTTTTCATTTTTACTTCCCCTCCATTCAAATCCAGAAATGCCGTAAGACGAAGAAAAAGGTAGTAGTAGTATAAATAGACTCAACTCTTGTAGGGAAAAGAGAGGCATTGCAAGGTAAACAGATGGAGAAGGAGAGAAAGAAACCAGTTATTTCGCACAATGCAGATAAAATGAGGGTCGCATCTACGCCCTACACTAAAAAATGAACCCTTATCGACACCACCCCTCTATGCCTCTATCCCACACATACACAACCGTCCATGTCAACCTTTCGTTACTGGCACTATGACATCTTGGCCAAATCCATCGCTTCTCCCAATTTCCTTGCAATTGCCTCTTCTTTTACCCTTACGGAGTACCTCTTACGGCCACCGTCGGGAAGAAACTCCACTATGGAAACGTTTTTCAAACCCCTACCGCTGGCCGGCGTATATGTGATGCCCTCAACCAATCCCACATTGAGTGCGACTTTCCCGACCTCTGTTCGTGCAAGCACCCTTGCTTTTCCATTGATACGGTTCTTGAGGACTCTTAACTGTCCAACACCTCTCTTGATATGCTTGTCTGCCTGGCCGTCTGGCTGGTCGACGAGTTCATAGACGATGGCTCGGACTTCGAATTTCGAATCTTCATCTTCTTCGCCGGGACCTTGCTTAGAAAGATCGATATCACCCTTGGCAAGATGGGCATTGTCGTTAGGTTCAGAGTTGTTATCATCGTCTTTTGGCGTGAGAGGGCCTGAAGGGGGCACAATTGGAGTGCTTGGGCCGCTACCACCAAAGGAGAAACCGGTTTCTTTTACCCCGGGAGTACCAAAGATCGATGAATTTCCTGATGCATTCGGAGAGGGCGCAGAACTAGATGTGGCAGATCCAAAGAGGCCTTTGGGTGCCTCGGTTTTGGAACCGAATAACGATGTACCATTGGTACCGTTAGTCTCGCCAAACTTACTAGAAAACATACCACTGCCAGAGCCAGCCTTGTTGTTTGAGAAGATTGACCCGGTGGATTCTTTCTTCGGTTCACTAACGCGACCAAACAGACTGCCCGAAGGTGATGAGGCAGCTGTTGTATCATCATCATCGTCATCACCTTCGTCCTTTTCCAAGGGACCAGGAACCTGTGATGAGAAGGGGTTTACGAAACCACCGCTGTTTTGAGAGGCGTTGGGGGAATCAAGGACACTACTGTCCTTCGCAGACGGAGAACCCTCAGACTTGTCTGCCGTGAAGATTGTATTAGATTGAGATGCTACACCTGGATCTGGTAAGGATATTGACTTACCCTCATTCTTCTCTTCTTGGTCTTTCTTTTCGGACATGGGAACAGGGGGTTTGAAGCCGAACAGTGGGGCCGAAGCAAGCTTCACGCCAGATGGTGTGATAGGCGTTGACGCAGATGGAGGAACAAATCCATGGGTTGGTTTACTGGCTAGCTCGTAGGCGTCTGTTCCAGAAGTGCTGCTGCCGCCGCCAAGAATTGATGCGAGGGCTTTTGAGGAATCAGATCCTGAAAATTTCGAGTCTATGTTGTGGATCAATGTTAGAATGTATTGAAAATTGCAGTGGATGCCTCGAGTGCCTGGAAGGATTGATGGTTGCAAAGGTGTGGGAATAGGGTGGGGGAAGAACTAGGACTGGGGTTGTTGCCATGTTGCCATGCTGGTTTAGACGTAGATGGGTTGATTGGGTGATGTTGGCAGGAACCGGGAAATCCATCACTCTCACTTTACCCAGTTGCCTCCCGCTGCAAAACGAGAAGCACCACACAGGCCAGTAAAAAGCAAAAAGGAAAAAAGACCGTTGCCTCATCAAACACCACCCAAAAGAATAAGAAACATCTATGCCAGAAAAAGCAAGAGAAAGAACGCCAGAAACACCAGAAAAACGCGCGGTTCTTAAAGTGGCTCCTGAAATTTGATACGGAACAAATGTGATAAAGAAACTAGAGATGACAGAAAAATGAACTAGAATGAATGCCTAATTACCTTCGCCGTTACCCTTAGATCTTTTACCGCCGCCACCTTGAATCTCGTCATCATCGAAGGTGTTAATCCTTTTGGCAGTGACACCCGAGCCCAATTTCGGTTCAACACTGGCGCCTTTATAGCGCTCCCCATTTTTTTGACATTCCTTGATTTTTTTGGACTCTTTGATGTATATTTCGCAAGAGACACTCCAGTCACCCATTTGGTCTGCTTTTTTAAGGCCTTCCAAAAAGCTGTGGTTCAACGCACGCAAAGCAAACAAGTTATAGTATTCATTGAGCTGTGCTGTTGTCCATGAAGTAGAGTCAGATGGGAGTGGAGGTGATGGTGTTCTGAAGTTAGTAGCAGAAGCAGCAGTCGTGTTATTTACTGCTGTTGATGTTGGTGTTGCTGTAGGGGCAAACATAGCAGGGGGGGGTGTAGACTCTTTTGGCGGCGCTGCCGCGAGCTTAGGGGATCCAAATCCAGCGAAAGGACTAGGGCTATTAATTGGTTGGTTAAAAACACTCGGTGATTTTGGTGGTGAGTTATCAGCCATGATGTCATCGTTAATTTCGACACTAGGGGTAGAAGGAGCACCGAAGAACGGTGATTGAGCCTTAGGTGTTTCTAGCTTGTTTTCAGTAGGAGGTCCAAAGCCAAAGAGCGGCTTACTCGGTTCATCCTTCTTTTCGCTCGGAGTCCCAAATCCGCCAAAAAATGGCGACTTAGGAGGATCAGTCTTATTATCTCCGAAGCCACCAAATGGTGATTTTGGTGGCTCTTGCTGAGGAGTGTTAGACTCTATGCCGAAGCCAAACAGCGCCTTGGGCGGCTCGTGCTTTGATGTTGCCGGTGCTTTATCCCCGAATCCACCGAATGACGGCTTGCTTTGCTCTTGTTCTTTGGGCTGACCAAAGAAGCTGCTGGTGGTGGGAGTTGGCGCCGGAGATCCAAAAAGGTTATTAGAGGGCTCTGGGCTGGGTGAAGGTTTAAACAAGTTTCCAGAAGGAGGCTCCGGAGAATGTGAGGGTCGTCCAAACAAGCTTGAACCCTGTTGCTCAGTAGGTTTAGCGAACAACGATTTACCCTGTGAATCTGCCGGCTTTCCAAATAGGGAGGTGCTAGGGGTCCCTGTTTGCGGAGTGGCCGCGCCAAATGCGAAGGTAGGTGCTGGCGCGGCAGCCGGTGTAGTCTGAGGCTCGGGGGTCTTCTCGAGCGCAAAGCTATTACCAAAGTAGCCACCAGAGGGCTGCCCAGATGCGGTAGCTGTAGAGCCGCAGAAGTTGAATGAGGAGGCTGCCGGAGGTGTAACCACAGCAGGAGTGCCATTGTTGGCTCCGAATGTAAATGAAGTGGACGTAGATGTAGCTGGCTTGTTATCACCGCCGCCAAATATTGGCGCAGCCGTGCTATTACCACCAAAAGTGAATGATGGCGCCTTATTGAAACCTGTCGCCGGTTGCGCGGGGGCTGCGTTGTTGTTGCCTCCAAACGTGAACCCGGTAGACGCAGGCGCGGGAGAGGCATTGCCGTTATTGTTGTTATTATTCCCAAACATCCCAGTTGACGAGCTTTGTGGTGTCGAACCTCCAAACAGCCCTCCGAGCTGAGGGGTACCAAACGAGCCATTCGTGCTTGATGGTGCCAATGATGGGAACGAGTTTACCTTGGGCGGCTCCGGCGCAGGGCTATTGCCGCCGAAGTTGAAACCCCCTGTCGCGTTTCCTCCGAAAGTTGGAGTCGCTGGCGCGGCACTCTGAGGTGGCCCCCCGAATCCAGAGAATGGTGCCTCAGGTTGTGATGCACCATTTGCGCCGAATCCCCCTGTTGGTGTCGCCGCAAAGAAGTTAGGTATGCTAGAACCGCCTCTTGAGCTGCCGCCGGCCGCTCCCCCGCGACCACGTCCCTTCTTCAGAGGTGCGATCCTATGTTCGTCAGCAAACCCGCTCCAACTCGAGTAAATAAAGAAAACAGGCACCTCCGCCTCGAAAACACGGGAAAGGGGGGAAACAAGAGTAACTCACTTTCTGCCGCTCATAATCTTGCTATCAGCCATTTTCGTAGGATCAACGGCGTCTCTCGGGTTTTCCGGTTCGTGATTTCCTTGATAACTAAAACCCTGCTGCTCGTAGTCGTCCTTGGTCAGCTGTGTGTCCGACCGCCTTTTAGACATCGGCACACAACAACTCTAGCAGAGCGTAGGTGCAAGGGGGAAAGTGCTTGAGTATGTGTGTGGGTGTGTGTGTAAACCACCCTTTGTTGACTTATTTCCTTTCTCGCTCACTCACTCAACCAAGTTTTTTTTTTTTGGTTTTCTTTTTTACTTTTTTTCTGATGCCTTGTTGTTGTTTTGGTTTTTAGGTTTCTTTCGCCACCCTGTTAAAACCTATGCGATAGGAGCGAGAACGGGAATGACAGAGACAGAGATGATTACGGTGATAAAAGATATGGGGGGGTGGGAGAAGGAAGCTGGCGATGGAATGAGGGAGAAGGGGGACGATGGAACGGGGGTTGGTGGTGTGGTAGAGTTGGGTGGATAACGGCGGCCTAGAGTGTGGACCTCTCACACACACGAGGAAGACAGATGGCAGAGAAAGGGAAAAAAGGGCAAGGGAGAAGAAGTGGAAAGAAGAGCGAAGGCAGAAGCGGAAGAGTGTAAAATGCGAGTTGTGCAGCGAAAAGAGGATGAGGTTGGTTGCGTTGTCGCAGAAACGCGAGCGATGGGGCTGAGGGATTACAAACCAGGGAACGCGTTGAAGAGTTATCAGTGGCTGATAGTCGCGATCAGGGGCGTTCAAGCCACACACGGTACTTTTCTTGCAATCATTGGCTGTGTCACCCTCCCTCGTGGTTAGGCCCGCATATGTAAGCTCTGTCAAAGTAGGGACTTTTTCAGGCACAAACACTACCGTCAGTAGGTACAAGCACCCCTCGATCTCCTGTTGATTCTGTACCCCGCAGCCTCAACTTGTACTCACATGTATTCTATGTACTCTGCCCTCCGTCATACTATTCATAATCCACTTAACCTCTACATGTACCATACATATAGCTAATAATTCAGTGATCACACTTCACACGATAACCACGTAGCGTCTACCCCACATGCGCCAAAGTGATCCTACACGTTACCGGCAGCCATCGAAGATTTGAAGTCTCCGGAAGGGTGCTTAAGATCGAACTGTCCGCCTGTTGCAAACCTCCTTCTGTTCTAGCTAGGTATGTACACGTGCCCGGAACAAAGAATTTCCTATTTGTGCCTCACCCCACCCCGCAAAATTACACCAACCCCAGCCCTGTCTTCCCCCGCAGCTCGCTAACTGGCGAGTGCGATCCGTGAAATTTGCTTGGCGTAATTCGCAGGTTTAATTCGATTGCTTTGTCGAGTGTTGTTTCCGCCAGGGTGGGCATGACAAGTAAAAGATGACTCGGCAGACGAACGTGAGTCATGTAGATACATGAAGCTGGGGTGAGTGATTGTCATTTTCCCCTCCAATGTCAAAACGGAAAACGACATGAGAGTTCACTCCAATTAGAATGATTTTTAGCCCTTCTTCATTTGGTCTAGCCTCCTCATTGTTGCCCTCGAGTGATTCCCGATGACGCAAGTTAATTCTGGCCACAAGTAGAAGTACACAGCATCAGTATCGCAAGAAAGGTCTTCTCATTAGTGAAACAGAAGCTCATTAGAGAAACGAAAGCTCGTTAAAAAAATAGTTCCTCAAATATGGGGTGGGTGTTTGTTTGGTTGCCTTGCGGTAAAATTCCCATCCCGGAATTACGATCCTCCGGCCGGCCTCGCACCCCTCTAACCAGCCATTGAGGGACTACCACGGAAAAAGAGAATTGCCATACAAAGAATATCGCAAGACCAAGGTCATTATGGAGGTGTGGTTAGTCCAAGATATACGCCCGGACCCCGAGTGATATATAGACGGTCGACCGATAGCTCAGCTCTGAAGTGCTAAACTGCACACCCCCGTGCAAATTTGACGCCCAGCGTGACGGTTGCATTAGTGTAAGCCCGGGTAACTAGGAGCATACGACACCCGAATGACCTCCTACCATGTGGATTCGATACATGTGTACAATTTCAACCCGCGAGTAACTCCCCCGGGGCTGTGGAGTGTGCAGTACGAAGAGATGGATAAGAAGATCATCCAGGAGTACTGGGTGAAACTAGAACCTTAGTACCTACAATTCCCATATATACTTTGACGGCAGGCATCGACCCGCCCCCATCCCATTCTGATACTCTCATCCCCTCATCCTCCCCTCGTACTGCGTACAGGCCTCTGAAGACAACACCCACAAGAGCGACCTGTTGGCAATAGTGCCAGTCACCTTATGCAGTCTACAAGGAAAAGTTGCACGACGACCGCTTGGGATTTATGCAATGGCACGGCTTCGGGTGACATCATTCGCTGAAGATGAAGGCTGCCATCCCCCCCCCCCCCCCACCCCCCACGGTGGACGGACCTGATGTTTCATGTCCAGCTCACTTCCCCGGGTGATGAGGAGTTCTGAGGAGCCAACATGTCGAGGATAAAAGTGAGCCATATACACGTTAGATCGACAATAGAGAACTAGCGCCTCAGCCTGTTTTTCTCGCACTTGTTGGCATTTTGTCTTTACCCCTCAATACTCAATTCAAGCAAGGCATTCTGCCCTATATGCCTTGTGCAGCCTTGTAGACCCATCGACTGCTCCCTGGCAAGCCGTCGTATAGCTTGGACGAGGGATCTGACACCCAATCTATTGGCCGACCATAATAGCTATACGAGTCAATCAGAATTAAGGCCACTGAATGAAAACTACAATACCATTCAAGTTTTTACAAGCTCCTCTAAACCAATAAACACCAAGCCGGTGTAGCCAATATTTATATTCTAACTACAAACAACTAAGCATGTATATCCTGCTCCCCCTAGCACACACAATCCACCCAGACTCACCCCCCTCCTATAATCGCCACGCACCTTGCATCCCTCAACTACCTCGTCTATCACCCGCGTCCAGCCCAAACTCTTGCCTGAAGGCAAAGCCCCCGGCGAACCAGCTAGTAAACAAACAAACAAGAAAGCAAGAAAACAATAAGCTAATATATAAAAAGCCACTAAGCCAACGCCCTTCCCCAAAATTCCCCAAATAATAGTAAAAAGAGAGAAAAAAAATTCATGTAAAGTTTCCTGGATCTTCGTTCCAATAATGACAAAAGACAAAAGAGTAAACCTCCCAATCATCCAACTCATTAACCCCCAGATATTAAAATGATAGCAACAGGTCCTCGGAGGAGGAATAGAAGCAAAATAAAAGTAAAGTCATATACAAGAATAATACTGGGGAAGGGGCATTATAAAAGAATGGATCGTAATGTAAAGTGTGAAATGCGCCCAGATAAGCCTCTAAAGCCCGGAATATGAAAATGCAAACCCAAATAATGATGGTGTCGAAGGGTATAAACAAAATGATAGGCGTTATGAAAACTGATGGCCAAAAATGAATGGAAAGGGATAGTAAATACATGCCCTATAACCCAGAGCTCCCTATAATCAATGTGTGATAGAAATTGTTAACAGAAAATTCGCCGCCCATGCTAAACGCACCTGGCCCCCCAACCAAATTCGGGGAGCCCGTTTAAGGGAATAAAAAGAATAAAGGAAATATAATATAAAGACCGTTAGCTCGCCACGACTATTGCCGCAACCACGCCCCCAACGACTGCACTAACGGCCAGCACACCGCCGACAATGGCAGCAATTCTCTTCTCGGATTTCCCAACACCTTTGACCTCTCCATTACTCCATGAATCTACCATAGCATCGAAGGATCCGATAGCCACAAGTAAGAGTAACGGCGGAAATAGAACACACAGAGCCAAAATAATTCTGCCAAGCCTCTTCTCCTGCATCCTGTAAGTCCTATTATGGGACTCACCCCGCATAGCCTCGGGATCGTCGTTTGAAATATCTGTCCAAGAATCGCTGATTCGCCTTGGATCGTAAAGTCTCGGTGTCATACTCCTACGTAGGTCTTTGGGCCTCCTAGGCAATCTGGTACCGTATAGTGACGCCCAACTCCTAGACTCCTTCTTACGGGAGGCATTGGTGGTGCTGTCTTGAAGTGGGGGTATGAAATTTACTTCATCAATCCCGCTCATACGGACTTGCTTGCGCGTATCGACCCCTAATCTGTCATTGCTCATCGTATCGCTACCGCCCGCCAAACTACTTCCTGCGAGTCTTCTGCCGGTGCCGCCGGGAGTCCCAGTGACAAGTAAATCCATTTCAATTCCATGCTGATTTCCCGTAGAAATATCTTGTCTTCGTCCCCCTTTATGGACCGGTGTCTGTTCGGGGCTTCTCAGCGCAGGATGAATTGGGGTTGTCTCGTTTGGAGAGTGAGTGTTTGATTCAAAAGGGCTACCAGGCATAGATCCGTACTCGGGGAAACGTGGAGATCGCGGGGAACAATTTCGTGAATCCACGGCTTGGTCACCCCCCATCCTCATGTAAAAGGAGCTACTTGAATCTCGTGTGAGGACATTTTTAGGCATGGCAATAGGAGATGAGCCATATTGGCCAGCGAAAGGCATAGCCCCCGCATTGCTAGTATTGATGGAAGACAGGGGTGAAAATGTTGAACGGGTTGGAGTAGTAAGAGCATTACGATTTGGAAATCCGTCACTTGGGTAAAAGTACTGAGGAACCAGGATAGGAGTCTCATCGGATGTTTGACGCATACGATAGACGCTAATACTAGTTAGCACAAATGCAAACTTTTACCCTTGCAATGGGGGTTTAAACGTGATTAAAACTTACAATTCATATCTAGGGTCCCCCTCGTGAACCAGTACTCCTTTAGGAACCTCCTGTGACTTCAACTTTCGTCTTGCGCCAAAGCCACCCATCCCTGACAACAGTCTTATACCATCGCTATCACCATTATCACTGCTGTGCTCACTGCCATCACTGCGAATAAATTTACTCGCATCACTTATGGTATGATGATGTCCAGCTCCTTGGTATCCATTGTGAGACTCGCCATCCTTACGTCCAGCTACGCTTTCACTAGAAGAAGAAGGAACTGCCTTTCCTTTGCCTTTCTCCTCCCTTGTATACTTTCTCTCAGATGCAATAACATCCATTTCCTCATCACTGAAATCTCTGTCAAATCTTGTAGATGTTGCCCCATCTGCTGTGATAACCATGGCGAATCCGCTAGCCCCGCTTCCAGCCGAGATTTTGCTTAATCTTTTCAGTTCTCTATTAACTGCTTCATCAAGCTGAGGGCTTCCTGATCTTCCAACTCCAGACGAGAGTCGACACATCCCTGGTGAAAAATAGGAATTGGATGATGCATTCCTGCTCATTACTGGCCTGCTCATACCACCACTCCCTCTCCCATTCGTTAGAGTCGTTTTGTTGGACCCATTTCTCGAGGATGCGTTCAGATCACTTTGGTTCATGTAGTTTAGTACACTACTGCTCGCTTTCCCACTACCCTCGTAGACACTGGTTCCGCTGGGGCACGTGGGGCTACTTGGGCCGGATAAGCCTGCATATGTCCCGTCGCTGAAGCCGCTTCCGTTTCCAATATGGAACCCTTCGAAGCCAAATGCCATTGATTCTTCGACGTATCTACGCTCCTGACTTCCTGCAGATTCTATTGTGGTAGCTGTCTGTCGGCGGTGTGTCGGTGTTGGTGGTGGGGCTGCTTGAAAACGATTTAATGGTGGGAGGTAGTTATTTTCTTCAATTCCCGAACTTAGAACCCGAGACTCGGTCTCCTCTTCCTCCTCACCTAATTCTTGATTGCCAAGCCTAGTTGAACGACTGTAGTATCTATAATACCGGTCACTATCGTCCCTGCCCCCCTTCGGCGATTCTTCAAGAGAATATCCATGCCTGCTGGAATCTCCCACCATTAAACTTGAATGCGGGAGAATCTCAACCCTCACTTCACCCCCGCTGATAATCCTTTTGTTTGAACCGCCCCCATTATCAAATTGACTGATCGGACGAATTGGGCCAGTAGATTGTCTTGCGTAGAAACTTGGCCTATTCGGCTGCATCGGGCTATTTTCCTTTAATGGCGTTGGTAGATAGCTGCTGCTAGTGTCACGTTGTATAGTATCGTCCGTTGTATTCGTAGTGCGAGATAAATCAGATTCACCACGCTTATGACCAACTTTGAATACCCTTGTGATTCTCTGCTTAAGTGATGCGGGAGGCGTTGAATCCTCCGGGTGTCCAAGCCCCATCCTCTGATATACCGAAGGCCCAACCGGTAACGGAACGTCTGGTGATACCGGTGACGGGCCCAACACCACTGAATTCGGAGGTGAAGGAGGTGTCTCCTGCCGACCAGGCAGCCTTGGGCGGTTGGTAGGAGTCTTGACAACGATTTCGGCCTCTGTAGCTGGAGTAACAGTAGTGTCGATGCCTAGTAACGGCTGCTGCTGACGTTGGGAGTGGTGGTGATCGACTAGTGTCTGTTTCTCATTCTGCCGAGCTGCGGTGGGTGAGGACGGGGTGGCAGTCTCCACGGGAGAGGGAGGAGGTGATGACACCTCTGACTGAGACGAAGGATTGGATACCATCGTGGGACGAGCAATGGATGCCATAGCTAAATTACTCTTTCGCTTGCTTTCTTCCTGTCTCTCCTAATTGATTTGATATGTTACAGCCTCGTGGAAATGCTGTTTTGGCTTTGCTGTCTACACGAGACGAGGACACATCAATCAATCAATGGAATTACCGATATGTATATATGAAGCGTCTCTACTAGCTGATTCTGCCTTGATTTAATTGTATGTATGTAGGTAGAGTAGCTATTGGTAGCTGTTGCTGATGATGATAATAAGCCACTGTCCGTACACCTGTAGATCCCCTATGCTGCATGCAATACGGGAAGGTGAAGAAAAGGGAAATGCAGGAACCAAACCAGATGAAATCGCCACCCAAACAACAAACGAAATTTGCGAATTATGTTTTATGCGAGAAGAAGAGGCATTGTCGGACCGCAAGGTGGGGCGAGGGGGGAGAGGGGGTTATTTTGATTTGGCTTACTGACTATTTGGTTTGGTTGGTATATCGCCGGTACAAAACGAGTGAGGTAAAGTAAGATCGGAACACTACGAAACGAAACGAAGGAAGGAGTATGCGGCGTGGTGTGTATGGGCTGAGAAAACGACGGGAGGGGAAATCGAAAAGAAAGAAACAAGACTGTAAAAGAGAGACAGTGGTTCGGATGGGGGGATGACGAAAGGAAAAAGGGAAAGGGACCGTGATGTGTGGTGAGCAAGTGTGAGTGAGAGTCAAGTGAGTGAGGAATGTTTCGAGTGAGTGAGCAACCTGAAGGATGGGATGGTGTCGACTCTAAGCCACTAAACCCGAGTTTGGAATCCTAGTAGCAGGCTCCCACTAACGGCAGTGGACCCCCCTCCCCTGTCCCTGGCATGATATCCACTACTCCGGCAGCTGAATGGTTCTGCAAAACCAACAAATAGGACCTTCCCCGGACCTTGCCATTCAACACTGTCTTCTGTTTGGAGCCTCATTCTGCTCATGATCTTGATTGCGAACTGAGAACGCGTAATCTCTTGTTTTCTAAAGTACATACTTGCCACTCGTGATCAGAGACTTCGCCGAAAGGACCGGATAAACTTGAGCTGAGATCTCGATTCTCAACGGGTATCATACATAGGGATAGGGGGACCCCGGAATGAAGTTCTCCAGGAGTAATTACTTTATTATGCAAGTGCGCACATCTCAACTTTAGTCTACATGTATGTACTCTAACGGGCGCTCAGTACTTTAGAGCCGTTACCTAGTCCGCCCTATTAGAGTATTCCACTCTAAAAACACATCCATAACACTCGCATAACCATCACTGTCACTGTCACTGTCACAATCGGGTATATCGCAGACATCACAGACACTGCCACCTCCACCACTACTCTACTCGACGTTTATCACTCTCTCTCCAGCACTCATTTCATCCCCTTTAATTCCTCTTCGTCTTCCCGTTATTTGGCCGTAACAGTAACAGCACCATCCTTTATTTATCCCCTGCACCCTGCACCCTCCTCCTCACTCCCTTCCCACTTCTTCGGGCTCTGCATGACGCAAGGCACCGAAACAATGGGAAACTCACGTCACCAATCGCCAAAATTAGTCGAAGACCGTCAATGGCCAGGAAAGTTGAAAACTGTTCCTTGCGTGATGACAGCTACAGACGTAGGTACATACGCGAATTGAGACGCTATGCCGTTTCATTCTGTACAAACAGATCGAAGAAGCGAGGGATACATACATGTAGGCATGGCATGGCCCCAGGCGCAGGTACCATCACGATCATGTCTATCAGGCAAGCGCAGCAATGTAATACAAAATCCGTCCCATGTGCCGCATCCGGCGCAAGACCTCTGCATAGCAGCAACAACGAAAATTTAATATCAAACTTCTCTAACACTACCTACATACCCGTCCGGCCGGAGAATTTAGACGACCGCGGGATAACCGAGTCTCTGGGAGAAACCGGAGGTGGTGGTGGTATGAAGGAGATGTGTATCAGGAAACCAACATCCTGAAAGGCTTGGAGTTCATAAGCGGCCCGAGCACTTACACTCTCCTCTACGACATCACCATCGCCGTGTGCCAAATCCTTGCAATTAAGAAAGATTGAACCGGCCCCTTGGGATTTCTCCTCTATGATGGAGTAGAGTAGGCAACTACTTACTCTAAATAAAATCGCTCACTGTAGGCCCTCAACCCGCGGATCACAGTGGGGGTGGCATGACCGAGAACCGAAGCGCTCATGTGGGATGCCTTTGAAGAACTCAAGCGAAGTTACAAGAATATATATGTATATTATTATTTACCTATTTACTCGAGGACTTTGGACCGGTCAGGGAATTAGCTATCAATGTGGGTGGGCATAATAGTCGGACATCTCTATTTACAAGTCTCTAATCGCCAATTCCACAGCTGCAGGCAGCCGCTGGTTCACCCGCGCGCTCGGTAGTGGGGGGTACCAGACAGTGCAAATGACCGTCCTGGGAAAAGATCAGAGATTTGTCCATTTTACTCCACTTGTTCTAAAGTCATAGCCGCACCGGGTTACCTACTACCGGTTCCCGGAGATAGAGGTCGTTTGTGCATGAAAGCTTACTTTCACCTCTGTGTCTGTTTTGGACGTCACGCGCAGGATGAACTTTTTTATTTTATTTTTTGGCTCTTTCTTTCTTCCGGCTAACCATAAGTCACAGGTGCTTTCGGTATCTAGCCAAAAAGAATAGTGGGGTATGGTTTGGATGAAGCGATTGATAACAGCTGAAGAGGAGAACGGGGTTATATTTTTTTATTTTTTTACTTATACTTCCCTGGATAAAGGGAGTCACAAGACTACTTAGTTCTTGTACCTGACTATTTCTGCCCGATAGCTACGGCGGATTTATTTAATTCAAATGATACCTAGGCTGGGATCTTTTGCGCATGCTGGAAGTTCAGGATCTCGGGGTTGGGTGGCTTGCAATTCGGACTTGACGTGGTAAATCACAATATCTATTCTTCCTGGCGGCAGTTCAAGCAGGCAAACACCCAACCTACCTCTCATAAAGTTTTCCGAGCCAAACTTTAACTCACCCTCCGGGTTTGCCCTCCATTCGGGGAGCTTCCGGAGTGCGGCTATCCATAAGGAAGCTTTCCCCAGATAAGGAACTGTGTTGCTTTTTGGGCAATACGAAAAAAGCTAGATCAGGAAGCCGCGGCCGACCGTTACTTACCAACTGGGTTCTGTCTTTCTTGCGCCATACGGGTACCTAAATCAAACTGAGACTCACGTTGAGGGCCGTACTATATAGTCTACTTCATGCCCTGTCACTCGCTCAAAGAAATGATCCACGCTAGTGGTGGACAGGAGGCGATTGTATGGGTGTTACGTAGAGATACCATGGGGAAATTTAGCCCATATACCACTCAATAGCTGGCAAAACCGGCTCCCGATGACCATGTTGGTGATATTCAGCCTCTATCGATCAGCTTAATTGTAAAACTCGACGAAGAGGGAGTCGCAACCGGAGCTCTCGTATATTACCTCTCGTATATTACCTCACGTGTACATACATGTGCGGGGAAGGGAGAGTTTCAACGCCCTATATTACATGTATTTCATTTTTACGAGGGACCTCCGCGATCGGATATCAGCGATTATGTCCGTGCACGGCCTGGAGATTTCTTTTTCCCCCCTATGTATACATGAACATGTTGCTGGGACCACGTGTCAGTGTCAGTAATGAATTTTTTACTCATTCATTCTTTCTTTTTTGTCGGATTGCCGGGCTTGGTGAGGCTGTTTTGTGGGGTTGAGCTTGGTGTAATCATGGTGTGTCACTCGGCCGGCTTGGATAAGTTGCTCGAAATCACACCTCGCTGCCAAGCCCCATGTTTGGACGTCATGTCAGGCTTTTGACGCCACTTACCTTTTTTGTCTTATGGTTGCCCCTTTGCAATTAAACCTTTCATACATGCGCAGTGGGCACTCTGACGCTGAACGCGTGGAGTGGAGTACCATATCGCCGAAACCACTGTTGATTTCAAATTTCCTCGTCCCATTCCAAAGATCGCTTTTAATTCTACATCGGAGTTGACTATATATCGACCGTATATTTGAAAGATATATAAATATTAAATATTGTAGGTAAGAACCTGTTTGGCAAATAGTATTGACGCAGGATTGCTCTCACAAGGTATTGAATCCCGTGATTCTCATTGCCCAAAAGCTGCAGCTAGACGAACAAACACTCTAGAGTATCATATCACATGGATTAAACCCTCAAGTCTTTAACACAACAAGCATTGGCGAGTATAGTTATATAGAGCAGTAATATGCACCATTTTCTATTAGAAAACCCATATAATATAAAACCAATATTACGATTCTTTCTTAACCCTTTGGTATCCTCACTTTCGACGAGTTACTGGATTTGAGGCTGCGTGGCAATAAACACAGTTTTAATTAATGGCAAATAGTATACGGATATTAATACAACCTACGCACCTGCCAAACCCTCGTAAGGATCTGGTAACTTGACAACGTACGATTAGAATTCTACGTTAATGCCAGATACACTACAGACGCGTATATGCTTTGGCTTCCAAACATGCTAAAGCTTAACCCGGAGCTGAAATAATCCTGTAACTTGTATATATCTATTGTTCATCCCGTACGCCCATCCTCTCCTGCACCCAGAACCTTGTTCTTGGCAAAATTCCTGATCTTCAAGTCCGGGGCTTTACATTCGTATCCTCAAGATCGATATCTAAATCTACGCCGACCTCATGGCCCACCATTTGTATTATAAACCCATACCCGTCACCCCAACTTAGCCTATGTCTTTCAGAAAGTTCCTCCAGTGTTATCCGAAAATGGCACCGAAGGTCAGAGAGGGGGCGGTGAGTTGGTGCTCGTTTTTGTTGAGCGCCAACTGTGGACACGGTAGAAAAGGTAACGTGTGATCGACATCCGAGGGTGTTAAAGACCTTTTTAAAGGACATAAATAAATAAATGCTGTAAGACTGATAAATAAACCAATCGGTTAATAATACCGTCAAAAATACCGTCAAATAAAATTATCGCGCGCTTTAGCGCCTCTCAAATCGAGTGATAGTTCATGAATATTTTTTTCTTCCATAGTAAGATAATTGGGGGGTGGAACTTCTACAACATGTAGTTAGCAGATTCTGAAGCCGTCCTAGATCGATGAAATTATCTTGCACGCATCTTCGAACGTATTTCTAGGCTCTTCTTCTTTGATCATCAAACTAGGGGCATTAATTTATATGTTGTTAGACTAATCAATCGCTTTCACCTCGGTTCCTCCCTGGATACTCCCCTCTTCTTTTATAATTCTATACACCCCCTTTCTTCTTAAATTCTGCCCCCCAACTCCCAAGAGAGTCTCCATACGACATATCTTCATGGATTATCACTCGTATGAGGTTATATAAGCACATGCGTACAATGTTTGTCATTAGTTTGGCAACACAATTGTACAAACAAAACAAAGTACAGAAGATAATATTGTAATCACGCTATAGTAAGTAACGAATCCGGTTTTTAGCGAGAGGCTACAGTCCCTTTCACTATGTTGTCCTCTAAAGACTTTATTCAGGACCCTTATTCGCGAAGCTGAGGCAACGAAAGACAAACAGTGGCCGGACGTCGTTCTGCCTTGCTACTATACTACATGTAGGCTTAAAGCCACTTTCGATTATATCCCATAAGACTAAAATAGAACTGAGGTACAAATATGTACGCCTACGAAGTATTTCTGGCCACTACGACGTACATTACAACACGCGACGGACGACGCGTCACGCATAATGCACGTGGAGGACACCTCACAGGACATCGTGGAACTACCTACGAGGTACAACGCGGCCGTCAACAAGACAACTATCCATCGATCCATCCACTTCATGACAATCAATCAATCAAGTTACTCGCAACGGACAACTATATATATTGATCTAGAGGTTCTCTCACAAAAACAACGAAGGACCTTCATCACTCAAGGCTCACTTGTTGTTTCTGCTAATATACACCAACAATTGAGTTTTTTTCTTTCTTCTCATAAAAATTACATTACGACATTAAAATAAACCATAGATACAAAAGAAACAAAAAAGTACAAACATGGCCTCAGGTGTCATGTTGATTCTCGAATGAGGATATATGCAAGATCGCAGTAAGTTCGGCCGTAGATATCGATTATGATTGATATCCGCCGTTGAATGCAGTCCATGCAGTCGTATAACATGCCACATCCCCCACTTCACAGGCCTTGGCGTATTCACTAGCACGATATATTATTAGCAAACAAAGTTAACAGAAAGTTGACCAATGGGTTCGGTTACCTGAACGCGTGACACTTATCTATTCCAGCGGGAAGCTCGGCCTCAGTAGACCTCATATGCGAGTCGAATTGTTTGTCCATACTCATACATTTCATGGCCTAGGTGCTGGTATTAGAGGTAGGCTTAAGTGAGGGCAGGAATTGAGCAGGAGACTCACATCAAGAGTGCCAGCATAGCTAACTTGGGGAGCTGCTTGGACAAGCGTAGCTGCGAGAGCAAGAATGGCGAAAGTAGGGAACTGCATTTTGAGCGAGGATTGATGATTGAGAGCTAGAAGTATTGAGGAAATTGGATTGATGGATGATGAAAGAGAACCACAATGACGAGAAATTCTCCAGGTATTTAAATCCCCGGCTACTCTAGGGATATGAGGAGGACGAAAAGAAAACACAATCCTAATACAGCCCTGAGTGGGGTTCAGATACGTGGCAATCACCATCATGATCGACCCGTGGAGGGAAAGACGGCCTGCATGACATAGAGATTGATTTGCGGAGTTTAATAAAATAAGCTCATGATCTGGTTAAGCCGTTGTCTCAGTTGAACTTCTGTGCCGGGCCGTGACAGTGCGCGGAGAGACGTCCTAATCCTGTTCGGTTTGTTGGTTCTTCTAGTTGGATTTATAATTTATCATGAGTATACATGTACATTTAGAAAGATGCAATGTCTATTCTAGTCATAACCGTACCTATATCATGATATAAAGCTAACTGAAGCCGAGTAAATCTGATGCAATTAATTGCGCAAGCCGAAGAGATCGTGAGTGCATGCATGTCTTACTCCGTCCGAAGGGTCCTTATTACTGGTCACTAGTGAAAGCCACCTCAGGGTCCGACCACCGAAGCCCTCTGTTTAAGGTCACCTAATTTAGCCTACGGGGGTTGGTCGGCCTGGCCTTGCATGTCAACTCCATTGTTCTGTCTCTGTCTGTTTAACCCTCAAGCCAACAAATCGATAATTCAACCACACAGCCAACGAAATATACAAACCAGCTAGGTAATCTAGTTCACCTACAAATTTCCAACCAATCACACCAAAATAGGGAATGGGCATGAATGACTAATAAGGTCGAGCAACAAATGGATGCCGGTAAGAAATCTGGTATTAAAAAGTAACTCAAAAAAGAGCCAAGGATGAGAAAATATGCTTTTGCTATGAGTTCTCATCCCTAACTTAAGAAAAAAAAATATATATATACAATTGCAAATGTAATTAGTGCTATCATGGCTGAGCACATGGCCTATTATTCTTCCAGTCATCATGCGTGCACACATTTGTAGGCTTTCCATCTTTATCTCTATTATTTTGCTCCCTTTCCCTCCGCTCCCTATCCTCCCTTTCCCTCCTCTCCCGATCCTCCTTCTCCCTCCGCTCTCTATCTTCCTTCTCCCTCCGCTCCCTATCAGCTCTTTCTCTCCGCTCCCTAAACTCTCTTTCCCTGCGCTCTCTGTCTTGGTCACGTTCCCGCTTTGTCAGTTGAGAGGCGCCTTGCTTAGACGCTTCAAAATCTTTTAGCGCGGCTGCAAGACAAGCCAGGAGCTCCGTGCCAGGCTGTGGCGCAGGCTCATGTCCACTGCACATATCGACTGCATAAATCCTGAACGGGTGTCAATATTATATTTCATGTGTATTATTATATTATATGTATCAGACTGGCTAATAATCTCGGTCTTGGCGAGAAAAATAGGCACCAAATTGTCGACCACTAATCTCGTGCAGAAGGGGATATAAGGAGCAATCACCATTCTTTTCTGCATTCTACTGGAAAGTCTTCCTTCTGGTCTACCGTGAACATGTTCTCGCATTGTTTATTTGATGCCTAGAGATTTGTTAGTCTAGTTCAACGTTCATCAGATTGATGATATGGAGCAGGTGCTGGGAGACTTGCGTTTGCGTCATGATCAATTGAGTGAGTATGGACCGGCATTGCCTGGACGACTGTCGTGGCAGCGGCGAGAACACTGAGGATAATGGATTCGAACTTCATTTTTAGATAACTTCTGGATCCGGATCTAGTGAATAGATGAGATATGATAGTGAGGCCGAAGTTAATGATCAAAGCTGAGTCGATTGATGAGAGCTAGAAGGCACGATCGATAGAAGAAGACTGATGGGATTGAGATCGAGCATGCAGGCCGTGTGGTATTTAAGCATCAAGTAAAGAGAGACAAAACCCCCCAAATTCCTTTTTGAAAGATTACAATTGAAGCCAAGAACGGATTGACTGAATTGGCTACATGGCGAGAATGTGGCGCGGCGATGAGTCTCTACCTAGAGATAGTCAAGTCGAAGTGAATTCGAATAAAAAAAAGCTTTGGACTCTGCCATATGGGGGTGGTGGTGGTGGTGGTGGCGGTGGCGGTGGATGAATGGATCTGTATGGGGCTCACCACGCGCCGAGATTTGGAATTCCCCGGCAAGTCACGCAGAAGACATGTGCGCCTGCGCTGTAATCTGATATGGAATGGCATATGGTCAGACGTCAAAAAAAAAAACCGTTCTGTTTCGCACCGATGTGTCTGTTTGGGAATAATCTAATCAAGGTGTGCGTCTAAAATCGCTCGATCGCCTTTCCCGCCGACCAAAACCGCGGTCCGAACAGAAACACCAGACGAGGGGAAGCTTTATAGGAGGAAGAGCGCGTTGATGCACCTGGTGCGTATCAATCAGCATACCACTCAGACTTTCTGCCATCAAATGTTTGAGACGTTTGGTTTAAGCTCACGGAAATAAGATTGAGAATTGGCCACATGCAGTTAAACAGCTAGCGAGTGTCTCACCCTAGCCCTGTGATCTCCCACAAATCAAAGCCAGGAAACAAGCAGGGCTGGCCGGTCGTGTGAACACTAGGAAATAGTTAGCTAGGTGTTTATGGGCTGGAGTATCGGTACTTCATGACGTTTTCGAAGACGACCGTTATTGAGTGCCATATAAAAGGATGGATTTGGCGCGATATAGGTATGTAACTATGCAATGGCAGTCGCATTCGGAAACGCCAGGCATGGAGAGTAGTTACTCTACTCTACCTAATGTACCTACATTAGTAGCATCCCCCTTTTCTCGGAGGTTTCCTTTTACTTTTGATTTGCGTCTTATAATAACCGACATATATAACTAATTGTTTCAGACACTAGGCAGCTCCCACGACGTCTCCCCTACACTCTGCTACTAAACTAAAGTTAACAGATCACTAATGGGCCGGAGAGTTGTCCGTGGCGGAGGGAGGACACGTCCAAGATACATTCCTACCTATTGCCCGTCTATAATCTAGCCCGACAAGCACAGGAATGTGCCACGCACGGAGATACAGAGCGAGAGGAGAGACTGCGCTTCAAAGCCGGCATATGTATTACGCGAGACGCTAATCAGTGACTGCACAGATCTCTCTGTCTGTGGCAATTCTGCATGACCTTTTGAAATCTGTCTCGGATAGTTACACTGTTCATATCGCGATACCGATATCCATAGGTCTTAATTTTCCTCCTATCTATACGTCCGTGGTTTGGGAGCCGGAGCTAGCTACAACTACTCACGGCGGCCCGGCAGAGTACTAAGGTAGGGAGAATCAGCCAAGAAAACCTCCCGCCTAGTTTACTAGCTACATCTAGTTTTCCCATTGGTTAATTCTGCTTCTACACAATATACCTGTTCGCTAAAACTCCCCGCGCAAAACGACTGTTTTGACCACTTGTTATTTTAATTCGGAGAAACACATTACTCGTATCCCTCATGAGATTTTTAGGGTTGAGAGTCAACAAGGCCACCGGTCGGAAACATATAAACCTGGACTCAAGTCTTTGATCGGATCTTGGTGTGCGGGATCTGTCAAACGAGTGAAAAGAAACGACCCGTTCTTCTTAGACACTAGCACTCCAGACCTCGCACCACTCTCGGTGAATTAAATATTTTACAATTGGGACACCAACACCGAGGACGTTGATGCCTTCTGTGCGTTTTGCTCGAACATGTCACGCTTTAATTTTTTGCAAAATACTAACTCTACATCCCTCGGTACCTCGAGCTAGGCAATTAGTACGACCCGACAAACGGCCCCCAATGTGCGTGGGGTTGTCCTAACTTTATATTATGAAGTGCGAAAGGAAAAGGGGGAATACATGATTGATTACTCAAAGCAATCTGACTTTTGCTCCAGAACGCCCCCATTGGATGGATATCGATATTGGGCGTGGGCTGCGCGGTCTTTGACCTGTATTGGTTTTTTTTTCTTCGGTCGGTGTTTTGTTTCAGGGTTTCAAGGCCAAAGATCATGATCATTTGATCTCGAGCAGATAGCAAGGAGATGGTGCGGCCTAGTCAATATCCGAATATGTGAGGGAATAAATGGCCCTCGAGTGACAGCTCATGAACATAGTCCCACGGAATATCTTTGGGATTGTACCCCCCCCCCTAGCACGGGAAATCATCAGATCCCGATGTGCCGCAACGAGTGACGAATGATGATCCGCATCCGCACCCGATGCGGGGAACGACGTCACGCGACATGTCGCCAGCCAGACAGCCCAAGGTTGATTAGGCCAAACCTCGCGAATTGTGGGTTGGGGGAATAGATATCAGTTAAGAACAACGACGATAGCTTATCGCCACCTCTCGACAACAGCCCCTCCCTTCTCTTCGGGTGGTTTTTTTTAGACCTTCTTCCTCTCTTTCTATAATCTAGCTGTCGGACTAGCAGGCCAGAGAGGACTCTGACAATATGACGAATAATCAGCCTCGGACAACCCCGCCGTTCTGGTCGTCTTTCCAGTCGCCCTCAGTAAGCCCTCCGTCAGTGAGGACTCCGCTGCTACAGCCCGTACCGAGCACAGCGGACGAGGTGCCGTTCTGGCGGCACAAGCTACCTCGCGCGGCATGGGCATATCCGCTATATGTGAGCTTCACTGACCGAGCTCTGTTCTTCTACAGAGAGAGTACTGCAGAGAAGAAAGTACATAGCTAGCTATAGAGGTCGCTAATACTACCCCCCACCACCTACTCAGGGAATCTACTACCTCCTCGCCAACCCCGCGCTGCTCCCTCCGCTCCTCTCGCGGGTCGTCCCCCTCCTCATCCTCTCCATCCTGGTCCTCACCATCATCTTCACCTTCCTGTACCTCCCACAGGTCGCTATCCTCCTCTTCTTCAACGGGCCCCTCGCCTTCGCCAACGCCGCTATCCTATGTCTCTCCGAAGCCGCCGCCATCATAACCTTCGTCGCCGAGAACTTCATGACAGAGGAGAAGATCGTCGAGACATTCGACGGCGTGCTCCTCACGGAGGCCGAGAAGCTCCCCGCGGGCCTCAGACTGCACATCTATGGCCTCATTGCCCGGTGCCGCGAGCTGCACTTGGGCAGTGAGGGTGCGCTGGAGAAGCTCGGAAAGCATAAGGAGAGCCCGTATCTGAGGTTCTCGCTGAGGCTAACGGTCGAGTTTATTTTGGAGCTGCCGCTGAACTTGATTCCGCTTGTGGGGCCGCCGTTGTTTATTGTCTTGCAGGGTATGTCCTCTCTAACCCCCTTACCCCCCCCCAAAAAAAAAAAAAAAAAAAAAAACCATACCCTAGGACACTCCCGCTCCCGCTCCGGGAAGAAGTTTCTCGCTAACAAGGGGCGCGCCCGGCCGACTAGGATACCACCTCGGGCCACTATCGCACTACCGCTACATCCAGCTCGTGGGCCTTTCCGACTCGCAGAAGAAGCAGTTTATCGCCATAAACAGATGGCGCTACTGGCTGTTTGGGCTGGTGCATGTCATGCTGCAGATCACGCCCGTGCTGTCTATCCTGTTCCTGTTCACGTCCGCGGCCGGCGCGGCGCTATGGGCGGTTGAGGACCAGAAGCGGCTGTGGTTTGGTAATGGCGCTGGCGCTGCGGATCCGGGCGCGGAGGTGGGGAGCGCGGGGTGGTGGAAGAGGATGGGGAGGGTGGCGAGGGGTGGGGGGAGGGTCGCGGTGGGCGGGTTGAGGGGTATGGCGGCGGGTAATAACTAATCGTGGCTGCGTGTAGGAGGTGGTCTGGGGGTTTGGAGTGGAGTGTGGGCGTAATTGCGCAAGTATGGACACTGTTTGAGGCCGTGGTTGTGGCGGCGGTGGTGGTGATATGCATTGCATGAGGATACCCCCTTTCTTTTTTGGTTTATTTTCTTTATTTTTTATGTATGTTTAGCAGAGCAGGACAGGACATGGCGCTGCATTTTTTATATTGGGTGGAAATTGTTATGATTATTTATGTTGCATGTCGGTCGATTAATGATATATTATTGACATCTACTTTTAATTCTTACTCTTTTCCGCTATCCTGCCCATTGTCACTGCGTGCTTGTATTCACTCAAGTACCATGCATGTATTTAGAGCCCGGGCATCAACATCCACCCGCAACTCCCCGACTCAATCCAGCGCTTCACTAATTATTGAAGCCTTATAATCTACACATGCACGCCGAACGCCAATCCCACACGTGCACGTCTCCAAAGCCCCGGGTTAGCTAGTTAGTTACATTATGTAGCTATCGTCGCGTGGGCTTTGTCCCAGACACTAGGTTTCCCGCCACGCGCCGCCGCAGCTGCTCTACTCTAGAGTAGCTAAAGCCGTGCGTACTTGCTATCCCGGTGATTGGTGTGTGTTTCTATCCCGGTGATTGGTGTGTCTCTGATCATGGGTCTTCAGCAGGTATATGGGTATACATTTATACGCATGTATATCCCCGCACAAAAACCTGGGGCCGGGAGCTAGACAGGCAGATAGACAGATAAAGGGGTCTTTTCCTCGTATTGCTGGAAACATAACTCTGGGGTTCTAGAAAGGTTGAGGTTGAGGTGAGGTGAGACTTCGGGGTACTTGCGGGGAGGCGCTGATTACTAGCTCGCGGTCCAAGAACCTGTCTGTGTATTTTGTGTAGCTTGTGAAAGACGACGTTAGGGCCCGTTTTATGGGGGAAGGTTAGCCGGGTCAGCTTGCAATCGAGGGAGAAGGAGGGATGATATGGGTGTCTTGGTGGGGTGGAGTCGTTTCTCACTGAGCTAGGGGTATGTGTAGGTTTTTGAGGTTTTGTTTTTCGGTTCGTTGTGGAGAGACAGAGAGGGTGTGGGCAGGTGTAGGTCTAGAAGGTAGAAGGTAAATCTCGTTGGCAATAAAAAATGGGGTGGGTTATATATAGGTTTACCTATAGCTATATTATAGCTACTCCTTGTCATTTCCCGGAGTCCCCAGAGTCGTGCCGCTAGGCCTCCTCTCATCGCCCATGTATATAACCATGAGCACCACGCAGCGCGTGAAGAGCGGAGTAGCTCCCACCGTACCGTTGGCACTTTTTCAGCCTGAGGAGCCCGCTCAAGAAATTAACCTCTAACCAGGTCAATATCAACCACTCTCGTCTTCCTATGCATATGATAGTTGCTGGATTGCGAAAAGATGAAGGACACCATTTTTGCGCCTTCTGATATGGAATAGACTTTCAACCAACCACGATAGAAAATAGGTTAGAATGCCCTAGACAGCTTGTGTGCGCGGTGGCCTATCGACGAAGGGAGCCCTCATTTCTCCACGACTGCCTATAACTTTCACCCTCTACCGTAAGCTCCTATCATGTCCCTCCCCCTCACCTCTAGCTCTCTCAACCCCGTTCAGAAGCACTGTATCCGCTCGACCTTCCGGGGGCTGGCGACTCGCACAAAAGGAGTGAAGTATGAAGGGCGGGTTTAATCCAATCTGGACAGCATGCCTGAAGCGTTGAGGTGAGGGGCGGTGGTGAGATTTCATTATGAGCCCGGGGCCCGGTTTTCTTGAGATTCTTGGCCGCATATAGTCGCTAGTCTGTGGCCCTTAAAATATTGGCCCTTTTAAATGAAAAAGAAAAAAATGTCGATATTAGCGGGATCGGGCGTCTTTTCTGCTAACGGCTACCGGTAACTAACGGGGAGATATCAAATCTGTGAATATACCTTGGATTTTAACGGCAACAGCGTCGCTCTTTCATCGGGTCCCCCAAGGTTCTCCCATGCTCCTTGAGACGATGAACAACAGTTGCACCTGGTGGGACTGTCGTTATGGAGACCGCCCGCACTTTGAGTTCCACTAGAATGCAGCGTCTTGTGGCCCCGCTCGTAGAAAGTTTCCAGTGTAGATTAGAGGTTCTGCGTGTGTTCAATACCAAGCCCGGCCGATTATACAAGTACGGCATTGCAATATAAGACAAATCAGTCCAATCATAGATTATCACTCGTAAAAAGACGCGGGGCGCTTCTGAGCGTTGCTCCTCTGGGGATCAGTCGATCACATATTGGCGCGAAGAGAATACCTCCTGGTGATGTTCTTACGCATATGAGAGAATATGAGAGGTTTGTTCTTGAGTCTCGGGACTGGCGTTAGAGTAGTGCCGGGTGGGTAACCTGTACCTCTGAAAGTTGAGAGACCGCTCTGGCCGGGCCGCGGGTGTGTTTAGGTTAGGCGCCGGGTCTCTGCGTCCATTCTTTCAGGCGTATGTCCGCGGTGTCAACCGGCTCCCCTCAGCTCTTATAACCGCGCTATATCTTCATTTCATCCACTAACCTCCCCGCCTACCGCGCCCTTTTGCGCCTCCATCGTCCCGGTGCACCCGCGAACCTCATCGTTGGCCGGGTCTTAGCAACCTGCTCAAGCGGGCCTTCCACAACAACCGCTTCCTTCTCGCCAACACTATCTCTTTCGTGGTGATCTATACCCGCAAACCACAAATAAGTTGAATCACTGCCTAGGACAGCTAGGTTGACGCGTAATAATCGGTGTAAGGTGTCCCCCGTCGGTCCTAGTTGAAGAAGGGGCCGGGGGAAGCGGGTGCTCTATAGGAACAGCTCATCTGAACGGCATGAACTGTGTAGAATTCCCGTCCACGGCACCAACACCCGGACCGCCACTGTGTGTAGCTATCTGACGGTGAAACCACTCCTGCTTGCGGGAAGTGAGGTCGCTGCTGGTAAACCTATATCTAAATGACAACATTCATGTCATGGCACAACTGTTGCGTAATCTTGCTCTGAAAGTCTCACATTTCAGTCATCCCTATGCTATTTCAAACTTAAAACTTCTGGGAACTTGCTAGAGCCTATATAAGCCTTCTGTTTGACTTAGAAGTGAAACTTGCGAGAGTCGGGGAGAGCGAGTGATATCCCATGCTTCACTTAGACCTCAATGTTGTCACAAACTAACTAGGCCTACCGGCTACGAGGAGGAGCACGGTAGGTATAGTTGTTCATGTACCTAGGAATAATTTTAACCTGAAATTTCCCAATTGGATCCTGAGTAATCCTCGTAGGTTTTAAAACCATGGGGAGAGAGATATGTACCAGGACCACACGTTGCGTAGGAAACGTGGACATACTCCGACGTCTTGGTCCATAGATCGTTTACTCTGATTCTATCCTGGAACCCTACTCCATTCTGCATGTTAGCAGCCACGGACATCCAATGATCCTCAACCTTGACATTTGGATGATTACTAATCACCATATCCGCCGGTAGCAAATGGGGAAGCGCGCCTATGCTGTGCTGAACAAACCAAACATTGTCTTTCTTTCTTCGGAGTTACGTCATGTCTCTCTCCCACGCGAGATGAAGACCGGCGAGCAAGGAGAGCAAACTTCTGAAAACAAAGAAAGAGCAAGGTTATTGATGACGTTGCCAGGGCAAGGTCAACAAGAGCACCAGCCAACAACAACTGCGATTGTATACCAGGTTGTCTTTGTGAAGAAATCGCCAATGCTTGGACATGTGCACAGGATCTCACTCACCCTAGCTAGGTTCGATTTCATCCCTTTAATTGGGGCTCGGATTTGACATTTTTTCCACGTGTGTCTGGGCACAAAATATCACTCATCCCTGTATCTTAGTTTCTCTAGACGTACGTAGCTTTTATCATAGCTAGAGTAAATAGAGACAAACCAATCGGTCGGATTCTAATTCCGTTTTATTAGCATGTAAAAAAAAAGAGAGGGAAAGGGTTGGATGAGTGGTAGTACTGGATTTGGATTTGAACGCATAGATAGGGTTTATACAACTGCTGCTCAGTAGTGGAGAGAGTAATGGCAATAATGTTTATTGTTATCAGTGATTTAGACGCTTTAGAAAGGGCACAGCTAAATAATAAAGGCCAAGGAATAATCAGGCCCTGTATTAGTAGATAAGGGTTTTGAAGACTCTTACCTTGTTGAGTAGATGAAGGGCGAGAAGTTCACCCTCGAAGCGTCCACCTCGTGCCCGCAAGAAAAAGCAAAACAGCGCTGCTGCCATGATTTACACCTTGAGGCTTTCCCGCATGGTTTCCGAGGAATCTCAAATGCGAAACCCGTTTGCCCACCGGTTTTCAGGTGAGACCACTATTGACCTGCAACCAATATCCGCCAAGATAAAGCAACCCACCCAACTAGAGCATCTGAGAGTTTGCATGTGCAATTAATTTAATTGAATTGATGCTTTTCTCTTCCCCTCATGGCCTGCAATTTTTCGTCATTGGGATGGTGGATTGTATTGGCGAATTATCTCCCAACCATCACCTCCAGCGCTAGGACAGGCTTGTGGGCGTAGGTACGTGTGACGGAATAACTACGCGAACCATTTTTGACTAAGGTTTCAGATAAGCAACCAAGTGAGTGACTCCCAAACAATCTAGCAACCACCACCAAAAACGACCTTTAAAGCATTCGCTACTAATCGGTTAACAATTGCGGTTGTTAGCGAAATATCGACGCATACAGGAAAAAAGTATGTTGAATTGAGCCTTGTTGCCCAGAATCTTAGGCCGCCTATCCCGGTCTTCCACCGGATACCACCGCAGTGATATAGTTTTGTAGCTGAAGCTCTTGGCCGGCAGTTGTCGCTCTAGATTTTTCTCGAGGAACGACTCTCCACCACCTGGTTCCCGGATGATAAATGACATCGCTGTCTTCTTGAGGGCCAATCATTCACGGGCGACAGCTAAGCTTTTCACTATTTGTGGCTGACCGACTAGTGACGTAGTAGCATAGTAGAACTGGGGGAGGCGGATGCGTCGGCAGTGGCTAAGTAGGAAATGATTGGTTACCATACTTTTGAAACCCGCCGATATGGTTTGTCGATTCCTGTTTTCGGAGTACAGGTAAAGAATATCGATCTCGGCCGCCTAAATGACGTGAGGTGTGGTGTGGGGTGAGGACAAGTAGAGGAAGAGGTGATCAAGGGTATGACATATTTCCCTCTTCAGCTTATGGGTATATAAAACCCTCGTGAGTGCAAGTGTTCTCTTCTCATCGTCCTCACCAACAAGTCTACCTCCTGCCTGCCTTGAGCTAGCAACAAAGTAACTCAATCAACCCGCCATAAATAATCAGTAATAATACTTTTCAAGACAAATCCTCCAAAGATACTCAAAGATGGTAGCCGGTATTGCGAAGACGATCACCTGGTTGATTCGAACCCTCCAGTTCCTCTTCGCCATCATTCTTGTTGGAATCATCAGTTATATGATCCATGAGTACAGGGAGTTTAGGGACTTTAGACAGCATCTGGGGGTTAAGGACCCTGGGTTCAAACCACCCCGTGAACTCATCGTTCCCGAAGTCTTCGTATGATTCTCTTCCACTAATCTCCTGTTCTTTGTATCGACTAACGCAAAAAACAGTCGGTTCTGGCAATCTTGTTCACTGCATTCTCGATCATGGCTGTCTGCTTTCTCGGATACACCCTTCAGCTACTTGCGGCCTTCCTCGACTTCGTGCTTTGGGTCGGATACCTTACCTCTGCTTCCCTTCTCCGCCATAACTACCATGTTAGAAGCAGCAGGAACCCTCTACGCAACACCATCACCGATATGAGGGCAGAACGCGGGATGAATCGTCACGAACATCGCATTGGCGGGCTGGTGAGATTGCTTGTTGCCTTGGTTCTTATTCAACTGTAAGTTTCTTTCGGTTTATCTTGAGATTGAATGATCGGAGCTTACTTAAGTAGTTTCCTGTTCACCTTCACTACATTCTTGTCCATGTGGGTTGCCAAGAGAGACAGAGATCAACGTGTAGTTCACGAGAAGCCGCGTCGTAGCGACGCGCACACTCAGATTGTCTAAGTCAGTCAGATCATGGGCCGGGGCTTCGGGGTGATGTCTTTGTTTAAATACCTTTTTGATGAATTGATGATGTATGACGCTCTTTCTTGTTAAGGCTATGGTTATGGTAGGTGCCAGGAGAGGTAGGCAATGAGAGGAGGGCATATAATTGCTTTTATGCTGTAATACTTACTATCTTTATGAATTATAATTTTTATGTATCTGGTTAATTGCGGTACGTGTACGTATACGTATACGTACACATGCATATGAATATGTGGTGCGAGTGATATATGGTGCTGCGTTGCTAGCGTTGCAACCAAAATTTGTGTGAGAATGCGCAGCTTCAGTGTCACCTTACAGTACCACGATTCCAACAAGAGATTTCGTTATGATTCTTGTGGTTTTGTTGTGTAGGATTTTAATATGGTACTTTCAAGATTTGATTGTTGCTGTATCTACAAGGTCTTGTAAGATAGCCTCCGGGTATTCTTGACAACCTGCGAGATCTTTAGTGGCTTACCGGCGGGTGTATTCCCCTGGTCTTATCCACCGCCCACTCCGGAAAATTACCCAGAATAAGTCTTCTCTAATAGCAGCGATGCGTTATGAAGAGCAGTGTCTGATGTACTTGTTGGGATGGAGAAGGACCGCCAGTGTGATGACCGTCTGGTCCTGGATAGCCGTAGCCACATGATGTTCTCCATTGAGTCCTTGTAAAGTGACAATTCGTATTCGCAGCCGAAAAACACTAGAACTTTGTAAAATTTGCCAGAGAACTAAAATCAATGAACTCCACCACGGAAGAGAGGACCGTGGGAAAGGGTTTCACCTGTCAGGACAATGGCAAGATACCTCCGCTGCAGCTGCAGGTCTCATTGATGGCTATGATAATATTGGCCTTGGAGCCGGTGGAAATGTGTGTTATAAATCAAGCTGAAGAATTTAATTAGATAAGGTTATTGACTGTATACATTACATGTACCTTATACTGTAGATGTATACACACTACATGTAAGTGCAGTTCCTGTATTTAAGTACATCTTAGTACATGTAGTTGTGCAAACTGGCAAGTGTAATGATGGTCTAACCTAACCCACCTCGGTGTTGATTTTATAGTTTCAATTTCGCGTCCTGTAGAGAACATTTGAACTCATTGCAAAGTATGTATCCAGTCTTCGTTTCCCTTCATTTTCATCATCACATCTCCTTCCAGTATTATCTTCCGCTGAAGGTAAATACCAGCGACATCTCAGTGCCATCGAACACGCTGAAGGAGAGCGCTCAAGCCCAGGATAACCTCAAACCTTTGATAGCAGATAAATAATAAACTTCTCGATCGTGTACGTGTCCGATTTTGGCTCTGGGCACGTGGTAACGGATAGTTTTCCAAACTCATGATCGTATTTTCTATAAACGACAGCCAGGTCTAGATTTCCAAAACAAATTATAATAGAACAAATAAACAAGAATTCCACAACCCGAAACAATAATAACAATCTCCTTCATTAAGGGGGTTATTTCCTATGGATATAATGGACCCTATTGTCCTGGTTCATCAACTTATGCAATACCTGTATCAACCCTCCCAAACCGACCACCAGCGGAATCAATTGCCCAGTTGAAAACATATCATTCACTCCATGCACCTCATTCCACATGATTACACACTCCACTGACACAACTGACATAAACAGCAATATAATACACATTGCCGGTGTCCACTTATTCAACCTATCCGCCGACTCGGCTTCAACTTCCCTGATTTCAGCAGTGCCCCTTTCTGTCACTGATTGTGGTTCTAGTAGTGCCTGAGGCGGAACAGAGTGGTGCATAGTGCTAAATTTTGTCCGTGTATTACTCACGTATTCTGGGCCGAAGTTCCATACACTGTATCCGAAGAGGATAGTGTATATGAATGCAAAGAAGCAGGCGACAGCTTTGTTGGCTGTGCGAAACCAACCCGCAAAGAGGGGCTGCTTGCTGAATGCGAAGCCGATGGGGTCACAGGTCGCATTAGGGAGCTCGGCGAACTTATTGATTCCAAGGAACCAGAACCATACGGCGTAGCAGGAGACTGCCCAGTAGACAAAAAATCGAATCATTCCGCCCCAAGATGTCCCTTTCCATTCGGATTTGTGGGTGGCTTTGTCGGTTATTGTGGAGGCCTTATTTATGAAACTTATTAGCTGGATTCTTGAGCGCTGGTTGGATAATTAACTTACACTTCCGATGACCTGAATGATGATGATGAAAGGATCAATGACATGCGGCTTCGGGTCCTGGTTCGCTATGGACATAAGAGCAACTAACATGGCGAGCTGGAACATGGTGTTGATGTCTCTCATTTTTGTGAGCTTTTTATTGTGAAGCCAGTTGGAGATATATGTCGACAACCATTGTGCATACAAGCCAATTCTGATACCGAGTCCGTATATATCCTGATTTCCCGCAAATCCACATGGCTCTAGAGCGTCTTCAGTTAAACTGGAAGATTGCCGTTTCGCTTTCGAAAGGAGTGGAGATGCAGATACAGCTACTGAACTGAGTAATAACAGGTAAGGAATTACTCTGACTAGTCTCGATATGTTGGATTTGGAGGTAACCATGATAGATATGGTAACGTTCAGTAGGATACTCGATAGCTAAGGATTTGATCTTGTAACCGCAGGACCAATTCAGTAGTTATATTCCCCTCCTGCCCCTCACTTTTATTTCGCATTTGCTTTTTTTTTTCAGGTTCTGTGGGAACGAAATCTTTATCTGACTGATCGAAATAGACCGTGCCTCGAACATGCATGGTATCAGCAGACTGACAGGCTATGCACGTTACCAGTGCCATAGATACTCTAGAGTAGACAAGTTCTACCTAGATATCTTTAAAAAGTGTTTGTGGCTTTAGGAAACCACCACTCATAGGTGTTTTGTGAGGTGTTGGCACGCGGCTGAGCTAGTGCTTTGGGGTACCACAACATGATGGTGCCTTTAGAGCTCATCGAGCTTATTTAGCGAACGCCAATAGAAAAGATACTTGGCAGTCTACTCCACGATGCCACTTTCATCGGAGTGGGTTGATTTGATTCCCATGTCCTGCAGCATAGTTTGAGACAGATTATATCACAATCAATCACTCGCCCCCAGACTGTCACAAGGCTTAGGAACAATTGCAAGACTAGAGTACAGCACCCTCTAATAGCCAGAAATACTATGTAACCTCATGAGCTGAGGCTCCTTTTACCAAGCAATACATTATACCTATGATGAGTGCGATATAATGTATTGTTTGTTTTTCCCCCTTTTTCTTTTTGGGAGTTATAAATAGACATTGCAGGTTCAATCGGTTAGTTATGATCTTGTGATTCTGTCCCATGCTTGGGAAAGTTGTCTTGCATGCAAGCCAGAAATAATCTTTGTGATATTGACTGTGGTGGCCTTGATTACCCCGCTGACATAGTGGTACAGTAATGTTTTGACACAGAATCCAATCACATATGGGGCTCATAGAATGTCACTCGGCATACAAAATGTAGAGATACATGGTATGCTTGCAGCACAAAGACAGGAGATAATGTACCCAGCAGGTACTTTTCTCACGCAGCTAAACAGCTACAGGTCTATGCTCCTCAAGCCTTCAACTTCCACCTCCCCTTCTCTGCTGCGTCGAAGAGTCTAACACCCATTACACACAGCGACGCACCCAACAACAACGCGCCGTCATAGATAATCACATTCATGTACTCACTTGGTTTTCCCGATGATGACGAAGAATCAAGAATTGCACCTCCGACTGGGGAGCCAAAGAATGCGCCGATGCCGCGGACGAAATACACAAAGCCATTGACGGAGGAGTAGGCCTGGATCCCGTATATCTCTGCAATCACAGTCGGCAGCAATGCGTTGTATCCTACCAACGTCAACACTCGCTTTGCTTAAAACCCCGAGAGAAATAACACTCACCTCCCGCCATCATCCCATATCCAATCACAAACGCAACCCACACCGCCTTCCCACCGCCCGCCGCTGCGGTCAACCACAGCCCCCAAACGCACCCTGCACTCCCCAGCATACCAACCACAATCATGTTCTGCCTGCCAATCACGTCCGCCAAAGCCCCGAGCAGAATGCGACTAACCGTATTCACGCCGTTGTTCAGCGCCAACAAGATTGCCGCAAACGCGCTCGAGTACCCCAGCGTCGTAGAGAACGTTGTCAGGAAAGTTAGCGGCACAAAGTTCCCCGATGCCTGTAATAGAGCCGCGAGCGACTGCAATATAAACGTAGGTTTGCGCGCGAGGGAGACATTGACGCGGGTGCGGCCCTGTGGACGACCGAAGCGCCACGAGGCGCTGAAGGAGATGGGGAGGGTGACGGCGAGGGTGAGGAGACCGAGTAGCCGGAGGGTCCAGCGGAGGCCGACGGTGTCGAGGAGGAGACGGGTTATTGGGGACAGGACGAGACCGCCGCAACCAGCGCCTGTACGCGGTGGGTTAGTATGAGATGGGCGGAAGACCCAAGGGCAATATATTTACCGGATAGAATGAAACCCATGGCCGCGCCCCGGTGCTTATCAAAATATTCGGGCGCCATGGAAACCATGGGGAAATATAGCATTGAGGAACCGAGGCCATAACAGAGCGACTGGGTGAGATACAGCTGCCACAGCTATTCCACCTAAATCTTAGCTTTGCAACTCACGATAACTATTTTGTATCTTTCAGGCGACACAAGAAACGACTAAAACGTTTTTCTATAATTGCGACATTTCAAGGGACAACCTACATTCCGTGCTTCGCCCGCTGCTACCAATCCCACACTCATCATCACGCTCCCCACAACCGTGACCCAGCGCACATCCTTCACCCGCGTAACAACCGGGTTAATGAATATACTTCCTCCCCAAGTCAGTCCCGCTCCCAGAGTACCCACAAATGCCACCGCAGCTAAGTTCTTAGCCTGCGACAGCGGCAGGGGCGTGGTAGAGGGCGTGGTGTAATATTCTTGGAAAATACCGTAGGACTGGTTGATGCCGATTGTCTGGAAGAACATGAAGAAGGTAGATAGGAGGACTAGAGCTTGCTTCTTACGTGTGGGCGGGCTGGCGGTTAGGGAGTATGTACCGGAGCCCGCATCTTCTCTTTCCTCTGCTTCAGAGGTGTCTCGAGATCTTGAGAGCTCTAAATCTTCCGAGCGGTGGCTGCGGAGTTGGATTGAAGACATTGTCAATTGTGCTTCCTATTGATTGGATTAAAATGGTCAACAAGCACGAGAGCAGAATTTTATAGGGCCGGCCAATTTACTTGCCCTCGGCTTTAGTTCTGGGAGTCATAATCGGCTACTCGGCAACTAGCTTTGTACAGGGTACGTACTCTACTCTATCAACTAATATTAATTATGCAGCGTTGGTTTTGGGCACACCGTACAGCTCCGCATGCAGTATTGATGTCCTGGGTTTGTTGGGACTAGATCTACTCGTCTCTGCGGGGAAGCTGGTTATTGATTACTCTACTGGGGGTGGAAATAAAGTTGAGATGAGCTGTGGCTTGGCGCATGAGCTGTCACTCGCTAGGTCCTAGCGTGTCTAAATTGTTTTTTGTTTTTGTTTAATTCATTAATTACATGTAGACCTTAGTCTATGGCAATATCACACTACCACAGAACTACCCTACATCCACCGCCATCCCAACAGTGAAGAAATAAAACAAAGAAAAATAACTATTTAGAACAAACAATTTTGACTCTATCTCTCCTTCCATCCTCCTTTCTGGGCCCAAATATAAACCATCGTATCCTGAATATCTGTCTATTCCCCTATGAATGTGCCTCGGGATCTCAATAGTGCCTGTTCTGCCGTTTATTTTCTTATTGTCCACTGCAAAACCTGGTCCAGACCTGTCCATAAAGACGTACGCCTTGTCTTCGCTGTGGCGGAACCATGCCCAACCCGCAAGTGTATATTGTTCCCTATTATTGCGTCTAAATTATGTGCACGGTCCAAATTTAGAATGCGCAGTATCTAGGTGGTTTGAAGCTCGGAGAGGCCCTGAAACAAGTCTCAAAGGGCATAGAGAGAGGTTAGTCGGTTCTAAAGGCCGGGAGCTCCCCGAGAGGACCCTCAGCTCGGCGAGAGATGATTGTCAGAAAATTCTCGGACGTTCATAAAGACCTGATGGAATCAATTAATAGGGCGATCATAAAGCTGGATGCAACTCAAACCCAACACGGCTCAAATCAATTTGGATATCATAGCCAGAGATCTTGTCCGGTCCTATTCGTTGTCAAGTTGTGGGTAGGGGAAGGGAGATCGAGCTTTGATGTTCACCTGGTTACGAGTTGTTGGTGAATATCTAAGTAGGTTTATATGTATGCAGGCAGAAAAACCGGGCAACAGGTCGCTCTCGTAGGCATTATATACTGGGAATGGTTTATCCAGACCAACTGGGAGACTAGTTGTCCGTAATGGAAGGAAGCGCAGGTTCTTTGGGAATTAAGGTTGGATTACTGTGGGAGTGAGTGTAAAAGACGATTCTCTCACCTTCTCAAACGTACGGCCCTCAAGAATGCTAAAGTTTTCCGCCCATTTTTACCTCGTTCCTTCCTGCACTTTGGGAGCCGGGCGAAAGTGGGAACTATCGGGACAATTTCAGCGGCTAGGAGAATGTACTTATCCTCTTATGGAGCTGATTGATCTGCGGGCCCGTTACATGTTTCTTCGTCGGCTTTGTTTATATATCTAGGTAGGTATTTAGCTTTGTCTGGTACCTTTAAATTGATGCTGAGAATCCAAGTATACTCGAGGTTTATTATCCGTTAGCGTTTGTGGAGGGGAGGAGGATGGTGATGTAACATCGAGTGACAGTCTATGATTCACACACACCTCACACGGTTTTGCGTCTAGCCGTTAAGCTTGGAACTCCCTTGGTATATCCTTCCGCAGACGAAGTGAAACACGAAGGAAATATTTTCTGCTCTGGGGGCGGGGGGCGGGGGGGGACGGTGGTCAAAAACAAATCCGGCAGCAAAAACTGCAGCGAAGTACGGGGTAGGGGCCCCTCCTTGCCCGACCTGGGATTCGAACCCAGGCCGTTGCAGCTGTGACGGCAGCTAATGGAGATGGAATGAAGTTTTATCCCTTAAGCTAAGCCAACAACGCATGACAGTACTGTCCGGATTTCTGTTATAACCCCGTCCCACTGAAGGGGGCTCGACCTTGGCTGATCTAATCTAATCATTATCGTTAGTGTGGGGCCAGGGCTAGTCTCGTATTCATTACCTACCAGCAGCAAGCTGCTCGCCACCGGTACTAGGAAGGCTGGTTGGGAGAAACAGGGCTGCAAATCACCACGAGAGGAGAGTAAGCCAAATAGGGGGGGGGGGGGGCATTTTATCTTTTAGGGGATGGGTCGGTGTGTATTCATCCTCTACGTATGGGGCAGGGGACTTGTGTGCGCGACTGGATTGGTAAAATTCTACATTTGAGCCCTACCCCGAGCCGTAGCCAGGAATTTAACACCCAGCAATCAGCTTCAGATTATTCTTCTACCTGCCAGGTATGCTACATCTTAATTCATCGATTAATGGTACAAATATCAATCATATGTTATCACTCGGATAATCACCGCCTGGACATGATTTCTCGGCAATATCAATGAGACGGTAGACCCCTTAGGGCTTATTTTTTGGGATGGATCACTCGATATCATACAGTCCCCTCCGTTAGTTCTATAAAGTAAATACCCTCGATTTAGGAGAAAAATGAATGTATTGGGAGGTTTCAGGACAAAGTCTCGTTTGAACAATAAACTGGTAGGTATGGGCACTGTGACTTTCTTTCAGCTGTAAAGAACCGATCCCTACAATCTTTGAAAGGATAAAGAAAGAGTTATTAATTAATGTTCTTCCTATACACCTAAAATCACGCGCGCAAGTGTCCACGAGTATTATGAGTAGCCAGTAGCCAGAGAAATTATCCCTCACAAACCCCTTCCCCCATATATCTCAGTCAATTCCCCTTGTATGCTACGTACTCCCTCTTCTAACAAGACACAAAGAATTACAAGGAAACCCATGAGCTAACGAACAAACACCCAGATTTCAAAAAAAAAGAAAAAAAAATCCAAAAAGGAGACAATCCTAGTTTTTCCCAAAGAAAATGTTACATCACTAACATACCCATACACTAAGCACAATGTATGAAGAAAAAGGCAAGAACGAAATAGAATTTTCAAAAACCCAATCCAAAAACAAACCCCGGTAACAGAAAAGCAAAAAGTGACTACGCCCCCATACTGCTAAAGCACAAAAACCAGAAGGAGAAAAGAGTCCCCTTTAAAAAAGGGAGGGGTATATGTACGAAAGTGAAAAATGTATGATAAAGAAGATAGAATAAAAGGGAAAGAATGAGGGCGAGAAGTGAAGAGAAAAAAGGGTTACTAGAACTAGATAAGATAAGTATGTGTACAAAAAAATAAAAACAACCCCCAGCGACTCCCAAACCTTTTTAATGCTGATGAAAAGAAGAAAAAGCTAAAATAGATGAAAAATAAAGGAAAAACCGTGCACTCTGTTATCTTGATGTCGTCAATCCTTATGCGATGAGCCTCTAGGACCCATTTAGTGTGGGAATGTTCCGGCGTGCTATGACTGCACTTCACTTTTCCCTTTATAATCCTTCCCAACTGATTCCCCTTCATTTTCTTCGGCCAAGGGACCCCCTTTCCCCATTGGTGGTGTCGGCATCCCTACTGAACTACCTCTTGTCGAGCTTCCGGCTAAACTTGCGCCTCCCGCACCGCCACCGCCAATCCCCCCTGTCGTAGTTGCAGAGGATACATCGCTCATCGGCCCACCTTGTCCTTCCTCGCGTATCGTTGAGCAATACGTTTTCAACACGTGTTTTAACTGCGGACGTCGAATTGGCTTCGCGAGGAAATAGTTCATTCCCGCGTCCAGGCAATCCTTCACATTGCTCTCTTCGGCGAAAGCGGTGAGAGCCACAATGGGTGCTGAGTAGCCCATGTCGCGGATGATCTTGGTGGATTCGATACCGTCGAGATTGGGCATTTGGATGTCCATTAGTACCAGGTGAAAGCTCCTGCCTTGATTCAAGGCCTCTTTGATCCGATCAACTGCTTCCCGACCATCCTTGGCAATAGTGACATCTGTGAATCATGAGTTAGCACTCGTCCCCATGAACTTAGGTAAATTGGGCACAAACCATAAATCTCTTCAAGTTTGAGCATTTTCAACACAACTTCCTGGTTCACCTTGTTGTCTTCCGCAACCAGTACACGTATCATCCCTCCATCGTCTTCTTCAGCAGCTGCTCTTGACGCCATCTCCTCAATTTCATGGCTCGGTGTTTCTGCGCCCGTCGGTGGCATACTGGGTGCGAAGAATGGCTGACTTAATCCCACCAACCTAGGCTTGTTATTTTTTCCAAAGCTCTCACTGCTCTTTCCAGACTTCTGAGAACCTGTCTCCTGTACCCGCTGACTTTGCTCTTCTTTTTCGGTGGATTCATTAGAACCGCTATGGTTGTGTGCTGTGCCATTGATGCTGTTCGTCCGGCTCAGGTTTGCCCGGTCCTTTTCACTCAAAAGGCTTGGCGTGACCTCTTTGACGTACTTAAGGGGGATTCGCATCGTGAACGTTGTCCCAGCCTTCTCCAAACTCTTCAACTCGATTGTTCCCTGCATCAGTTTCGTAAGCTGAAGACAGATACTTAGACCCAATCCCGTCCCACCATGTTTCTTGCTTAACCTCAAATCACCCTGGACGAATGGCTCAAACACCTTCTGTTGTAGATGTTCAGGGATTCCAGGGCCTGTATCTTCGACTTGGAACTCGAACATGTAGGTTTTAGCACCAGGTGGTGGGGAAGTTGGGCGGGATGGGTGGTTGATTTGTTCTTGAAGCTTTTCCGTGAGTATTGCACGATGTTCTGCAGCGGATGAGATGCCCTGCGAAGATGTATCTTGGGTGCTGATATTGATTATAGGCGTAGGGGGCGAGGTGGCAACTGATCCGAGACGCTGCATCCCACGGTGATTATTTTTGGAGCCATTTCGGGAAGAACCGCGACGAAGAGGAACATCTAGTACGGGGACCGGGATAATCTCTTGGAGGAGGTTCATCCTGATTTGTATCGCGCCATTTTCACTAATCTTCGTTAGGGCTACATAAAGGAAGATTGGAGGGATATAAACTCACGGTGTAAACTTGAGACTGTTGCTAACAAGATTAATTAAGACCTGCAGTATACGGTTTGAATCACCCCAAAACACCATCTCCTTGACCTTTTTCTCAGGACTGATACTGATGCCCAAGGCAATCCCAGATTCCTTGGCTTGGTTCTCGAAGATTGCCATGATCTGAGCAGTGATGTCTGTCATCTTGAACTCTTTCTCGTCCAAACTAATCGCCATATGACCGACCTGGTTCCGGGAGAAGGTCAACAAGTCTGTTAGAAGATGCAATAGTAACTCTCCAGACTTGTACACGATCCCCAACGACCGCTTGATTTTCGGGATCTCCTCTTCCTGCATACAGACTGCACACATTCCCAGGATTCCATTTAGCGGTGTTCGGAGCTCATGCGTAATGTTAGCCACAAATAGAGACTTCGCCTGGTTAGCAGCCTCCGCAACCTTCTTTTGCTCCTCCAACTCTTTTGTTCTCTCAATGACGCGTTCTTCAAGATTCTCGTACTGCCGTACGAGCTCCTCCGACATTTCATTGAATGTGCGGGTTAGATCTGTCAACTCATCATGGATGATGTGACGTCGTTCACGGACTTTTCCAGGAATCCTGAAGGCACGTCGTCGTATTTCCTCGCTACCGTCGCCGCCGCTGGTGTCACCGCTCTGAGAGCTGTCTCGGCGGATGGTTCGTTGGCGTAGGTATTCACCCATTCCATAAAAGCGGTTACGGCCACGTTCTTCATCATCTTGAACAGCAGCGTCATGATCTACAGCGGTTTGAGATGATTGGCTTCCAGTGGGGGTATAGGAGGGAGGACGCATACCTATGTTGATGGCACGTTTGTAAGCGTCAGGCAACCAACATAGACAAGTGGGGGGGTTCTTACTTTTTTCGGTGGCTCTCTTCAGTCGAGTGATTGGCTTAACCGCGAAATGGGCAATTGGGCACACCAGGATAATCACAACAGCAAATGTGCCAAAAACTGTGGCAATCAAGATGTTTCGCAACTTGTTTATGGGTTGAAAGGCTTCACTCTTGTCCTGTTCTATCAGTAGCGCCCAGTCCGTAAGATTCCTGACCACTTCAATGATGGCGTAGCTAATATGGAAATTAGTAAGTCATATGAGATCACTCGGTGGGGTGATCATAACATACCCAACACTAACATGCCTCCCTTCTGAATTATGGGTATCCAGGTCACTTGAGCCGCCGTCACCATCATCTCCTGCACCATTTATCCCACCAACACCGTGCTCAAACACCGTCCGTACAGCAGTATACTGCTTCAGTTGTCTCACCTGACCCACCAAGGATTTATCTCTTCCTGGCGGAAGCAGATACCGGAACTCGTAATCTCCAACGGCGGTATCATCCCTCTTCTCCAGTCCCAAACTTCTTCCAACAAGTCCAGCCATTGCAGCCACGGCACTGTGAGACCTCTTCATCATGCTCCTAGACCCTCCACTTGCCTCTTTTCCCGCAGATTGGTCCACCCTGTTCGCAAGCAGCGGATCCTCCCATATATTCGAAGCCGTTGCCGGTCCAACCAGAACCGTCTGTCCTGTTCCACCAAGACCACGAGTATCCGTGATGATATCGAGGACCACCTTTGCATTAACCACCACCGTGATGAACCCCAGCAGCGTCGATGCACTCGTGTTGTTAATGATCGGAATCGTAAACGACAACATAAAGAACGATTCGTTAACCATCATGGGCCCCAGTACCAGGCCCTTCCTGTCGTAAATATACTTTGGCGTAAAGTAGTTCGCCGGAGTTGTCATTGAACGCCTGTCCGCGAACGGATACAACGCATTGGGATACCCATCATGATACGGTAGGCCATGCATAGCATTATACTGCACCTCAGCCAGCTGCTCCACAGACATATTCATCAACATGGGACCGCCTCCGGCGTTATCTTCCGTGGGCGGCAGTATAATCCCCGCCGCGTTATCACCAGTCGCGTTCAATAACCCGATCCTACTTCCAAGTCCAAACCCATAGTTGAGCCTTGTCCCGTTCTTTGTTATCCCAGTATAATTTCCTCCGCCCACAACCGTGCCATCGTCGGTTATGGTGCCATTTGAAACACCAGGTATTCCGTTCCCAAGGTTCTCGTCGAACACTACCACTTGAAGTACCTCGCCGAACCCGCCAGTGGAGGCTGATGCACTGTTCTGGAGGTCCTCGAGCGTACGGGACCAGTTCTCATAAGTGTTGTTTCCTTGCTGGTATCGTCTTAGGGCACTCTGGAGGATCGCACGGGTGCTGATGGCGTACACGGTGTTGTGCAAAAGTGTGAGACTCTGAGCGACCTGTATTGCCTTTAAGCTGGCTGTAAGCGAGAACCGCGATGAGCGGACATCAAGTACAAGTCTGTAGTTGTGAACCCACTTTTAACAGTAACTCCTATCAGTAACAGCAAAAGGGAGTGGAATGTAAGGAATGAAAACATGGGGCTGGACTGACAGTGACAATAGCCAGAACACCCACTGCGACGAGCGCTGTTACGGCCACGAGCATAGAAAGCTGCTCTCGAATTCTGATTCTCATGGCTACGGCGAGGTGGGTGATCCCCTAACCCTCCACCTCTCCTCTCGGCTGAGCTGGTTTGGGCTGGGGGTCCAGCGAGAGAGTAATTGTCTTGAGCGAGGCAGGCAGATTCGTATCTGGCCTTCCCTTTTTATTTTTATTTTTTTCTCCTTCGTTGTGGGGGGAGTTTTGCGACTCGGGAGTGAGGTTGATTAAGGATCTAGATGGAAGCTGGAAAATAAATAACGCGGTTGTTAGTTATTTTAAGAAGACAAAGAGCCCGGGATGGTGATGATGGGAATAGTTATTCACGGTCCGTGCTGATGATGAACGATGATGGAAGATGGATGAAGCTGAGTGAGTAGGAGTGAGTGAGTGACCAGCTGTGAAACGGTCTGGATATGGATGGATGAAGGGATACGACAGAAAAAGTGCCGAGTAAGGAATAAAGATGGGAAGACAGATGATCCCTCCCAGCGGATTGAACAAGAAGAGGGTGAAGAAAGTATAGGTACAAAATATTAGGCCCCTAACCTCTAGAGATAGATAATAGTAGGATAGACATGAGTGAGCGAACCAGAAACCCGGCCCGACCTCCTATCCACTAACCGGGTCCAGCCTACAAAAAAAAAGGATACAAGAGGTAATCGAGAAGAAAACAATCGGACCCAAAGCTAAGGGTAGATCAAGGACTCGCCGGTACAGTGTAGTGTTAGGTCAAAAGTAAAGATCAAACTAGCGGGGGTATATTTGTGGGATTTGCATGAGGGTCTCCGTTCGTTCGTTCAGGCAATGGATAGACAGACGACAGACAGACGACACTCAACCCCCCACCTACCCCTACTGGCAACCTAAAAAAGGAAGAAAAGAAAGAATAACGGACGGGAAAGATAACCGTCGACCTACCCAGCTTGATTTTTTTCGCCCTGCCAGCACAGTAAGTGGAGGGAAGGCGAAATAATGACCCGTCACTAGTCGAATTACTCAGAAGCCCACAAACAAACCCCCTCTAAGCAGGGAAGATAGAGTTCGAGATGTGTGGCTAAGTCGTTGAACGAACGAATGAACGAATGGTCCGGACGGCAGGTGTTGCTTTCTAGGGCTAAAACGAACCGAAAGGCAGGAATTCAAAAGCAGGAAAAACCAGGCGCAGGCAAGCAGGCGGTAGGCAGGTAAGCAGGCAGGAAATAGAGAGAGATGCACCTCGAATCCGATAAGTTTGAATGGGCACCGGTAGTTAGATGCTTAATTGTAGAGAGAATACGTATATACCCGTATTGTAGTACGTATGTGTAGCAGATCAGAGAAGGTAGAGAGAAACAGAAACCGACAATGATGATGATGGTGATGATGAGAAAGAATTAGTCGGACAAAAAAAGAATACCCTTCCTTCCTTCCTTCTCTCTCTTTCAACCTCAACCCATATTACAGGCCCAGAGTACGCACTCCCGCCATAATCCAATTCTTGCATCCTCACAACCAATTCCCATGTGCCTTCCCCATTACCGCTAGTGTGCATGTGTAGATTTCCCCACCACCCATGTCCTGCATCAAACTGGCAGGGGACCCCACACACTACTAAGGCTCGCTTAGGCTTGGTCTGGGCGACGAGCGAACGAATCCGGCTGAAAGCGAACGAGCAAGTGAGTTTTGAAGACAGAACTGGGAGTCTGGGTCCACAGGGTGGTGTTTATTTTCAGATCGAGGGCAGCTGCGATGGATGAATGTGATCGCAGCAGCCACTCACTGCCACTGCCAATCGAGACCCCCCATCACTCTCGAGAAGAGCACAATCCCAGAGCCTTTCAAGGGACTCTATTTTGACACAGCATGTTAACGTTGACAATGGAGTACAGAGACAGCACTTCTGAATTCTGAACGCGGAACCTGGATGCATTTGCATAAACTACAGCATAAGCACAAGCATATGTAGGTACTCTATTGTATCAGACAGAATACCTATCCCAGATCCAGAGAAATCACTCTACATACGTCCCAATCTCCTCTATTGCTAAATACATCCACCCCAGAAACAGGACAAATCAGAGCGGAATTCCAAGGCTTTCCATCTGCTCTTCTCCACACACCATGCCATGATTAAACTTCGATCCACAACCTTCACGAAACCAGGATCATCGTTGCACGCGTCCAGCGCGCGAACTCAAGTGACAGGAACACATCGATATCCGTGCACCATCACAACCCCTACCGTTACTTCGCTGGCTGGCTGGCTGATCTGGATCCACCGCGCAGTGTCCATCGTATCGTGGTTGTCGTATGTAGCTTGTTGCAGAGCTAGGCGACTCCAACAACATCGGGCGAAAGTCGCTCCCGCTGCCTAGAGGTAGAGTACCTACTTTACATAACTCTACAATCACGGTATAGGCATATGTACCCTCCCGTTGAGGCTTCTGCCGGTTGATTTATTTTATTTATTTTTATGTTACGTCTCTTCCCTTGCACGAGATCGTAAATGGAAAATGGATGCTATTTGAGATTAGGACTTCCCCGGCAACCCAGAAAGGAAAGGAAAGCCTCGAATGGAAGTGAAGGGAAAAGAGACGAAAAAAAGGTCCCCGGTGGTGGTGCTGCTGCATGTAGAATTTGTCCTGCTGCAGTGTCGAACAACAGAGACAATTACTACTCCGAGGCGGACACGGAAGCAAGCACTGGCTGCAATGCAGAAGAAACCAACCTCCCTCCTCAAAATCGATAATAAATGAAAAAGATCTCATCTCACTCCCACAGCCGAGAAAGAAAGAAAAGGGCCGGGTGTTGAAACAAACCCTACCAAAACAGCGGGACTGGGACAAGAAAAAAAAACGAGAAACACTCTCCTAGCTTCATCCTTAAACCAGTGTTCATAATCTCCTCCGGAGGTATCATCCGCGATCGGATGGGTTGAGTCGGTAGAGCAGGTAGGTACAAGGTACTTGGATGTGTCATCCACGTATGACAGTACCGGCGCTGATAAAGTAATACTCAGGAGACACAAGGAAAAATATCTACAAGGAACGTCTTTATGTTGTTCTGTCTCTTAGACCGGATTATTTAATCCACCGCAGCAGACTGTTCGTCGAGATTCAAAGATTCAAAATAGGCCCCCGTCCCAAATCTTGCAGTAAGCAGGCAGGCAGGCATAACTGGGGGAAATCCATGGTTTTCAAACCTCAAGCGGGCCGGGCGGAAAAAGAACAATTCCAGAAAACAAGCGGGGGGAAGATCAAGACAAAATCACTCCATCACGCTCTGTGTCACCCTGTATGTTTTCGAAGTGGCGAGAAAGAAAAAAAACCCTACATAAACCATGTGCCTATCTAAAGTGCCTACGCTGTTTCTAAGCGGGCAGGCTGTGAAAAAAAAATCTGTTTTTTCGCCCCTCATCAAGCGATCAGCAATGTCAGGCAGGTCAATAGATCGGAATTGAAAAAGACCCGACCCGGACCTTCGGAAAATTCTCGGGGTGGGCGGGGAGCGCCGTTGCATGGTGATGACTGACCTTCATATTTGACTGAGATGAGGTTCGATACTTGGATTAAGTGGAGTAAACGAACTACAACCTATGGAGCCTCGAGAAGTCATATCCCCTATGCTTGTCAACCCTTCACACAAAAAGATTTCACGCGGAAGCCACAGTACGCCACAGGAAGATGGGGGCAATAAGGCTCTTTTCTGCTGTTTGATAGGCCAAAATCAAAAGGTGTGCCTTCTCGCGCCATAGCTAGTCAGCTCTCGCTCAGTTGAGCGAAACCGTGAGCGATCGTTCATATGCGGTTGCGTGCGCTTGAAACGATCCCACTATTTAACCCCGCAACCAAAATAACCTGGCTTCGTAAGATGCAAATGGAAGAAAAGAAAGAGACACCATTAAGCTTCCGATAACTCTATATCCCAAACGTTCATATCGGGGTTTTCCGTCTGCTTTAATCTATTCTGTTTGTTTGGATGCGGTGTACTTTAATTGCCTGAGATGGAGGGACGTTTCCAGTATCCACCCTCCACCTCACACGACGGCGGAAAGAGAAGGATTTGCGGAAAATCTACCAAGCATAGCCTGGAATTGCTTAACAAACAGTAACAACCAATGACCATCCCGGCGGTGGGAGTTGAGGTTGTGGAAGCGGTTCGCTGCTGGTACTGCTGGTCGCCAGCTAGCTTGATTACTATTTTAGAAGCAGCAGCGCAGCAGCAGCAGCAGCATCCTATGTAGCAGCAGCAGGCTGTTTGCTACCCTTGATACGTCTCTACCTACCTATGGTCCTCCCAAGATTCGAATTCCATTGCAGAATAGCCGTTATTTGCGCCCGTCCGCAGTGGAGAATGCCGTTTCCCTATCCTAATTAATTTGAATTCGATCCGACGCCCACGGACCGCCTGCATCAGTAATCACTCGAACTAAGTAAATACTCTACTTTAGAGGGTATTCTAGAGTAGGTTGCTGGTGGGGAATACTTTTGCTAGGATCTGCTTACGAAGCTTATTTTCTTCCTTTGGAAGTGAGCGAGATACTGTCAATACCTGCAAAGAGTTACATATCTATTCCTTCGTCTAGCTCTGCTTCCGGCTCTCCTTGACTCCGGGCCCGCGTTATTTGGTTTGGAGGGGTTGTGGGTGCGCAAGCTCTACTCGTGGTGGTGTATGGCTAGAGGAATATGGTTCGATGCCAGCTGTGTTTGACACATGTCCTCCGCCATCTCCGCCGTTTCTTGGACAATGTCCGGCGGTTGCGGTCCTCCACGCCCTCCACAGCAGCCTAGGCTTGGTGTCTGCTCCCTTCCGCAGCAGCGCCACGAAAGACACATGCACCTCAGCACCCTTGGGGGAATCCTGAAGGAGAGGGCACGCGTATCAAAGAGAACCCGACCCTCCGGCACGCCGAAAGAAATGCCGCTAACTGTAGGTTGTGGGGTAGATAGAGTAGATGGTTGGAGCTTACATAGGTCGGCGCGGCACCACTATCTACCTACCTTCTCTCCGAGCATACCTTTTACACCCATATCTACTGGGGTGTTGCTTGTAGTCATAGAATGCGTGTAGGTTGGAATAAGAAATAAGACCTGCCGCTTTTCCCGGGCAATGCGATTAGAGGACATGATGGTAATGTTCATTACGCGGCCTGGCTTTGGGATGGCATTCATTGATACATGTGTGGTACCGTATATACCTCTGCACGTCGACGGGGGCGATTTGTGAGAGCTGTTGGGGGCTGCCCGGGATGCGTCGGCCTTGAGCTTATTGCCGAGATGCGTGATACCCGGTTTCTGGGGATTCCGTATCTATTGGGAGCTGCTAATGCTTGTGGTGCTTGTAGTGCTTGTGTGCTGGTGGTGCTGATTGTGCTGATTGTGCTGGTATGGCCTGATATGATAGGGGGACGGATTGTGATGAAGAGATTTTCTTTTCTTGCCTCCCATACGATACGATATCTCCGTGGCACAAAAAAAGATAACCACATTATCAATCTTCGGCGTTTAGGTTTTTTGTCTTGGTAGTTCTAGTTTCAGGTCCAGTTCCTGGCCTGGCATGGATGGATGGAAATCGTTCCTCGGGCTGCTGGTTCTCAACCGATCGATCAATGATAGTCCCGCTTATCTAGTAAACACCTAAAGACCAATGATACTCAAACGAATATGATTGTTGAAACAAGCCCTATTTGCAAGTAAGCCAGGCGTAGCCGGTCCTGTCCTGTCTGTCCTGTCCTGTCTGTCCTGTCCTGTCTGGCCCAGCCTGGTCAGATCCAATAGTTGCTTTCAGGCACTCGAGCTCGCGGTCACAACTCATCTCCCGAGATAAGACACGAATCAGTCAGCCCGCTCGGAAAAGAAAAAAGAAAGAAAGACACTCCCGTCAGTCTAGTCTAGTCTAGCTAGGAGCGAGTGATGTACTTGGACAAGTATCAACTGTGATATATCAAGAGCCGTGAGATCTCTAGAATGAACACTTCACGCCAAGAGGAGGTGGGATCGCCATGACGGTTCGTCTCGTCATTAAGGTGCGTTTTTTCGTGGTCGGTGGGGTGGTCAGGGGCAGAGTTAGTCATGGGAGATCACTCGGGCGGGAACATACATAACCCTGACCCTAAGCTGAGAGTCGGGATGCTTTGGTTGGGAGCGTCATAGTCGTGATTGGGTTGGAGATGGGAGTTGGTGGTCTTTGGTTATTGGTGGAGAGACTGTGTTGTTAGTGGGGAGATGAGCTTGGGAGGCGGGTAGGTACGTGCCGGGTGAGGCTTTCTTTTTCTTTTTCTTTTTTGGAGACGGAACGGCCCGGTGACGGGGTGCTTTTTCTATGCGTATGCAAAGGGCTTAAGGCTGGTTTTCTACAATAGGCGCCGGACCGCACAGCTGGGAAGTTTCTGCAGATGGATGAGTCGATATCTACGTTATAATTACATGCAGGTGCCCCAACTGCGATCCGATCTACCACTTTTCACGTATCGGATTCTGACTCAATTCCGCTGACCGTCTTGCAGAATGTTACTACGTACGCTTCCGGAGCCCTCGGGCCTCATTGTAGGTCTTTACTCGTTGGGTGCTGGGAAGTCGCCTGGTCCTACGACGGAAATCGTGACTGTCGATAGGTCTATGTTACTGGCGCTACTTTGGATGGAAGAACCCGGAGTCCGCTGTCGACCTCAGAAGCATTGATAGTGCGGGTGTGACGATTGATCTTCTCCCGGATCCCCCGCGCGGCCGGTGCCCCTAACTCACGGGCATAAAATTTGAAGATAACGATAATTTGAAGAGCTGAAGCTGGTAGGCTCACTGAATACGGCATAGCTATCGTAGACTATTTTCGGCGCCCCCTCAATAACCTCTGGATTGTGTACGCCAGTCGACAGGCCGCAGTACCGGTCGTTAAAATCTGTTTAGCTCTCTAAGGGACATATATTGGGTATTGAAACCTACGGGGCCGGGTGGCTTAAATATCTATATATGAATGACCACCGGTCTGTCTGTTGACAATACCGGGTCGGTCCCTCTTTAATTCTGCGTTCTTGTTGGCGGAGAGCGATAAGGGTCTCTAGAGATCTATGGTGCTGGTCAGGCTAAACCTCTCCTGGCGGTCAAGGGCTCAGACGGAAAGACGATTTATTCGTACTATGATTTGGTTTCATATATTTACCAATAAATTTCTTTTTAGGGAATTATGAGCTCAAACTAGGGCTTTTGATGTGGTTTTGGCAGCAGCCAACAGGTCTGGAGTACCTACGAATCGTAAACCTATCTACACCTTCAAAAAGTAAAAAGAGAGAAAATCTGAACGGTCAATATGTGGTTTTTGTGATACTGTTTTAGAATTTCGACTTGCTTATTTTTGGGAGTTAGGATACCTTTGGCGCGAGAGTCAAGTTTGAAGAGGAAATAAGGTAGGTTTAGCACGACCGGCACGATGGGGCTTGTCATAAAATTGGCGCCTAGAACGGAGAGCTAGGCAGGTGCGCTCAGGACGCAGTTGGGCCAGGCAAAGAGGGAGCACGCGGTATTGAGCTTTCTACTGCTCTTTTTGAGCGTGTATATAATGCAGTAGCAATTTTTCTTTTTTACCTGGGTGGGGGAGATTCGTGGGCTAGTGTTTCTACAGCTATGCTATGATATATATGCGGAGGTAAACAAAAGCGAAGGAGGGATTTAATATGTGGAGCTAGCTATCTAGAGAATGGCAAAATGAGAAAGAAGTCTGGCTAGCTAGCTAGACAGATACCAAACATTTACACTGCTCGTCTTGGGCAAATACCCGCTAATTGGTTAATAGTTGCATTATGATCATTTCCTGGTGCTATTTTTTTTTTTTAACTGAATTATTAATTTGCTGTGTTTTCGACCACCTCCTCTTTTTTGTCTTGGGGTTCGTTAGTTGCTGCTTCTACATCTTTTGTTTTTACCTCTTGCTTCTTCTCTTCGCCCTCAGCTACGACTGCGTCTTCCTTCTTTACCTCTTCCTTCTCCGCTCCCTCCTTCTCTGCCCTTCCTCTTCCACCACCGCCTTCTCCTCCTTCCCCTCTTCCTTCCCCAACCTCCGCCTCAACCTCCACCTCCTCCACATCCTCAAAGTTCAAACTCCGAAACAACCTCCCCCTCACCCTCTCCACACACACCTCCCTCCCCATCCTCTCCCATCCGTGCTCACTCCCCACCTCCGGCCGCTTATGCGGCGCCAGCACCACCAGCCACCGGCACTCGCAGCTCAGCGTATACAGCAGCCCCCACACCTCGCTCGCCGGACATAGGTGCAGCGCAAACGAGCACACAACAACATCATTCTTGCTGCTACTCCTCCCGGGCGACACCTCTAGTCCGCCTGTCTGGATGTCGCGGAACGATTGCGTCCCGCATGGCCGCCCGCCCGTGCGCGTGGTGTAGAGGGAGGCGGTGAAGGGGTCGTGCGCGGAGATGAGGAGACGGTAGGACGGGCGCCGTGTGGAGAACCAGTGGGCGGCGGCGAGGGTGGCTTCGCCGGAGCCGGCGGCGAGGTCGAGGAGGCGGTAGTAGGGCTTGAGGGGGTCGACTATGGGCGGTGGGTTATGTTAGTGCTGGGTGGAGGTGGGGCGGGGTGGAGGGCGGGGCAGGAGGGGGCAGGCTTGCCTGGGACTATTGATTCGAGGATTTTGCGGAGGGCTTTTTGGACGCCGGGTTCGTGGGGGTTTTTGTAGGTGTTTGCGACGAGGGTGTAGTAGTTGTCGACGCCGTGGGTGGTGTATGCGTCGCGGAAGGAGACTGACATCTTTGGGGGGGTGGGTATGATATGCGTCGAGGTGTGTTGAGGTGTTTGGGGTCTTAGATGGATTAGAGGTTAAGCTTTGAGGTGAGGTGAGGCTTGGGGTTGCAAGCAATGATCGTTCGGCCGTTTCCGTCGTAGGCGAGGGCCGAGACTTGTGCTACTCTACCTGGCGTAGATCGTGGAACTGACTACATTACTAGCTGTGGGGAAAGGTTTCATAGCGATCATAGAATCTCACTCGCACGAACAGGGCGTGGGGTTTTATACAGTCATAGTCGCATTTGGGTATAGTAGATCGGAAAGGCTTCTAAAGGTTTTGAAAAACTATAATTTCTTTTACTAATCTGGCTAACTACACTACTCTTAAAGAAATAGGAGTTCCGGATATAACAAATCATAAAAGATCAATACTAACATATATATATAGTTAGTATATGACCATGACAAACACACTAAATCCTTCCCTAAATGAAGTATATCTCTTGAATCCGTTATTAGCCTTTACTCTCAATCTCCCAAAGAGTATAAACATACCTGACAATCGCATCGTCAGTTTCGAGCCAGTTATTACTCTGGACTACTTAGTCTGTTCCTGCTCACCTTTCTCACGATTCTTCCTCTACAAAGCATCAATCAGTAACGTCACTACGAGCATAATTACAACACACGCGAACTCACCTCCGGGTCCGCCTTCAAGCCCAATCTATACTCTTCCCAAGAGTCCTTCCCATGCTTCTTTGTTCGCTCAAGCTTTCTTTCACAGGTGAGGTAGGTAGTGGGGACCGCCAAATTGAGCCAAGTACGACCCCGAATGGTTAATGGAGATAAGATAAACAATGGTCCTGTTAAGTGCCACAAAAGCCACAGGTGCTCAATACAGACAGGTGCGCGTGGGGTTGTGTGATGATGGATTAGTGGAAGCCATCCCGTGGATACTCTGAAGGTGTTCAAACCTGGAGCCTTGAAGATAAATAACAGATCTTGTATAGTAACGGCTCAACACATCAAATTCTGCAAAACAAGACCAGAGCACATAACGCTCTGGATCCCCTAATCCCTATTCGACAATGGAGAAAGAATAAGGCTTGTAAACATGATAGCTATATCTCCAGTTGCTAATAGTGAAGCGCCAATTTTTAGAAGATGTTTTGTTGTTTTGGTCATTTGAAGTATGAGAGTTGTAAGCAGACACCAGGTGAGTAAATCTGTAGACACCTACAGACCACATTTGAACGCCTACAAACTTTCAAAAATATCCGCGGGATGGCTTCCAGTTTAGAAAAGAGAATTGCTCTAAGACAAAGTACTGATAGTTTGGAACCACGTCTAAACTACATAATGAAACGTTGATAATTAACAACAACCACCGGCCGCAATGACATGCCACGAATTAATAATAATCGGTTGCGTGGTTCTTCGGAGTCAAGATTTGGCTGTGCGGACGGTTTTACTAAATTTAATAGAAGGGCAAGGGACTTAAGGGCAAAGGACTTCCGTACTATGGTTTTGATGATCATGAAAAATGACTCGGAAAGGGGTTGAAATATTGGACTCCGGTACCATATTCGAGTGTCCACAAAGGTCTGCAATGTGACCTGTTGGAACCAACCAATTAAGGACAGCAAGGAAAGTCTTTGTCCGCGGGAAGACAGCGAAGTGAACTGTTATCGTCCACAAATACTTCTATAGACGTAGGTGGCTTTAATAAATTAAAAATAAAGCTCATCGATCTTGCCGGCAAGAGCTTATATCACTCTCTAGTTGACTACGTAGCTACTCCATAGGACCATCAACCCTAACCCAAAATAACATATCAATATTCCAAATATTATAAGATCGCTGCGTACATAGCTGTCTGTGCTTGTGTGCGAGTATCTATATATATATACCGCGGGTGAGTAGACACTCGCGCACCCGGGTTTGGTTGCAATGATTGAATTGGTTGTGCGAGTGTCTACTCACCCGCGGTATAATAGTAACCTTCGTGGTACGGAAGTAATGAAATAGGAGTTAAAACTTACCAACAAGTATACACAGGCACCAGCCATTCCGTTAACGAGAATTTACCCCCAAAACCAATCTTCTCCATTTTCATAACACTTGACATGACCTCACGCCACCCCCAAAAACCACCCCACAATCCAACAATAATTATAAGCTCAGGCTTCTCCACGTCTACATATATACCCCATCTCCACCTATATATATCCCCACCCTCCCCAATCCCCACCTCCCATCAATTATCCCAATTTCCACAATGGCATGATACCTTATGACAGTCAGCGCTCAGGTTTCGTCTCCTAGCTAAGCTAAGCGACATGGCACGAACAACCCACGTATCCCTCCCCTCCCAGGGCAACACCTAATATCGGTTAACTACCATTCCTTCCTTCCCCCGCGCAGACAGGCACAAGGATCTGCGAGCTGGCCTGGGCGCCTATAATGTATGGTATACATATGTATATGTGTACAGCCGCATCATATCATTGCCTGAACCAATCACAGCTGCACTGCGGCGCGGGAAAAAATAATAAGTTAGTCTGACGATTATTATAATAGTGGGACGATTTTTTGCTTCCTATGGCATGGTATCGGAAGATCCAAACCTTCGGGTTTTGTTGTGCTGGCTGGCCAGATCACTTATAAACAACGTGCGGGTTCCGTCCGTCTAGCTAGGAAATAGATACCGTTTTGTCTTGTCCAAATTTTTTCGATTTTTTCCGTTTTTTTTTTTTGTTCTTTTTAAACCACTTTTTCTTTCTTTGGTTTTATCAAAACAATGGCGCACATAAACCGGTGGAAACACGTATGGCTTCTTCGGTCCCTGTTCGTTTTCGAATTTCTCCTCCTCACAGCCCTCCTCGGCCTCATTGGCTACGCAAACCCCGATACCTTCACCACAAAGCTCCGTCTTGACGGGGCCCTCAACGGGTTCAACTCTAGCCCTGCCATCTCCACTGGTGCATCTACACCCTACGTTTGGACCACCACGTAAATATCCCCTGCTCCCCCACCCCCTCTGCTTTTTCGGTCGGATATATACTGACAAACCCAATCGAAATCCAGATTGACGAAATACAATCTCTCGCTCTCGGTCGCATCGTTCCTGCTATTTGTGGTACAGGGGGCGCTGTATATCTTGGAGTTCTATGTCCCGGTGGTGGCGGTGGTGCTGAAGGCCGCATTGATGGGGGCGTGGGGGTTCTCAGTGCATTCGCAGTCGGGGAGCGATTATACGGATGCGAAGCACCCATCGCCGAGTCCGTGGTATCTGAGGAAGAGCTGTGATGTGGTGTACTATCAGAGTAATAAGAATTATTGCCATGAGGCCAAGGCGACGTTTGGGATCTCGGTGATGTTGCTGTGAGTTTTCATTCCAGCTGGATAGGTGGAGAGGAGGGCTAATTTGTGATAGTGCATGTTATGGGGCGATCATTGTGTTGGCGGTGGTATCTTTGCTGGCGAAGAGGCCGCCGGGGATGGAGAAGAAGAAAGGGCAGGATGTGGAGGATGGGAATGGGTCCGATAATGATTCTTTGGAGTTGGATGGGGGAGCTCGATGGTGATCATGGTGGTGCGGTTTTGGTAATGATATGGGTGGCCATTTTTTCTCTGTTTAATTTGTTTTTGGTGATGGTGTTTTGGTGTCTTTTTTTTTTGTTTAATGTACTAAACTACGACCTCTAATTTCTTTATGAATATAATCGAGATGGCTACTGTAATTTCTAAAGAGTGGTGGCCATAGCTTGGGCCCGATGAGAGCCTGTGCTGAGTGCACGGGTGTTGCGTGATTAGAGACGTACATAAAGACCGAGGGATTGCGTGAGAAAGGGGCCCAACGGCATGCAGCGCATTGACCAGGCGCTGGTACTTGCGGATTCCTACTTGTGTGATCTACTAAAAGATTTATTTAGAATTTAAGCACGTACCCGTTTTGGGGGTAAAAAATTGGTTAAGGTTATAAATGATAAATGAATAAGTCCCCTCACCAATAAGGCCTTTAAGCCGGTTCCTACATAGTCTCATGCCAAGTATTGCAGAATTCTAAAGATGTGACAGAAAGTCTGGTCGAACGAGAGTAGCCGGCTGCTAATTCCTTCTTCCTACAAGCTACACATGGATACTCAGGGCTGATGCAGTTCTCCAAGGGAATGTGGAAGATTGGATGGTATTCCTTAGGCCGTCACTTTTTTTGGCCTAAAGGTGGTTGTGATTCAAAGCAACCGCCGCAAGAACGAGATTGTGCGGCCTAGCGCTAGTATGGCAGAAACATTGCCTCTTTACACGCATGAGGACACTCTGCCCCAGTGGGACCTTCGCCTACCCGGGTGCTCAACTGCACTCCATACACTCACCTTTAATTGTCTCTTTCCAAGCTTACCCCACCACTATTTCGCCAGTCTCCTCCCATACTAACCAAACTTCTTCCGTAGTTGTCCGGGTATCTAATCGTTTAAACACTGACATCATGTAGGGATTTATATATGTATTCTCGAAGGCTATACCGCGGCCAATGGCCAGGGGCTACAACCCAATTCGAAGCAGGCTCATTCCCGAATGAACATCACGATGGAATGTCGATGATTATCTCCTAGTATAGTTCATGAGATAAGTAGCTTCGTGGGCTATTTCTGATTTTAGAGGGCGATACTGGGTGAGTGATTGAAGTTTTATATCACGATATACGGGCAGGAAGCTCTCACGAGAAATCCGTACAGTTGCTCGAAGAATAATCGGTCTTCACAATATCATAGAGCTGGAGTCACTGGATTTAGCTTGTTTTCATTGATTTTGTCATGCAATTGATGACTGTTACAATGGGTCTTTTACGAGGGCGCGCATCAAACAGAATACATTACATTGTGGCCCTAATATCCAACTTCCCCCCTCTCGCGCCGTCTCATGCTAACCCAAACGCTCTTTACAAAATAGCTCAACAAAACAACAAGCCTCTTGGTCATGATTCGACCCGCCCGCCTCAGCATAACACCAACCCCTCACAA